ATTTTCTGTGTGTGTTTCTTGGAATGCAATGATCTTAAGTAACGTATAAATTTTTTGTTGTTGTAGAGGAGAGTGTGCTTTGCGTAGACTGCGACAGTTGAGTGTCGCAACAGTAAAGGAGTTAATGTTGTCCCCACCCTTATTCCAGTTATTGTTGGAGAAGAAGGAGTGAAAGAAGTAACTGATTGCTGAAGATTCTTTCTGGTGTCGTTGAGTTCATTATTTACCAAGTTGTGAGGACGTCCACTACTAACATCGGCATGCGATTTCTGTCGACTGATTTTTTGTTGCTGGATATTCTCAGCATCTCTCATACGATAGTCCATTATCTCGCTTTGTTTTTTTTCCTTTGGAGTATCAAGCTCCTCCACTCCATTCATAACAGTATGCTTTACTTCAGCCGGTTCAGTGCTAGGCTTCTCATCCGTTTCAATAATGGGTTTGGGCTCTTTTTGCATCACAGTTTTCTTAGCCTAATCTTCCAGTGAAGGTGTAGTCTGCTTAACCTCTTGGACTACTGTAGGTCTAAATGCTTTTCTCTCCTTATTCACAATCCGTTTCTTGCTAGGAGCAGTGATCGTATCAATCGCATTGTTTCGTGAAAATTGACGCATGCGATGTCCTCTTTCGTTACAGTTGTAACACTTTAAGAATTTTTTGTGCTGTGGGCAATCTGCTCTACAGTGATCAGAGGTTTGACATATGCGACAAAAATCAGACATATTCTCCTATTGGAGTAAAACATATCTTTTCTTTCCATCATTTTCTGTCCAAAGGATTACTCGTTGCAAAGGTTCAAATTGAGTATCTTTATCTCCTGGAGGAGATAGGTTAAGAGTGGCATAGCCCTGTCCAGTAAAACATCCTTTAACTGTAGTAACTCCTAAATCCAAGATTTGACTAGAGCATGATAGTTGGCCTTCCATATCGGCCTTCAATAAGCGGGAAGGCAAATAAGGGAGTCTTTCCAACTTGAGTCTGACCATACGAGCGTCAGCAGGGATAACTTGGAAATCCTTTAACAAATGTCCCGTCTGCCAAGTAAATCCCTTCATTTGCAATAACGTTTCTTCCAGGACAATCTTTGAACCAGAGAGTTTCAACGTATTCGCGGCTAAGTTATTTTCTAATAGTAGGTACTCGACCGAGATAGTCTTGAAATTCTGTAATGCATCAAACAAGGTTTGCTGATCCTTCAAATCTGTAACATCGATTAAAATACTGTTTCTCTCGATTCCTTTCAAAAAGATTGCACGAGCTGAACAGGTGAAAGAGTGTTGGATTCAGAAGTCAAAGGCACATCAGTAGTAACTGTATTTGTTGCAGGGACACTTGGAGTAATTATAGTAGGTCGAAAGAACTGAATCTTACGAGCACTACTCGATACTATTTTAGCCCAGGAGGAGTAGCCGGTTCGTTAAGATGAGTTTCTGTCAGAGCTTATTGCTGTGGTTGGAAATGTATGGCTCTGATTTTTACATGAAAGATCCATTGTCTATTGCTTTCTTTCTAGACTCATGGAGACGCTTTATCATCCTCAATTTTATCCCTATTGTGCTTAAAAATCTCCATCGCACTCTAGTTAAGAAGCTTCAAGAGCCAATCTACTTTGACGTATTTCAAAAAAAAGACTGTAGTACAATAAATGGGCTCAAAATGTTTATTGAAGAAACTTAGGCGTAGTATGTACGTAAAAGACTGAGCAGTTAAACAAAAACTCTTATTAAAAAGTCAATATTATTTGCACTACAAAGATAAATACAACCCATCATTTTAAAGTGCCACATTGAATGCCAGGACGCAAAGTCCGGTCGTAGATAGACAGACTATACTGTACGTACATTTTCTCAAGAAAAATGTATAATCAATGTCGCCTTATTACGTAAGGTTTGAGATCGTCGTAATTCTCTCAAAAGTGCTCAAGGATAGCTTAAAGCCTATTTATGCATGCATGAATTACTCTAAGTGTCTATAGACAGTGTTTAATGCTATACATGGTACTTTTGGAGTTGGCTTGACTAAAAAAAAAAAAAAAAAAAAAAAAAAAAAAAAAAAAAAAAAAAAAAAAAAAAAGAGCGACTTGTAAAAAGAATGGCCATTTTGCCTTCGAATTGAAAGGGTACTAGTCGTGAAAATTGACAATTTGAGAACTTCTGACCTTCTTTCTGACACTACACGACAAAAGATGGAGCTATTGAAAAGCCCAAGTACTCAAAATGTGCCTAGAGGCTTCAGTTTCTGATGAACGTGTTTGTTTGTTAATTGACCTATAAAACCAATGAAATATGAGCGAAGAAGCTCATAAACATTTTTTGCACATTTACTGAACATTTAAGCAGTAAATTTGCTGTATTTTCTACATCAAGAGGCTTGAAAAGTAAAGATCTACAGCTTTTGTTGTTGTATCAAGACTAAGCAACTGTGTCTTTATGCATTCCTAGCTTTAGAATGAATAGAAGTGCAAGATGAAGGTGATAGCGAATGCTACAGCTGTGAATGATAGTGTGTAAAATACAATTCAATGTGTGTGGAGTAGGATGGAAGATGGTCTGAAAAATAAGAAAAGGATAAAGTCCCTGCTGCATAAGAGTGTGTCGATTGAATGCTCTGATTGCCTCTTGTTAATAAGATCTGTTTTATTTTATGCTATTGTTTTGAGTCTTCAGATGTGTATCAAGTTATTACCTTTTTTTTTCTAGTAGAAAGTGATGCGTGGTGACGAAACACTCAACCAGGAAAAATTATGTAGGGGGCATTTAATAAGTTTCTTTTATCGCTGGTACGGCAAAAGCACAATGTCTTAGGTAACATTGCCTTTATTTTTGATGTATAGGTTTCCTTTTACATTTCAGTTTTTTTTGTCAAAACCTTCGCTTGATATTTTTAAAACTGCTAATAAACATTCTGTAAATTTCATATAACTTTTTTTTTCTTCTTGGGGAAGTATCAAGAAGCATACTATGCAGTGATCGACATCAGAGGCTACGATTTAAACTCTCACTCATTGTATATCGTGAATGCACATGGCGGCTGTAGGCAATTATACCTTTAGAGGCTCTGCATGCAAACACAGTCTAAGGGGAAGAGAGCTGCATAATCGTAAAGTTGTTATTTTAGGGTTAATGAATACTATGCGCCTTTTATGATTTAGCTACAAGTCGATCGATGCATGATCTACTGTCTCAATGAGTAGAAACAGGTATAAATACAGGACTTGTACAGATCAAATTAGAGCCATTCGTCCAATCTTTATACAACATGGTCAGGCTTTTTACTTTTGGTGCTCTTTCTGCTTTGCTTTTTGCTACTGTGCAAGGTGTTGATCTGAATCGTTACGTGACAGTCGGTCGTGATCAAAAGTGTGGTGTTACCCGTGGTAATTCAGCTGAAGGTACTTTCTTGACCATCCATTTAAATTGTGGTCCAAACTTGGAATGCAAGAATGGGTATTGTGCTTTCAAGTCTCATCTTTCTCCGGGCACCGTTTCATGTAAAAATGCGTTGGCCAAGAATGGTTACAAAGGCTATGTAGCTATCTCTAAAAACTATTGTTATGTCGATAATGAATGTAAAGATCTGTATTATGCTGCCGAAGGTGGAAGATATGAGGACGCTGATAAAATCTGTAACGATTGTGGCAAATATTGTGTCAAGTTTTGATAAGGAAGTCTTTTGTTTCTATTTTTTGAGCCAGTCTTTCGTTCGGCTAAAATTGGCTCGTAGTTTGTTGTTTGTTGATCAATTAAAATCTTCTCAAATCACATCTCATGAGAACATTTGTATTATCATTGATTAAATAGCACAGTCAAAAAACCTGGTTTTCTATATATATATATATTATATACATCAACTGCGAATTTTTTCTTTGATATGGACAAAGAAAAGAAGGATAGCTATATATTGAATCAGTGTATGGTATACACTCTAAGGATACTATGATGATTGCTGGATTCCGACAGTCACGGCTGTCTAGTAGCACAACAACATGTTTTTACGTGCCTAAAGCTTTTAGACTTATGAGCAAAAGCAAATTTGTTTTTTAAACAGGTCATTTTGAGTATAAACTTTGAATCATATGAAAATTATTGACTAATTATGCTTGATCCTTTTTTGATTAGCATTGTTTTTAAGATAGGCGTACAATGTACATTGATAGGTTAAAGCTAGAGCTGTTGCTTACTTCAAACCCATTTATTCAAAGAAATAAAGCCTGTTATTAACTGTTTTTGCTTGCGAAAATACTATACACTCAGAAACTAAAATGACCAGGATACAAGCCTATTTCTTTGTCTCTCTCTTATTTTGTAGGTAGTACGAACACGTACATTTGACAGAACATGGTGCATTCGTAAATAGTAATTGTGCACTATTCTTGAAAAAGAACGCACCCTGTTGTACGCCATATTCAGCGCCAGCTCTTTATAAATACAAACACTAGCGTAATATGCGGGTGTAACAGAAGCATTTATCTGCAGGGACCATGGTGATCAAAAGATGAACGATGTGATGTAGAGCATAACGCATCTACAACTCGCTTTAGGCCTATTTACGCTGTAATATTAGAGTATGTATACATGTGTTTTCGTAGGCTATCTCTAGCTATAACATTCAGATCGATGCCATTATAATCTGTATTATGTAGTCGATGTGTAACATTTCAAGGTTTATGATTTTCGAAATTGCATGTTATTAAAGAACTCAAGTAAAAAGCAAGACAAGATTTGTGTTACTAGCAATTAGTCGTTGATAATTGACAAAAACAAAAAGAAAGATAAACAGCCAAGTATAAACTAAAATATACTCTTTTTTTTTTCTCCACAAAATATATGTATAAACTGCCCGATTCTTAATGCCGCCTTAACACAGGCGATCCGACCGCAATTTTTTTTTGTAAATAATCACACCACTTTTTCTTTATTTCATAATGCGATGGGGTAATACCAAACGATCGGTCCAATCCAGATTAATATTGTACCACTCTATCTCGACAACTTGGAAGATGCTCTTTTCTTACAATGAGATATTTTATTAAAAGAATAGCGTAAAAAAAAAGAAAAAAAAAGAGATATACAATCTATAAAAGTGAGTACAAGGGAATGTGTTACATACAATAGTAAAAAGCTTAGTTTGAAATCAGTGGCGTATAGATGGAGGCATAGTAATAGTAGCGAATCTAAATGTTTTGAATAATGGAAGAGAAAGAAGTTGATCGTGTAAGTTTGACACCAGTTTGATTTGGATTACAGAATGTGAGCCCATCAAATGAAGTTGTCAAGCTTGCTCTTCTTTTAGGTGGGGGAGGGGACAATTGGAAGTCTCTGTCATATGCCATGGGTCTTGATGATTTAGATGATTCTTCAAGAAGTGTGCGAGGAGATAAAGGACTAGGAGTACTGACAGTGGCTTCAGGAGAACTGCTTTGCTTACCGAATAACCGAATGTCTTCGTCACCATAAGTGAAATGTTCAAACAAGAGCTCTTTTATAGAACTAACAGCCGATCGACTTGTTTCCTCTGTGATGACACTACTATTAGCAGTGGCAGATGTATTGGTGCTGTCACTACGACTAAGATGCTGTGGCTGTTGTTTATAATGACGATGCTGTTGCTGAGATGGAGTGCGGCTCTTAAGGATACTATTGCCGCTAGTAGGACGCAATGTCGTACTACGAGAATTGGGTTGTTCAATATGTTCTTGAGTTTTATTTTGAGACTGGCTAGCACTTCTTCTACGTACTACGGGTACACTAGCAGAACTAGCCTGACGATTTAATTTGGGTGGGATGGTATTAGATTTGGTACGAGAATGCTGTAATGCAGGTGGAATATTGGAAGGTAAATCGAGTTTTCTTGGGAGTCGACCGAGAACTTGAGAAGAATTGATAGTTCCCTGACCTTGTACAATTTTTAGAAACTGCTGTTCATCAAAGTATTTGAGTGCAGCCCATGAGGGATTTAAAAAGGAAAACCTTTTTTTCAAAGAATTAAGATTTTCTAAATAAGTTTGAGTAAAATGATATGTGGTGAGATAAAAATTCAATACTTACGCTTTCCGATACCGCCATGTTCAAGTATACCATGGAGTGGCTTATGAGGAGCAGGTAGAGTACCCTTGGTGCCTTGCTTAAGAGGTGCTTTGCCTTTGACCAAGCGACAAATGTTGCGTGCAATGCAAACACCGGAAATAGTAGCTGCATAACCTGTTTTTTCTTCTACAACGTTGGTTACATCACCACCTGCAAAGATATGATCATACTTGTAATGATCAATTTGGAGTGTAGGTTTAACTTTAATTCGACCCCATGCATCAATACAATTGTCTAGGGAATTATCACTTGTGCTTGAGGTAAAAAGATTATTGTTAGGACGAGTACCAGTGGCAATAAAGACTTTATCATAGCCAGTATATACACGGCCACTAGAGCCGAGATAGGCATTGTCATTGCTTGAATCAAAATCCAATATTCTTTCATTGCAAACGACTTCGACACCAAAGTCTTGGAGGTATTTGAGAGCCATGTTTTGCTGACGGGTATCACTTCTATTGACAACATTTGAGTGGGAATCAACAAGTGTGATTTGCTTTTTTGGGAAAGCACCAGGAAAGTGATGTTGAGATATTTCGGAAGCCAATTCACAACCAACAAGACCGCCACCTAACCAATAATAATGAGAACTTTGTTTTCAAATTGGTAAAAAACTTACCAATAATTAATACTCGACGAGCTTTTAATAGTTCAAGGTATGATTCTTCCAAGCCTGACATACGATAGAGTGAAGAAGTGTCTGTTGATTTAAGTTGAGATGAGTAAGCGCTACCAGTAGCGACAACAAGATAGTCAAAATTAATCTAATTTTTACTTGTAAGTCAAAGAACGGCTTAAATCGGATAGAAAGAAAACATACCACTTCGCCATTCACAGAGATTGACTTTCCTTGATTTGATAAGTCTTCGGCATAACCAATAATTACTCGCCCATTTTTAACATAGGCATCATGACGTACACGAAGAGAACTTGTTTGTTCAGGATTAACAATTTTTTTGACAATACCAGGTGTATATTCAAAGGAATCTAAAAGGAATTAAATGAGTGGTTGGGTAATGTGATTTTTTTTCCTTATTTACCTTTTGTATCAATCAATGTAACATAGAAACGTGGCATTTGGTCTAGAATTGAAGCTACTGTAAATCCCTATAAATCAAGTCAGGATGATAGATCATGTTTCTATCTACCTACAGTAAAACCACCACCAATGATAGTAACTCGTACTTGATAGTTTCGTATTATAGTTGGACTGACGTTTCTGCTGTATGTTAGTTAAGGTTTACACACTTGCGTTTCGTGTAACTTTACCCAGTTGGGACATCCATTGTTTGTAAAAATTCAGCCAATTTGACTTTCTATAAATATAAATATTGATAAATAAACGTGATAAAAATCGCGCCCATGTTTCTCAAGAGAGGGAACGAATGTAATACCAGCATGTCAACAACTTGTGTTTCAGTTTCTTCAAGGATCGTGACAGCATCTACACGGTCTACAATAGCCCATTGCAATGCTCGAATGTCGTCTCTTACTTGTTCTTGTGTGGTGACATTTAACTCTAGTGGCGATCCGTGAGCTAAAAATGTCTTGTAAATTCTATAAAGATTTAGCCATACTGACATAATTTTTTTTTTTTTTTTTTTTTTTTTTTTTTTTTTTTTTTTTTTACCTGTGAAGTATATTTTCAACTGCATTCGGATCAGTTTCATGCTTTAATTGAGACATTGCCTCAATAAATAACAAGCTTTCATGAGACCATGTTTGTCGAAGAAAGCACTCAAAAGCGCATAATAGTTTAGGATTTGAAAGTACTTGGCTTAAAGTGTATTGAGTGGTTGAAATAGTTGAATCATCGCCTGTTGAAGAACTAGCTGTAGAATAAGTAGAAGATGAAGACGACAGCGAATGCTGCGACTTTAATTCTTGATGTGTGTAATGCATTTTCAATGCTTGTGTGGAGTGCGGTAGAATATGTTTTGAAAAAAAGAGTGGAGAGAGAAGAAATATAAGAGAAAGGAAAATTCTTCACGGCCAATTTGTGTTTAAATTTTGGCTCTCTCGATTCAAGCTTTACTTGATAGACAAGGTAAATGGCATGATTATTTTACCCAATCGGAGTCTCTAACCTGTGAAACAAATGCCCATTGTTGCACATTAGGTATACCGGGAGAGAAAACGGGGGGGACAAAGACCTTTAATTGTCAAAAAAAAAGCGGTATTAGTCGTAGTCAAGAATATTGTGATTTATAAGCTCGTTTTTTTTAAGCTTGTCTTTTTTATTATTATTTAAACAGTAGACATCAGAAAAAAATCATAAAAGAAAGAGAAAATATGTCAATCTAGTAGAAAAAAAAGAAGAGGATATACAATGAAGATTTGTTGATGTATATGTATAAAGAGAGAAGGGTGTGTAGTAAATTATGATAGTAGTTGTTATGTTGCATCTAGTGTTGTCATTTTACCAAACAGGTCTTGAATCATGCTTGGCCATATCAATGATTCTCCAGCCCCCAGTGACAGGGTTTTGAAGATCCTCGGGTTCCTTTGTAAGAACACAAGCGTAGGTTACTTGTTCAATAAGATCCTAAAAAATAAAAAATTAGCTTATTTGCCTAATCCATTTAGCCTTTTCGTCCTCTTACCTCCTTGCCGTAAACAATTTCACCACTTCTTGCATTACGGAATACAATAATTTCTTGTGTACGGAAGGACAATACGAGTACAGGAATATCGTTTTCTAAGATTTTGGCAGCGACCAACTTGATGGAATAAGTCAGTATATATTTTGACATGTGGAAAACACCTTACCTCAATGTCACGCAAATCTTGAATTTTACAGTCACTAATTAAACCTTGTTGCATTTGAGCTTGAATGACAGCAGTCAACACATTATATGTCTGGAAAATGTCAATGATATGTGAATGTATAGAACCCTACTTACGGCTTCTGAGCACCATAACTTCAAGGTATCGACATCGCCCTTCAAATAAGCTTCCATGAGTTCAGGAACAATATATTTACGAGCATCTTCCATGAACTTGTCCATGTTAAATGTAGGGTCAATGGCTTGAAAAGCACGAATGGCTTGTGCTTGATCTGATTCTTCGAAAATGGAACCTGAAAATATATGTAAATATAAATACACACACACACACACACACACACACACACACACACACACACACACACACACACACACACACACACACAACCATTAAACTCTATACTTACCAAACGTATCAGCAATACGGTCAGTGAATGCACGGGAATAAGAAACGAAAAGATTATCTGATTCTTCATAATTTTTTCTAGCACGGAAGATACCTGTTCCCCACAAAAAAATAAAATAAAATAAACGGCCTGATCAAGCGTAATATTAATTTACCTTGCATGATAGGACTGTCTTCCTTAAACTTGTTCCAGCTTTCCTTCCACTTGGAGTCTTTGTGAATGACCAAATTAGCACCGGCTTCAGGATTTTCGGCAACAGACTTGGTGCTCTTTTGGGTTGATTTTTGAGCTTCTTCACGCATCTTACGTCTTGTTTCCTTATCAACAAAACCACCATAACGACCTGAATCATCCTTCAAGACTGTCTTGAAGGAATCTGTGATCTTTCCAACAGCTTCACTCTTTTTCAAAGGATCCACAGTCTTGTCAATGGTTTCTGCAGCTTTCTTGATCTTTTCTGAAGTGTCTTTGGCAAATTCGGTTTCTGAAGCCTTTTTGAAAGAATCATTGACAGAAGAACCTACTTTTTCAGCAGCTTTGGTGATCTTCTCAGTAGCTTGCTTCAAACGCTCTGATTGAATGGATTGTTGAGCCTGACCGTGAAATATGAGTATATTGGTTTCTTTTTTGTTGTTGTTGTAGAGTACTTACTTTAGCCTTTTCGTACATTTCTTTGGCCTTTTTAAGTGCCTCACTATCGTTTAAACGACCTGACTCATCTTGCAAAGTCTTGACTTCTTTACTTTTTGACATTTGCTCTTTCAAAGTATCCATAAAAACCTTGAAAGGAGAGCTGTAGTGACGCACAGAGGTATTTTGGTAACGCACAGCGCTACTGTTCAAGCGTGTTCTTGAAGTGGTGGTCAAAAGAGCTCTATAGGCAGACATAATATATGCAAACAAGTAAAGAGAGAAATAAAAAGAAATAGGTAGAACAAATTGGATCTCTTTTTGAATGGGGTAGGGTGGCTTGTCTTTAGAAGGAACCCTTGGACAATATTTAAAAGCCCGTACAATGCCATATATGAGCAAGAAAGGGACATAAAGCAAGGGCAGCTGTCTACATACTTAGTGAATAAGACATACATGAGATATACTCAATGAAATGACTGAATGAAGAGGTTTGTGCAAAAGAAATACAAAAATGCGTAGCTTTCTAGAGATACAAACTGATTTTTATTGGTTATGTTTGTGTAATCTTTTTGATCAAAGCTCGCTTCATGAATTGTTCTCTTGATAGAGTACGAGTATACTAGCACAAATGAGTACAGACAGTAACAAATGACACTAATTACCTTCATAAATGTTGCTAAATCAATTCTCTCTGAATTCAAAGCTCTTGCTAGAAAATAAACTGTGTCTGATATAGCATTATCATCAGCTACTAATTCAAACAGCCTAATTCCGAGTTAGTTATTTGGCTATTTCCTTATGTCTGCTTACTGATTAGCTACAACAGTTGTACCACACAATGCTTCATCTACTTGAACGTCAGGCATAGCATTGACCTTGTCAGTAACTTGGTCTATTTCATTTGATCTTGATTCTAAAACCAGCGTATTATGCTTTAATCGCTCCTTAATATCATACAATGCTCTGAATTCTTGCTCAATTGCCATTTCCCCTTCATTCAATTGTCGATTTTGAAGTAACAGTCTGTCCATATCACCCGATATTGACACATTGTATTGCTGCAGTCTATCAGCAATCTTCCTATAGAGTTGTTCTTGTAAACTAGAGCTTGAATTTGGAGGTATTGTAGAAGGGATTGTAGGAAGTGAAGCTGATTTAGGTAATGTATTGCTCGAGTTTAGACTAAGTGCCTATGACAGAGTTTATTACCTCCTGTTGCACATTATTTACTTACAGTCAAGCCTTGATTCATATTATACAATGCAGTACTCTCACTCATCCATCGAGGCTGTTCAATTGCTGCATGAGAAGGAGCTGGGCTACCATTATTAAGTGGTGATGACTGTGGTTGTGGCTGTGGTTGATGAGAAGCTCTGTCCAAAAGAGATTCTTGAAATTGTGGTGATCCTATTACATTAGGTGACATATTGTTTGGCTTAGTATATACAGGAGGTTCCTGAGCAAATACTTGTTGAAGAATAGCTACTAGCTCTAATAGCGTATGGTTCTATCATAGCTATAAGTACCATAGACATGTATTTAACACTTTCTTACTTGATCATTTGACCAGTTTGATCTATAGTGGTGATAACACATGCCACTCTTATCAACATGCCTTCCTTCCCGTATCAGCATATTTGCTGTAGGCTTAACATATGGAATAGGCGAGGCTTTTGGGTACTCTTTTGGAATCCAAAAAGCAACCGGAATGTTGTATGGAATAGACCTATAAGTAATAGGAACTGTACCATGTAAACATAATAGCAGTTGTGTATGGCCATCATTAGATGCTATAGTGAAGAATGAGTTAAACTAAGTAGTAATAGAGTATTTAGACATACTATAGGTGTCCATCTTGGGCTTAAGTGACAAGTACGTTTGCAAAACTGCATCTACATCCCGAAACGTTCTATCAGGGTCTTGATACTAAATAGAATAAGTCATAGAATATCATTATAATCAACAAGACTTACGTGTTGTAATACTGTACGTAGCCAACTCTTAATATCCATAAGTATGTATACGTGAATATATAAGTGTTATGTATCTATATACTGTATATGTATATGTTAGAAGAGAAGAAATGCTTGTTTCTCTCTTTAAAAGCCTACGCTTATTTCAATGCCCGATGTACTGTGGCATTTTTATGGATTTTTGTAGATGGAGGCAAAATAATTATAAGAGAAGATAGGACCACCTCTTTATTTTTGTAGTATTTCTTGTTTTAAAACAAGGTAAAAACGTTTAATAAGATCAATAATGAATAAAAAGTATAGAATGGCTGAAAATAAGTTGATCAGAAATGATTTATTTCATCTAAGCACTCTTATTCATGCTTAACATAAAATAGTTCCAGTCTTTGTATACAAAGAGAATGAAACAAAGGCTAATCTCTCAATTAATATGGAGATTTTGTTTAGTGCTATTAGGTACGGCCAAAGATGGATGGTTTCGGCCTTTGAGAACGATAAGCTCGCATTTTTTTGTAAGCCTGATGTACTCCAAGTATTGGGACAGATGTTTGAAGCGGAATAGTTATCTAGAAATCAAATTAGATGACTTGGACTGACTGTTACTTCAAAATCGCAGTTAGTACAACTGTACAATTTGGCTTGAGTAATGCATTTGTACAAGTCAGCACCTCAAACAATAGTCGTTTCCCCACATCACTGGTATGACCGCACCTGAATCAAGTAATTTGTTTTGCGCCCGGTCGACTTCATGACTGACTTCAGGTACGACTGTAATTTTTAAACTTCTTTTTTATGCAAGTTAAATTCCTTTTGAAACTTGAGTTCTGTGCAACATTTCTCTGTTTTGAGGAGATCTTTCAAATCTCAATCTTCCTTAAATAATCAATGTCTATATTCTCCTTTATTGGTTTAGGTCTCTGATTTTTGTGCTTTTATGCCTTTTTCTTCTTAATACTTTTTTCTCTCTCTTCATTGACACTGTTTGCTTTTTTATAAGATCATTACCCCTGAATTTACTCTAGGGTTTCTATTCCTGATTGACAAATTAACAGAGGAGTTTTTCTCAAGTGATTATTTGTCAATATATTTATACATCATTTTGCGTACAACACAAGATAGCCCCGTCTCCTTCCTTCTCCCCCTTTTCCCTCCCCCTTCAATTGAACCCAAGTAGGTGCTTTGTAATTTGCAAGTAAGGAAGAGAATTATCTTTCTCTTTTTTTATTTGGTGTAAGGAGTAACTACAGTATTTCTACTTTGAATTCAGACGATGCTAGTTTTTTTTCTGGGCGAATCAAAATTAATTTCAGGATGCTCTTCTTACCTATTTTGGACGAAATAAAATGGAAATTAAACAGAAAGAGAAGAATTATTAAAGAAGGTACAATAGTATGTTAGATGATTTTATCTATAACAATCTTAATTCCCAAAGGAAATACCGTGTTCATTACGGCGAGTATTGCTTTTCTTTTTACTTTCTCTCGAATCGTTCTTGACGGCTTTCACCCTTCTAAATTGACTTAGCAATGTTCATCATATTCAAACTAGCGTTGATGTCACGCTGCCATAATGTTTTTCACGTTTTGCAAATGAGAACACTATTACCGTGGACACCAATAATACCACCCAAAACCCTACTTTCACATTTGGAACATATTTAGGATGTCAAATATTCATCAATGTCCACAACGAGTAAGTCATCAGTCCTCTCTCTCTTCTTTTCAACGTTCTGTATAGAAGACCAGTGACACCAGTCCGGACCGTTTTCATCTTCACATGGTTCTTCCCAAACATGCTACTACCAGATACTATCAGTGGTACCTTCTGTTTGTACTGAAAGAAATTGCTTTCTCTAAGTACCATAAACTTATGAGTATAAAAATTATCGTAGCCATGCCCAAGTAACTTTTTACCTTGTTTCTGTTGTTTTCGGTGCCATTTTTCTCTTTCCTTTATTCTTCTTTCCGGACTTATTCCCTTCTTCTTCCGCTTCCCTTTGTTCTTTGCTCTTTTTCGTTTGTTTCCTCTTGACTTCTTGTTGTATTTCTTGGTATCATCTAACAACATTTTCACCATTTGCTCCGGTGCTCGTTGACGACCCTGGTATAAGAAAAAGGTTTCTTTTGCAGTTTCTTGATTGTAAAAACTGAAAATACGACCAATGTTTTCGAGCATATAAATGGCATACTCCATATACAGTAATTCATTGGCAGTCTTATTGGTAGGTATATTTGTTTCAATCGTCTTAATACCGCATGCTTTCTTTTTCTTTTCTTGCTATGCTGAGAATTTTGTAGAGCCTGTCAAGTGGTAATATTCCTTAATGGAACATTGTCTGAAGTCGTTAATATTACCACTTGAACCAGCAAATGCAGTGAAAACCCTTTTTCTTCCTGGATCTACGGCTATTGGTAAATAGTGGCTGTCAATTTCATGCTGCTCAAAATCATCCAGAATCAGATCAACTTGATTGATTTGCTTGGTTAAACGTTTTTCTGTGATTGTTCGTTTGTTAAAAACAAAATCAACAGAAAAACCGTCTGATCTGATCAGATTACCAAAGAGCCTCTTATTTGTTCCAGTGGGTAATAAAGATTCAATCCTAATAGTAAACATATTTTAAATGACTATTATATAAAAACATTTTTTTACAACTATGTACTTACGATTTGATTATAAGCGGTTTAAAATCAAACACCTTGTAAAATAAATGCAGCTGATCATTATACCCTCTGGGGAGTGGTTCACCAGGAAGAAATGCTGCTAATGCATTGACCGAAATTGTCACTGATCGCCAATGGCATGATGGTGAAGGGAATACATTGGACAGCCTTAGTAAAGGAACTCTTTTAACGTCAAACGCTTTATGGGATTGATGTTCCCTTTCAAAGACAGTCAGTATATGAAACAACAGAGGAACAAAAAAGCCAGGGTTATCAGCTAATGATTTTATACTAACTCTAGCATCGAGTTTTTTTTTTAAGTGGCAGGCATAGTTCATCGATTCTTCGTTTAATCATAGGGTCTTCAAGTGATTTCTGTTCAAGCCACGCCGCTTCACCTTGGCATACATACTGATATCCATATTTTATAACAATATCATCGACGTCCTTCGGAGCCATGGACTATATACATAATATTTAAGTATTTAGAGTAAATGGATGTGATTATTAGCTCTTACAACAAACACAATTTGAATTTAATATTGCAAAAATCTTCTCAATATATTTTCAAGTCTTTCTACAACTGCATTCTCGTAGGTGGTTGCCAGCTCCTTGCAGGCCTCAGCGATTCACTGGCTAGTTCCTTCAGTCAAATCTTCATTAAAAGTGGCATTAGGATTTCCAGCTTTGAAGCTATCCCACTCTTGTAAAAAATTTTGTGGCAGAAGCTTGGTGTTTTTAGGTTCTCTATTGTTCACCAGTTGACAAACAGGATACCAAAACTGTTGCCGAAAGATACCATCAGATATGGGTTCATTTGGGGGTTTCGAAAGATACCAGTTCACAAAAAGTTTGGCTCTAAACACTATCTCCCTTACAGCGCTACAACACGAGGTTATTTTCTGCTTCAATATGTTTTGATATTCTTCCTTGACACAATTTTGAAAAGGTAATTTACGAGCGCAAACAGTGTAATTTGGCCCAAGATTTTGAAGCATAGTATTTGACTTACTTGTAATGTAAAATGAGCAGAAGAGTGGCCGGGAAGTTCACACTTCTTGCATATTACCCCCGGATTAACTTCAGCTTGATTCCTTTGAAGTTTTGCTGCTCTTTTTATTTTTTTTTCAGTATTTTAGGCTGCTTTCTCTTTCTTTTTCTGGTACTAACTATTAGATAGGTTTAGTGATCAATATGGCCATATGAATTGAACACTTAATGATTACACCTTCGTGGCCAGTTTCTTGTGTATATAATTGACATTTGTAGAATTTTTTTTTGACCAGTGGCCTTTTTTACCACAGTCCAAACATGTTGCATCTAAATCGAGTGATATTGTCAGTTAGACTTTTACTGCACGAAAAGCTACTTGCATACCTTCAGATTCGTTTTTTTCTATTCGATTTGTATAAACTAATGGTTTTTTTTAGGAATATAGTTGTACGATGCATGATAGGTTTGGTATATCAAAATAAAGAAAAAGGAAAGCTCATAAAAATCAAACTGTCCCATATCATTGACACGGGTATTGACAGCATTTTTTGAAACTCATTATATCAGTCCCTCCTATCCATACCAAGAGTTGTTGTCCGTATTCTGTCGTTTAAAAACGAGCCAAACCTATTGCTAAGGGTTGGAGCAGATGGAGAACTTAATTTTTCTTTAAATAAGATGAACCTCGTTAAAAAAAACATTATAACAGACAAGTCAATCTAACTATTGTTGATGATCTGGTATAAATAACTTTAAACAAAAAAAAGTATATTATCACAAATAAATCTTTTCTCATAACAAGAACATTTGTCATCTATTATTATTATTATTATGCCAGCTAGTCATAGTTTGATAGCAATAGAACTGAGTTCATTCTAAACAATGATATAGCTGAATCAACATTTACACTCTTACGGAATAGAGTCATATAATCCAGAAACCAGTAAACAGATCTCGTCTTGAATGATAAATAACTGTAAAGATGGTTCGCAAAGTATATTTTATTGAGAAAGCCAATACTCTTATTCCATCTAATATAACCTTCAGCTCATCAAGTCCTATCTCAGGTTACATCTAAGGACATAATCCAAATCATATATAAGCCTAGAATACAAAAAATCTCTCTCGAACTTTTACCTCAATACATTTATAAACGGTCTCAAAGTATTTCCTACACGTCTCTTTATTTTTTATAATTTCTATATTCAATCTTTTTATTTAAAAAGTCTCAAAACGCCACAATAACCAGTCATTTTGATATTGCTTCTCTAACAATTGATTTCCCTTTACAAATAAATGTCTAAATGTAAACTCTCATTCATCCAAAAAGCTAATTCTTTTTCTGTCTAATTTCCATTTTATCTCGTCCAAAATAGGCAAGTTAAACATCTGGAAATTAATTTTGATTCGCCCAGAAAAAAAAACTAGCATCGTCTGAATTTGAAGTGTAAAAACAGTATTTTCTGTTCTGACATGCAAACAAGCTTTTTTTTCCTGTCGTTAAAACTAACGGTTTTGATCAACAAAAAGGCAGTCTAGGGAAAGTGAACCCTATCTTTATAGCCTAAATCCGTAACTCTATAAAAAGAGAGAATGTGTAAAGTTTAACCTCTTTTTTCTTATTGTTATTATTTTCTGTACAAAATGTCAAGAGACCAAATGGACGATTTATTAAACAACCCTATCAACTTTGAGCATATCAAAGTTAACCCACATTTTGATTTTTCAATTTCTTTTGTATGGGATGAAATCCAATTTCTCTTTAATGAACCTTCTTCTCCATCCACTCAAGGCTCACTCACACCTACCGAAGAAAATGAAAAAGAAGCTTATTTTGGATCAGCGTTCCTGTGTGTTTATCGTCAACCTACTAACCATGTATGTTCATTTTGCTCTCGTGTGTTTTCTCGTCGCCATGACCTTGAAAGACATTGCCGTGTTCATACGGGCATCAAGCCATACCATTGTCCACACTGTCAAAAATCATTCTCTAGATCTGATGCCAGAGGTCGTCATTTCCATTCCAATCCTTTATGCTTTCATGACGCAAGAGTTCAAAAGCTTATTCGTCGCCGTAAACCAAAATCGCCTTGATTGTATTTTCTATTTTGTTAGATTCCTCTCTTTTTTAGCAAATATAGGCATAGACTAAAAAAGCTTAACTCATCCTTTTCCTATATTTGTAAATGTATACTCCTTATTCTTTTTTATATTTACCACTATTGTATATGACTCTTTATGACCCCCTTTTTTTTATGAAATAAAGTTATGTGTTCGTGAACACAGAAAGGGAAACATGCATATTGGCAACAAAAAAGGAGAAAGCTTATTATTTATTGATTAAAACCTAATCCACTTGACTATTCAATTTCTGCTCCCCCTCACGTCTTTCTAATTCCTCGGCTTCGCGATCAATCTTGCTGAATTGCCATTTCCAGGAAGCATTGTACAGAAAAGGTCTTAAATCAAATCGATTGTCATCGGTACTATAGGCTTCAGCATGATATGAAGGCGTCAAAGTTGTCAATTTGTGTCGATTGATAGAGTAGTAGAAAAAGAATCGTTTTACTTTGGTGGCTACCTCCTTAGGTGGTAAATGGTCACCCCATTCGTGCACTAGCTTGCTGAACATGGAGTAGGGGCCACAACGATCGACCTTACGAAGGCGACCATATCTAGAAAGCTCATCATAGGTCATACCCATATCAGCTTCATCCGACTGCACATACTCTTTTGTGATTGGCTCTAGTTCAGCAGTAGGTACGGCATCCAAGAATTCACCTAAAATGGGCAAGTCGAATTTGCTCTGTGCATAGTGAATAAAGAGTTTGAGATCGTGTTTGGAGATAGCGCCAATAGGATTGACATCAGCACTACTACAATCATATTTGGTCAAATAGCCACGTAACGTTTCGTCCACATTGGCACTACCCAAGACTAACAAACCTCCCTTGATGGAACGGCACCAGGGCAAGAGTTGGGCAAAGAGATAAGCAAGCAACATGCGGAGACGAGCTTGAATATTTTGCATAGCCAGGTTTTCGGTATCTGTTCCGCCATGAACTTTATATTTGGGTGATTTGCCAGTAACCAAAGTAAACAAGCTATGAATAGACTTGACTACTGTATCCATATTCAAATCAGTATGGTAGCTACCGATGACATTGGCCAAGTCCTTAGCTCGTTTACGGGTTTCATTGCTTGAGTTTTCAGTACCCATATAACAAGTATAAAAGATACGATGAGCAAATTCGCGAGGATCTGTAGGAGTGTAATTCTCTTCACCAGCTAAACGACGAGCATCTTGAATAACTTGCTCATTGCCCTCACCTGCTTCCTTGACTACTAAACGACACATGGAGGCAACGATGGTAGCAGTAGCACAACTATCAATGCCACCGCTGAGTGGCAAAAAGTAGCCTGATGTTTTTGATCGACGTAAATAATCCCACAACCAACAAGCAGGACCTAAGGCAATTTCTTCTTCAGGGATATGGTAAAAGGGAGGGCGGGGCTGTGTGGGGCGAATATGGATATTGTCTTCAATATAGCTGTGTGTCAATGCCATGTTGACTTGCTCACGTTGGTAAGCAGCTGTAAGTTGTGCTTGGATACCACGACTTGCCATACGAGCACGGTAAGACCGAACATCCTCTAAATCTACAGTGGCAGTAACAACCTCAACATCCTTAAGTGAAAACTGGGATCCTTGTGCAACAATATCGCCGTTCATAACAATCATGGCGCAACCATCATAATAGAGACGATCACCGTCACAACCTTGTTGATTGGCGTAAAGATAGACACCACCTACTTTAGCAGTAGCGGCTTTAATCAGATCAATACGCGTATTTAATTTACGCAATTCGTGATGACTGCCACTACTATTTGTAAATACTTCAACACCATCGAGGCCCATATTGATATGGGGACTAGCAGGTGTAAATAATTCTTCACATGTCTCACAACCAATACAAGTATCTAATGTACTAATGACACAATCACCAAAAGGCACTAGTATCTATGAATTTGTCAGATCCTCCCTCTTTTTTTTTCTTGCATAAATTTTACCTGGTCTGTGATTTTAGAGATCATACGAGGTAAATAGTATTGTTCAACCTTTTTCGGTGTCCAAGGTGTAAAGAAACGTAATTCACGATAATTGCCATCATTAGCCAAAAACATCTTGGGACGGATCAATACAATCTTATTATCCGCAATAACAACACGACAGTTGTATTTAACTGATTTATGCATGACAGGCCTATATCTTGTTAGACAAAAAGTATGTATTTCCTTTACAACTTACATGCCAATATCCAAAATCATGTTCTTTGCTTCGTCACTCTTAAGAATCTCGGCTAACACTTCCCAAGCATGCAAATAAGTATCCCCTTCTAGAAAATGATCCTGACAACCATAGCCTCTGTAGAAGTTGATTAGCTTTGCCGACAAGCATAAGTTTTGATCAAGATACTTACGTGACCTCTAATTCGGGACCGACACGTAACTTGGCACCCTTTTCTTTGGCAATACGAATACTTGTCAAAATACGTTCTAGATTACCTTCGAAATCCAAGGCCCACTGGTTCAACGAACATGTAGCTAGAGTAATACTATCTTATGTGTCAGTATGCCGAGATTCTTTTTCTTTGAGTAGCGCATTACAGGTGACCCATGTTTTAATAGACAGAAAAAAAGATAAAGAAAAAGGATGATGGAATAATGAGATGCAAGTGACTGTTTACCATTTCTATACGATATCAGAGACAAATCATGCCGACAAATAAACCTCGAACTCGCCTAAGTCCATCCTAATATCTTTGGATCTTGTCTATAAGGCTATTCTGCTGTTCCGAGAATGTTGGATCAGGTATCCCATTTGGCTTCATTTCTCGGAGACTAAAAATGGATTCTGGCTGTTTTGCAGAATTTAGCCAGAATTCTAAACCTTAGAGGCTGAACAAGGAAGCAAATTTAGCATTAAAGTACTACTTAGTTTCTCCAATGAGGGTCAATGCAACTATATCTATAGGTTTCCTTTATTCTGCAAAAAGCGTTAGTTCTTGCTTTGAATGTCAAATATATATATATATATATATTTTTAACTGCATGTTCGGATTCTTGATTCAGTGTGCACCTGCCTTTGAAACTGAGCTGAAAAACCAAAATGAAAAGTAAACCTTTACTTTTGAACATACAAAAGAAGTAGAAGCAAAACGGCTTCATTTGATGAATAAGAAAATAAAATATTTAGGTCCCGCCGAGACTCGAACTCGGATGTAAAGATTCAGAGTCTTTCATGCTAACCAATTACATCACGGGACCTTTCGTTACAAGAAAAAAATTACGTTTAATATGAGCGCTTAATTTTGACTAGTCACGTGGCTTTTATCCAATCATATCCTTAATTTCAGATAATTTGCATGATTTTCACTCGTACCTTAGAAAACACACACATTTTTATTCGAGATAGTTGAACAGTTATATATGCATTCATCTGAAAGCTTACCCTTCTTGACCTATAGAACTATTAATGTGCTTATCACTTCGTTTTATTTCTTACCAAAATCTCGAGTGAAATTGACTTGTTGTTGAATATCATCTTTGTTTACAGTAGGTTTCGAGTTTTGCACTGCTTTTAAAAAGTCTTTCAACGTTAATTCTGGCTCAAACAATTCATCTGGTTTGATATCAACCCAAGTCATTTCTAGAGCACCAGAAGCACCTGGTGAACAGGGTGTCAAATAGCGTTTCTTTTCTTTTGGATTCGTCCTTGATGGTGCTTCTATCCATCGAAAATGGGTTGCTGTTTGAATTTTGCGGACAGGTTGCATCAAAGCATCTCTCACCAGAACAGCAATATCAGATCCAGAGTATCTTGTGTTGATCGTTAGTATAAACTCACAAAGTGTGTCTTTTATCATACCCTTCTGTCATATCAGCTAGTTTTCTATAATTTGCTTCTGTTAATGTACACGGTGTTGTGCCTACATTCAACTTGAATATAGTCGCACGCGCATGTGCTTCAGGCAGAGGAATATATATACGTTTTTCAAATCTTCTTCTGATAGCAGAATCTAATTGCCAGGGAATATTCGTAGCACCCAACACTAGCACACCATCCATATCATTACCAACACCATTCATTTGAACCAAAAACTCTGTCTTAATACGCCTTGCTGCCTCTGATTCTCCTTCACCGCGTGTGCTGCACAATGAATCGATTTCATCAATAAACACTATACTTGGTTTATTTTCTCTGGCCATTTGGAACAGTTGCTTTACAAGGCGCTCACTTTCACCAAGCCATTTAGATACCAGATCAGAAGAAGAAACAGAAAAAAATGTAGAATTTGCTTCAGTAGCTACTGCTTTTGCAAGAAAAGATTTGCCTGTGCCAGAGGGGCCATAGAGTAAAATGCCTCGCCATGGTTTCCTTTGGCCTGTAAACAAATGAGGAAACTTGATAGGTAAGATGACTGCTTCTTTTAATGCTTCTTTGGCTCCTTCTAGGCCTGCTACATCATCCCATTTTACATTTGGCTTTTCCGTTAAAATCGCACTGGTCAAACTTTCTCTTATTCTTTTTGTTTCTGAATCGATATCCTCATTATTGCTTTTCTTTCTGATATATATATATGTATATGTATCAATAGACTGCAAAAAGACATACCCCCACGCTTACTTTTTGGATACACTATCAGCACCTGTGGGTTCTTTTCGCTTCTTTTCTTGTTGTTTAAGGAATTCTTTAAGTATTGCTGCTCTGTCTAAATATTCGATAAATCGTTTACGGATAGGTTCTTTCAAGCGATCATTTTTTTCGTCTATTTATTAGTGAATGATGTTATCCATTTATTGATATCTTACACTTGAGTGCTGTCATAAAATAATCGAATGCATTTAAATATTGAGCATATGCTTCTTTATAATTGCCTTTATGGTCTTCTTCTGTTGCTTTTTTAACAATTTCAACTGCTTTCTATGTCCATTCAATATACTTCGACGCATATGTTGATGCCTACATACCCCAAGTAAGTCAGTATTTGGCATTGGTCTTTGAATAAAAAAAAAAAGAAAAAAAAAAGAAAAAGAAAAACCTTGGCATACTATTTTAGGCAGCATAAAGAGCGCCTTCTTAATGTGACTTTTCCAACACGTCACTTTTCATAATGAAAAGAGTCGTGTTTACTTTTTTTTTTCTTTCTCTTTTTTTTTTCATTATGGCTGACGATAACAGAGAAGAACAACCACAGGATCAACACAGTAATGATCAACAAAAGTACGTGTCATGTAGTATTTTCTCAAGTATTTATGTATTTTAGTAAACCTCCCTTTCGTAATCCAATGCAAGGTTTTGATCCTTCATTGATGAAAATGGGTATGATGAATCCTGTTCAGTATCAGCATTTTCAACAAATGATGATGATGCAGCAGTTTAGAAGACAACAGATGCAAAGACAAACAGCCATGGCTGCCAATAGTTCTAATATTCCGCCCGAGTCACAGAAACCGCCTACTGGCTATGTATGTTTCAAATGTGGACAACCCGGCCATTGGATTTACTATTGTCCCAATGTACCTAAAGGACAGTTTGTACAGAGAAATTCGGCCATAAATCAAAGGCAAGTTCTACACCATATGTATATATGCATACTAAAATGTTGCATAGAACACAACAAACCAATCAAGCTGAAAATAACAATCAAAAACCTCAGGAACTAACATGCATGATTTGTAACAAAATAATGACAGATGCTGTATTAATACCTTGTTGTGGCAAATCATTTTGTAAAGAATGTATGTATTTCTATTTCAATAAAGCAATTAATAGCAGGATAGGTATAACCAATACACTTGAGTCCAATCCATGTCCTTATTGTCATCAAGAATCAAGTGCAATAGACCAACTTGTACCAAACAGAACACTCAGATTGACTATTGAGGCTCATTTGGAAAAAATATCCAAAGAAAAGAAAGAGGAAGAAGAACAAGAACAACAGCAGGAAGAGAAACAAGGAGGAGGAGGAGGAGGAGGAGGAGGAAGTGAAGAAAAGGGCATGCCTATTCAAGTATTTGATTCTTCACAAGAAGAACGCAAGACAAGAAATGATATGAATTGGATGCCAAGACCCTTTATGAACAACCGTTTCCCTGGATTCATGCCAGATATGAACTGGATGCGTAATACAGAAGAAATGGAGTCTCGACCTCCTTTTGTGCCTTTTCCCGGAAATTTTAATAATGAAATGGGGCCATTTGCCGGTATGCCTCAGGAAATGTTTGGGTTTAATGTTGGTTTCAACCCTCGGGGCGGATTTAATGGCATGCGAGGATCGCGCGGAAGAGGACGTGGAGGTTTCCATGGTAGCATGAGACGTCGCTCAGACAATATGGATGAAAAGAAGTCTCAAACAGAAGCAGACTATGATGAGAAACCAAGTAGATACTCGAGACATCACCACTCTAGATCAAGTTCACCTCGTCATCGTGATGAAAGCAGAGAAGATAGTCGTGACAGCAGACGTAGTAGCAGACACAGAGACAGTAGCAGACACAGAGACAGTAGCAGACACAGAGACAGTAGCAGACACAGAGATGATAGTAGACGCAGAGACAGTAGCAGACGCAGAGATGATAGCAAAAGAAGAGATGATAGCAGACACTATCGTGATGATAGTCGTAGAAGAAAAGAAGACAAATACAAAAGACATTATGAAGACGATGAAGACGATGAAGACGATGAAGATAGAGATAGTAAGCATCACAGAAGAAGATCCAGATCGCCAGCAGAGAATGAAGAGCGGGCTTCTTCACGCCATCGACACCATCACAGTTCAAGGCATCGTTCATCAAGATACAACAGAAGTCGTGAGAGAAGTCATCGCGACAGAGATAAAGACAGAAAAAGACGTTAAATAAAATGCGTTTATTTTGTAGGAAATGTCCACGCAATCTGTTCATGTTCATTCTTACCAAAAGACCAGGCAGGGACATAACAAGACTCTATGTTGCCCATGTCTGGCTTAGGCTTAAAATGTGTGTATAAATTCATATCTGGATTATTATTTTCTTGTGTGCTTTGATAGATCAATAAGTTGCGATCTCCGGCTTTACGTCTCAAGACGTAAGTACCAGGTTCAAGAGTTCTATTGAAGGATTAGTACAGTGATTATTAATGAACAAACTTACTTGTAAATCTTTGAGAGAATATGCAAAAGTGTATCACTTTCATAAGCTGGTCTCCAATTCTCTCCCATAATATTCAGCATTTGTTTATGTTCTACCTTCATCAGTATATTCTTGATCACGTCAATTCTTCCTTCTAAAAGAGTAGCATGTCCACCCACATAAGATCGAATCCAGTTAGTAGCTCTTTCCATTGGTGTTACTATTTCTTTTAAATCTTCAGTCAAATATTCCAATTTGGTATTGATTAGCACTTTTTTATCGAATGCTTTCTTATCTTGACTCTGTTTTTTATCAGATCCAGCTTCTTTATATATATATATATATGCATACCTTGAGTTCACCATCAAGTTGATGTCGAATAAGGATAGACAATTCTCCAAAACTCCAAAGATTGTATTGAAGATTTTCTTCTGTATCAGTATTTTGTTTATCGACATTGATTTGTACAGAGTGTCTTTTCTCCCAATCTAAGCATAAACTCTTGAAAGCTAAATCGTAGACGATTTTGTTTCTGTCTCGAGGTGTCGCTGTCTGCTGAGGTAAGGCGTGATCAAAAAATATAGTGTTGGTCCCCTTTTCATTTTTAACAACTGTGATGGGCATAAGCATATCAAAAGAGAAAGAATGCATCAACTGAATCAAGTCTATCAAACATTCAATTGATATCACAATATCTGGTTTCGTTTCTGATGCTAATGTAGTTGCTGTAGAATCCTTAGAAATGGCAGGAGGCATTTTCTTTTGGTAATAATCAATGCCTTCATCTTGTGGTTCTGTCTGCATGTATTGTTTAAAGAGGTCCATTTTCCTTGGCGTATCAAAAACTTTAGGATTACAAGGTGCGATTTGACCCTAACAGTATGAATAAAAAGACACAATGCCTATTAACTTACTTTGGATCCCAAGCTTCTCTTAAACAACAAGAGCGATTTTTCATTTCGTGGGTCAGGCACAAGATTAAGCAGGTGGAAGTATTTGTAAAATTGCTATAAATCAAGTATTGGTCATCTTTGTATTAAGACCGATGCACTTACTGGGTATAGCTTTAGTCTTTCTAATTCTAGTTTATAATAATTTTGAAACATTTGCTCTACTTTAGGATTTGAAGTGCTATAAATGCCAGATTCTACTGCTTTTGCGCATTGATCTTTCATAAATTCATCTTTTTCTACTGCTAATCCTTGACATACATCTCTAAACCATTGATCATCCAATTCAGATATTTCAATACCCTAAAGAAAACGACAGTCTGAGTATGTGTATTATAGCAGAAAAGGAAGTTACTTTTTTCTTTTTTTCATTGATAGCAATAAACTTAATGTGTTCTTCTTTTGTATATCGAGAATAGCGCTCTGATGATGATGAAGAAGGAGATTGTCCGTTGTTGCCAGCGGCCATTGCAGCAATTTTTAAGTCATTCATTCTCTGCTTTTGTTGTCTTGTTACTCTTCCCTTTTTTTCTTTCATCATTAATGCATCTAATGGGCTTGTCCCAATATGGGGCACATTGTCAGGAGCTGGTTCTGCTTCAACCACAGGTAACGGTAAGACAGATGCTTCAGGAACCTTAGCTGGTTCTGGTTCAACTTGTTTTGGCTGTCGTGGCACAATGCCTTCTTGTTCAATCCATTCTTCCAGCTGTAAAATGGCTTGCCAATCATGCTTGTATTCTTTATCTACTTCCTCTGTTGTAGTGTATTTCTGATAGGCTTCTCGAGTAAATAGGATGCCAGAACCATGCATGCGCTTATTACGTTCTTTATGCTCTTCTTCTGTTCCGTCTTCACGAAAACGCTTTAAACTGATAAAATCATCATCCATGGAGCGTGTATCTGTGCAGACAAGCTGTTCTTTAGGTGCTGAGCTTTCTTCTTCACTTTCTGCCTCAACTTCTTTTATTTCTCCTACAGCTTTCTGTTGGCTATTGGCTACCTCGCTGTTGTCGTCTATGATCTCGTGAATTTCATTGATAAGATCGTTTTCAATATCGATCATCGATTCATCACTACTGTCTTCTTCGCCGATCTCGGTGATGTCATGTTCCTGAAGTTCAAAAGAAATACTTTGGTTTTGTTGGTGAACATCAGTATCTGCGCGCTCCATACTTCAGTTTGAAAAAGAAAAGGGGAACGTACATTTTTGAAACAAAAAAAAGTAAATATTGACACATCAAAAAGTATGTGTCCGAAAGTAGAGTAAAAAGAGAAAAACAAAGAACCCAGTACGGGGGTCGAACCCGTAATCTTCCGTTTAGAAGACGGATGCCTTATCCAATTGGGCCAACCGGGCTAGTTGCTGAAATTGGACACTTATTTAATACACAGATATATAATTATGCACGTCACGTGACTTATGACCAATGAGCGTAGCTTAATTGGCTATCTTATGGGAGTATTGTGACACCGAATCTCTAATTTTTGTCGACATTTGTGTTCGTTGAAATACAAGAAAATATACATGTACACCAAAGCCAAACAAAGGAATTGATTAAGAGAATTGTAAGTTGCAGTATTCTTATGTAAGAGTAGAAATTGGGACACTACGACTTTTGTTCTATTCAATCCTGACACTGGCAGAGAATCAAGTTGGCTCAATCATTTGTTTTTTATTTTTACCTCTGTCATTGCAGTTTCACCAAGATATAACCGAGTCAACAGGGTTTCTTTTCTTAAGAGTTTGGTAGTTTTATTCAGTAATGCTTTCAGGAATACGAGCTGGGTCATAGTGACCTAACAAGGGTGTTGCGCCTTCTCAGAAGTCTTTCCAGTTGCCTCATACCTCCTTAACTTCAGCTCTTGCACAAAGGACAGGGAGGAAAGAATAGTCCATTGTTTAATTTTACAACTTAAAAAGGAAGATGCACGTATAGCTCTAATGTTATTTGTTTATGAAGCACTTTTTATCAATCGTTTGATAGCTTTTATTGTACAGCAACTGCTAATTTATCGAACTTCAACAATTAAGTAGCTCGCGACTTAGTTAAATGGTAACAAATAAGCTGTCTTATCGACAAATTCATTTAGACAAGTTTAATACAAGAATGAGAACAATATTTTTACATGGTTATTATATTACAAAATAAAGATATATATTAATCCTGTTGATTTTTTTCTGTATGAACAAACATCAGCATGGCCTCTGCAGCAGCATTTGTTGCTGATAAAGGAGACGATGTATTTGATACATCAGGACTCTTGTGTTGGCTATATGGTTGGTTGGGTATCGACAGTGACAGTCGAAGTCTACTTGTTCTAGTCCAGTCAGGGCTCACATCATCTCTCAAGTTATGATCTGTATCTTCATCTTCATCTTCATCATCTTCAAGTAAAGTAGGCTCTTCAATCATTTGCTCACTGTTTTGTCTCTCTCTCTGGTGTTCTTTCATAGCAATGGCATAGGACAGATAATCCAAAGAATTGTTGACGATAGATGGTTCATCGTCTGGATCAGAAGGCACTCGAGATTCATCAAAGGAAGACACAGAATAGTTTCTAGTTAGACGTCCAGGTTTATCTGTATTCCAATTCTCTTGATCATAATGATGAAAGTGATAAGTTGGTTGATGTATGGATTCATGTTGAGATGCAAATTGTTGCTTTTTGATTGCATGTTGCTTTTTATTTATGGACAGAGAAGGTGTTGAACGATTCAGTGCCGAGTTTGCTTTTGAAGGTCTTCCTCTTTTAGCCAGCTGACAGGTTTTTCTCTCAATGATGTCTTGCTGAGTAAATCTTGGTACTGGGATTTCCTTGATTGTTTGTCTCTGTCTTTGCTTCCAGAAATATTCTACATCGCCAAATGTATTGGTTTGCCAGCCATTTCGAAGTTTAAAGCGAGCAAATTCGAGCCTAGCTTGTAATGACTCTAAGTGCTGTGTTTTGATATTTAGTAAATGAAATCATCATCGTCATAATCAAATTACCTTTGAAATGTCTTGTTTATGACGATGTAAATGTGAATGAGTGCTCATATTACTACACATAAATTTATTGTTTTTTTTTTCTAGTAAAGAAATAAAAGGAAAAGGAAAGAAAGAAAGGGAAAGGAATATTTCCTTACTATGATACTTCTTAATTCATTGCCTTTTTTTTTAAATATAAAAAACTACCGCGTTTTTTTTTGGAGCGCGTCGCGGAAATCTAAATTTACCTTGTATATATCTTTTTTTACAATAAAAAGGTGTAGTTTTTTTTTTCTAAAAAAAAAAATAATCGCGCCTTGTAAAAAAAAAAAAAAAAAAAAAAAAAGTATTTTTTTCCTATTTCATTGAATAAAAAAAAAGAGAAATCTTATACTGACTAGTAAATGTTTACATGTTCATTTTTTATTTATTTTTATTTTTAAAGGGAGCCTAATTCGGCCCTGTTGAACCATAAACAACTCTAGAAGGATCTTCTGCTGGCAGTCGTTCATATTGAAGTCCACCCGATTCAAGGTCTTCAATATTTTCATTGTATTTATGTACTATATAAAAGCCATGAATAATACCTGGCACAGCACCAAGTGCACAAAGACAAATATTAATAAGTAAATCGATACTGCATCCAGTCTTGATGGCTACTGCGGCAGGAGGGAAAAAGAAGGCAATAATAAAGAGAGCAATGTCTCTACCGGTATAAGGACTCATTGTTTACTAATGCAAAAAAAAAATCAGAGAGGAAAAGAGAAAAGAAGACAAAAGTATTTTCATTTTTTTTTCTTTTTCTCGATGTGAAACATTCCCTTTTGAGACTATATATATACAATAAGCTTTTTGTTTGATTAGCAAAGAATTTATTTCAAGAACACTCATGTGTTTATCGAGTGTCTTTTTTTTTCTCTTGAATTGAGTTGCATTTTGAGGGTTTCAAAATAAGCTACATTCGCATAAAGATGTCTTGTTTTCTGCAGCCAATGACATACATCAGAATCCTGATCATTGCGCAAATCTAAAGAAAGTGATACTCTGATTGGCTAGTAATACAGTCACATAAGCATTGATTTTTTCGCACATCTCTCTTTGGATAATTAAGACATCTTGATCTAATTTTTTTTTTCATTTTTTTCATTCCCTCTTTTTTGCAACCATGGAAGAGAAGCAATACGATAAAATCTTGATTAAAAACCTCGTTTTAAAGAACGTAGCTGGTGTAGAAGCCTGGCAAAGACTCAAATCTCAACCAGTGGCTATCACAGTTGAGTTGCATACAGATATCACAGCTGCAGGAAATACAGACCATGTCACAAATACAATCCATTATGGCCATGTAACCAAGGCTATCACAAAGCTAGGAGAAACAAGCACCTTTTCTTCCCTTGAAGCTCTGGCACATGCTGTTGTCAAATTAGGTTGTGTCCAATTTGGTGCTGCAAGAACACAAGTGACAGTAGAACAACCCAAGGCATTGCTGCATGCTGCTGCTTCTGGTGTCAAATTGACTCGAGCCATTGAAGACTACCAAAATCTAGATAAAGATGTAGTAGAAACAACAGGGGAAGTGTCAGGTTTGGGTGTAAAAGATGAGATTTTTGTACGTGATCTACGTTTACATACTATTGTGGGTGTCAATCCTTGGGAACGAGAGGAAAAGCAAGTAGTGATTATCAATCTCAAAGTATACCCTTCCTCTTTACCTTATGGTGATATCTTTGCTGAACAAAACAAATCTCATAACTTGAGAACCATTGTACGTACATTGACTCGTCATATCGAAGCCTCTGGATACAAGACGATCGAGGCCTTTGGTGTGACAGTGGCCCGTTTGGCTTTAGAGAAATGCCATGTCAACAAAGTGTCTGTTCGCGTTGAAAAACCAAGTGCTATTTTGTTTGCTGATTGCTCTGGTCTTGAAGTCACTCGTGATCGTATTTGGTTAAAGCAGACGATTGAAGAAGAAAAGAAAGCAGGTCAAAAGTTTATTCATTATGACAGTATGTTGCACTACAGTAAAGAGGTGCCTGCCAACTATAACCAAACAGCCTATATTGCATTTGGTTCTAATATCGGTGATCGTGTGGATAATATTAACAAGGCTCTTGCACTACTGGAGAGTGAATGTAGCAGTGCTGTCCTCGACACAAGTTTCCTGTACGAAACACCCCCTATGTACTACACTGAACAACCAGCCTTTTTAAATGGTGTCTGTAAGATTGCTACTTGTCTGGATCCACATGTTCTTTTGAAGAAACTAAAAGATACTGAAAACACATTGGGTCGTCTACCCAGTTTCCGCAATGGACCTCGTCCTATTGATCTCGATATTTTATTCTACAATGATTTAGTGCTAGATGACGGAGAAGTGCTCACCATTCCTCACAAGTCTATTCAGGAACGCGAATTTGTCCTCTGGCCTTTGAATGATATCGCTCGTGATATGGAACATCCTCGTCTATTTAAGACAAATGGGCAACTGCTATCTCAGTTACTCAAAGTCACAGCTGAAAGCAAAGAAGGTCCATTGAAGATCGATAAAGTATCACCTATTCAACAAAACAAATTGTGGCGTTGGAATGAAAAGACATACATTATGGGTATACTCAACACAACACCCGATAGTTTCTCTGACGGTGGCAAGCACAATGATCTTGAATCTGCTGTTGCTGCTGCCTGGAAAATGAAAGAAGAAGGCGCTGATATCATTGATGTGGGTGGTATGTCTACTCGACCTGGTGCTGATGATACTTTTCCTGAAGATGAAGAGATTCGCCGTGTGGTGCCTGTGATCAAGCAATTACGTGCCTCTGGTTTCGATTTGCCTATTTCTATTGATACTTTCCGTGCTTCTGTTGCTGAAGCTGCCGTCAAGGCTGGTGCTGATCTGATCAACGACATCAGTGGTGGTTCTCGTGATCCCAATATGCTCAAGGTCATGGCTGATTGTAATGTACCTGTCTGTTTAATGCATATGCGTGGTGATGCTCAAACCATGATGTCTACCGAGAACACAACGTATGAAAATGATGATGTAGTGGATGATGTGACGCATGTATTACACCTTCTTGTTGAACGTGCTATTGCTGCAGGTGTCCATCGTTGGAATATTATTGTGGATCCAGGTGTAGGGTTTGCAAAGACAGCTGAGCAAGATTTTGAATTACTGCGTCATTTGGGAGACATGTCTGAGGGACAAGATTCTTTGTTACGCGGTTTTCCTTCTCTGGTAGGCATCAGCCGCAAGAAATTTATTGGTGGCGTCACTGGTGTCAAAGAGGCTGAAAAGCGAACATTTGGCACTGCAGGTGCAGCGGCTGCTTGTGTTGCCGGCAAAGCTAATATTCTACGCGTACACGACGTTCGCCCCATGTGGGAAGTTGTTCAAGTATGCGACCAAGTGTGGAGAAAAAAAGTATAGTAACAATGTTAATAAAAATAGAATAAAACACAGGTTAGAAATCAAACTAAGTTTTTTTTTTAATATCAGCACAAGAAAAAAAAAAAGTGCTTATGCCGCTACTATTCTTTTTTTCTTTCTTTCTTTCTTTTTTCTATACACGAACATGGCTTCTATTTATACAAAGAGGCTTACAAAAGAACTCAAAGGTACATATATATATATATATTCTTGATTTCTCAAGTCTTTTTTCTAGATCTTAATAAAAATCCTCCAGAAGGTGTTGAGGTAGAAGAAGCAGACAACCTAAAAAAGTAGGCCAACAGCTACATGTGTTTCTTTTTATTGACAATTTTGTTATATAGATGGCGTTTGCGTTTAAGAGGCGCACCAGGTACTATTTATGAGGTTTGTTACAATCATTCATTGCTTTGAACAAAATGAATTGAACATATTCATCATAGGGAGAGGAATTCAAATTAGAATTTCGGTTTACACCACAGTATCCATTGGAAGCACCTGATGTTGTCTTTATCAAGCCTTATATACCAGTTCATCCCCAGTAAGTAATACATAAAATATTGCGATCAAAGAAAATAATAGTGTTCAAAAAAAAAAGTGTAAGTCATTTAGAGAGACACATAGAAAGGAAGAGTAAATGTATAGGAATTGATCATATAGATTTACTCAAATGGACACATTTGTCTCAACATTCTCTATAAAGACTGGTCGCCTGTTCAAACGGTGGCACACGTCTGCTTATCCATTATCTCTATGATATCAAGTTGCACCAAGAAAGTAAGGATCATTGATTTAAGCGGATATTTATAGCATCATTTTGGATCGTTTATAGGAACTTCCACCAGATAATGATTTATACATCAAAGGGGCTTCGAATTCACCTAAAAAGACAGCATGGGCCTTCCAGGTAAAATAACTGAATTTGTGTTATATGTCATTCTAATTTTATTGTCTATAGTAAGAAACGATCTAATTGTTTGATAGTTGACTAACACATGTTTAATAGCGACGATACAGTGTAATAAGAAAATAAAGGCAGAGAAAAAAAAATACATAGATATATATATATATATATAAAATGTCTACAGCAATAGTTTAATTAAAAAGAGGATTATATAGTAAATATTAGTGAAGATGGTAGTGTTACAGCAAGAATGGACTCTTCTTTCTTTTATTTTACAGGATCCAAGAAAGTGCTTTTCTGTACCAAGGCAAAATTTCATCCATTTCCTTGTCTTTCTCAATATCAAGGTGTGTAACACGACCTGTATCAAAGTCAACTTCCTTCAAAGGAACAAGTTTTGATTTTCTAATGATCTTGTAACCAATATACCAGACAGCAACAGGGACAAGACCGATGTAAGCAGTAACAAAATTAACAGCATCAAATGTAGGTGTGAATGAAGTATAACCTTGACCAAAGGTAACAAAGGTAGTTAAGGCAATAGCGATGATAGAAGTCCAAGGGTAACAGAAAGCCTTGTAGGGCAAATCTTCCATGCTACGACCTTGTGCCTTAAAGGCACGTCTAAAACGAATGTGAACAACAGCAATACCCCACCAACTAATGAAGCCACTGACAGCAGTAACACTCAAGAACCAAACAAAGGCAACAGAGGCACTATAGATAGAGACAAAGACACAAAGGAAACCAATGATAGAAGAGATAATGACAGCCCAGTAAGGAGCACCCCAACGGTTTAAGTTGCCCATGAAGCGAGGAGCATTACCATCCTTGGCAAGACCCAAAAGAGTACGAGAACAAGTATAAAGAGAAGAGTTGGCAGCAGACAGGACACTGACCAAAATGACAGCATTGATGATGTGGGCACCAACTTCAATACCAGCAAGACTAAAGACAAGAGTGAAGGAAGCAGTGCCTGGATCACCATTGGAATTGGCCAAGTTGGGGTTGTTGTAAGGAAGACACATGCCTAACAAGAAGATAGTGATGATATAGAAAAAGATAATACGCCAGAAAGTGTTACGAATAGCACGGGGAACAGTTCTGGTAGGGTTCTTTGCTTCACCAGCAGTGATACCGACAATTTCAGTACCCATGAAAGAGAAACCAGCAGAGAGTAAGACGTTCAATGTACCAAGACCACCATTCACAAAGGCTCCGGGATCACTCCAGTATTTGAAGCCAATAACTTGGTCACCAAGACCGCCAGTTGTGACACACAAAGCTAGAAGTGGATATATGTCAGTGTATCAACTATCATACAAAGCAGTATCTTACCAATAATGATAAAGACAATAACAATTAAAATTTTGAGTAAAGCAAACCAGTATTCTAATTCACCATAAAGCTTCACCCCAACCAAGTTAATTGCCAAAACCAAAAGCATAAAAATGGTGGACCAAGCAGGATCAGGCATAACTGGCTTCCACCAATTGATGATAGTCGCAGCAGCAGAAATTTCTATAATAAAGTGTTAATATATATATCATACCCAACGAAGGAATGGAGAGTTTACCAGTAGCAATAGTAACAGCCTATAAAAGGTTTTTATAGGAAATTAATAAAAGTTGTCTTTCATTTTAAGTTATGTACTACTTTACCCACTAAACAAAGAAAGAGAGAAATAAGATGAAAAAGGAAATAAAATGAGTAAGTTCAGAAAAAAAAAAAAGAAGCATTGCGTTGCTTACCGAAAGCCTACATTAATCAGGTTAATAAAACTTTATCTAATATTATCGTGTTCGATCATACCAATAATTCCAACCAAGGGCGAAACCCAAAGCTGGGTCAACAAAACGTGTAGCATAGTGATTAAAAGAACCAGAGACTATTAAACATGTAAGCTTTTTCTTTTCTTTTTTTCTTGTTTACTTTACCTGGCATATAAGTTGACATTTCGCCAAGACAAGTCATAAGACAGTAAACCTATAAAATGTTAGAGTTAGATCTCACGACTTGAAGCCTGCATATATTGTTGTTCTGTAGTACCATTAAACCAACTAAATAAAAATTAATTGTGAGAAATTATATTTAGGATTTTCTTTGTTGTTACTTACTGACACAATAGGCAATCAATGCACCTGCAGGACCAGCCTAAAAAAATGTTGTTTAGTAAATTTGTCTATTTGACATATCATATTTACCTCAGAAATGTTTTGTCCAGAGTTCAAGAACAAACCAGTACTACAAGGTAGAATAGTAAGTACATCGTGAGAAATATACATTGCTACTTGCCCAATACAACCACCGAGGGAAATCATTTGAATGTGACGAGCATTCAAACCTCTATGAGGTTTGGGCTCAGTGGGTGCAGTATAGCTTCGGCTGGGTATGCTTTCAAAAGAAACGTGTGATTGATCATAGATCTCGACTTTTTCATTGTCAAACACTCTCATTGGGTCATTATTGTTGGGTGTCATGGGCCGAATATTGCCCTGTTCAGCTTGTATCATCTTTTGATCACTGTCAGGCATAACAAAAATGAAAAAGGAGAAAAAAGAAAAGAAAAAGAAAAACGGGGATATAGAAGCTATAAAATTCTTTACAAGGTTCGAGCGATGATTCAATCTTCTGTAACTCAGTAAAGCAGAAACCAAAAAAGTCCGCTAATGCCGGATCCAACGAAAATTTTTTTTTTTAGTTTCTTTGACATGTCTTTACTTTTATGGAAAAAGAAAAATAGACTAACATTGCTTGCATATATGTGCTTATACTTGATTTTGTCACCGCTCGTTTAAATTTAGTAAACAAACAAAGAGTACGAGTCAAGATTAAGTTCAACACGATCGACATATAGAGAAAAAGGAATCGGCTACCTCAACAAAAAAACAAATCAAAAGTATTTAAATCAAGACTTTTGTGGTACGCTTCAATTTAATTCGATTACAATCAGCTTATATCACCAATAAAATAAGCCGTTGAGATATAATTTCCCACAAATAAGATTCAAACGGCAGACTGTTATCAGATAATAGCTGTGACACAAGCTGCTTTCCCTTATGATCACGTGACTCAAATAATGTATCATAAATGAGCTAAATGTTTTTTACCACGAGTTGTTTATGCTATTTCCGGAGCAATGAAAAAGTTGAAATACATTTCCCACCCTCTTTTTCTAAAGTAAATCCTTTGATCGACTTTCAGGGAATAAGGCCTTAAAAGGCTAGGCGATTTACTGCTACTTTTTTTCTTTTGCAAGCTATGGTTATGTGCAAGCACTTCATTTCTTGAATGATTACAAATCTTGAATTTAAATGATGGCATGCATTCTTGATTTCTATCTTAAGTGGTGCTATAGAGTGCTCTTTTTTTTTTTTTTTTTTTTTTAACTCAAGTTGGTTACACACTGCATTGATGTGGGACAGCTAAGATGCCAAATATTATATTGGTCACATGCACAATCATATCGCTTTCGATAAATATTTACTTATTACAGAGAAGCGATATACATAATCTTTATTTTGCAAAAAGTAGTAATTGAACGCTAGTTTTTTTCGATTAATATCAATTGCTTTTTTTTTGAAACCATAATGGCATTTAGTAAAGCAGAAGTTAAATAGTAGTCATGTTCATTCTGATACTTTCAACAACATTTCGATAAGACTGATCATTATCTCTCTTCTTGTCTTTAAATGTCAATTGAACTTTTTTATAATTGAATTCTGTTAATGCAAACACTACAAATGCTATCTATCAAAAAATATAAAAAACCAAACGTGCATTTATAGTATGACTAAAAGCTATTCAAGAGTTAAGATCAGATTACTGCTTTCTCTTGCCTTGATGTTAAAATCGATCGCCTTCCTAAAAATCATGTAAATCAAGCTGATTCTTTAAGGTTTTAGTTGATGTATTAAAACATTGAGCAGTCTAATGGACTTGTCTTTAGAAGGTTTCAATTGTAGCTGAAAAGTCAATTTCAATTTTATTAATACTCTCAAAGAATGATGCTCAATTTACATCCTAATGACAAACTCTAGATTTTCTAGAAACTGCATATCAAATAAAGAAAAAACCAACTTTCTTGTTTACGAATGCGTAACATAATATATTAGACCAAACTAATTTGTTTCAGTGATTGAATATCTATTCGTTCTAGCTTGTTTTCTTGTCACTCTGTATAAATTAAATTTGAGGTTCAAAAAAAGCTTTCAATGTCTGTCTACAATCCAAGGCTACTTTATTCGTTATACATTAAAGCACTTTTAGAAAAAAATCAATTTTAAATTTGCTCCATACTAATAAATCACAACTTATTTGTTTGAATACATATGATAAATTGGAGCTTTCTTTACTATATCAAAAAGGCCTCAAAGGTACCAAATGTTTAGTAAGAGCAAATAGCAACTATTTTATCAATTTTTTTTGAAATGACCTCTTTTGTACTGATTACAGTGTATAACAAACTTTGAATGTAGATTTGAGATCAATATTCAAATCAATTCAATGTTTTCATCTTAGCGAACTCGCTCTATTTTTATTAGAAGTACCTAGAGATGGTCTTGTCTGATTTCGGTTGGATCAGTTTTATATATATATATATATCTTCACGGACCTCTCGTGATCCTTCATGGGTCAAAATCATAAATCTCACACAACGGCCAAGCCAATGGTACCATTCGATTCCTTGGCTCGAAAGAATATGTTCCAAACGAAAAAATGGACTGCTTGATAATCTGGTTGTCGAGCAATGGCCCATCAAAGATTGGTGCATTTAAGCAGTATCTTGAACGTTTTTGCTCTAGATGTCATATAAAATATATAGGCCATAGAGTTATATAAAGTAGATGTGCTATTGTGGATGCTAAAGAACACAGGAAGATAGAAATATAGACACTTTATGATGTAAATGTGGGAGTAAATAGACATGGAGCATACAGGATGGCAGCATGTGGAGATTGAAATAGGGAAATTCCAGTTCTTCATCCCGCATAAAGCCGCAGTTGTCTGGCTTTGATACAGTGACAGAAGTTATAGATACTTGCTTTCTGAGCTTATTGCTGTAAAAAACGCAACAACTTTGCTGCTAAAATGTTGAGCAAATAGACAGAAATGTTTTCCAGGTTTTTCACTCATACCTCATCATCTTCATAGTACAATCAGCAGGAAAACACATTCACCAAAAACTACAGTCTCTGGCACGCATTTTGAGTATTCAGTCTTGTCGGTAGCTCCATTTTTCGTCTTGTAGCATTCCAAAGAGGCTAAAAGAGTTGTCAGGTTGAATATTTTCACGACTAGTACCCTTTGGATACGAGGCCAAAAATGGCCATTTTTCACAAGTCGCTTTTTCTCGCCCAAACCAATTCCAAAGATACCACATACGATAGCAAATACTGTTTGTAGGAATTTAGAGCACTTAGGCATGTACAAACAAACTTTATGCTGTTTTTATAGGCTTATGAAATAGAAGAAGACATGTCTTCTTTCATGTTGAAACATCTATTTCCCTGGTGTTTCTGCCTAAGCAATTAATGTAATATTAAACTGTTCATTCAAATAAAATAGCTTGTTAAAAAGACACCCGATCCCTCTTAAATCGAAGAAAGAGAGCACTTGCTTATGAAAAAGATGTCAAAGTGATGAAGATTCACTTTCACTTTATGATGCATGTTGTATGAAATATAGTTTTTAGAAGATACCCTAAACATGGTACCGACTTCCTTATATTCAAGGATCTCAATTTGATCACTCGGTTTTTATTACGGTAAAGAATATATTGAGCTCAAAAGGTATAAAGTCATTTGTATGATCTAATGACATAGTGTCTTGAGAAAAGCCTTTCATTTGCTCTATCTATTTATCTACACCTTTATACCTGTCAAAAAGCTCGCTTCATTTCTCTTTTGCACTTCTTTTTATTTTCGCAAATGTACAAAAGGCAATGAGTACATAAAATAGCTCTACACAGTTTAATCTACTAATTAAGACACAAGCCTAGCTTTCTTGATATTATCCAACGCCCAACAACCAACTTCATCATGAATCTATTAACAAAGTAACGAAAGAATCAATTGTCTGTGTATCCTCTTTTTTCAGGTAATTTACCAGTTTAAACTTTGAGAACTTGTTCTCGACCCTAATTTTATACAAAAGAGCTCAAGAAAATCAACGTTGAATGCTGTCTAAATCATGTTGCTTGACTCATTTCTGAATGTTTTCTACATGAATTTAAATGCTTGTGATTACTCCTAGTTCAATTGATTTTTTCAGTATACATCTCCTAATTGAATTACTAGTGTCTCTAATTTTAAAGATGCAATGATTTGTGTGTGCACAAGTACGTTAGAACGATTTTTATATTAACAAGAAATCAAAGCAGTATATTGTTTTCTTAAGTTTTGAATGAGATGTATCCTTACAACCCTCTCTACATTGGTTAAAGTATCATAAGCACATTTGATCATCTTTTGGATCATCTCTTTCATGCTCTTCTCTTTTTATAATTTCCTTTCTGAGATTACAAAACGCGTTTCTTTATCTTTATTTTCTAAAAGCATGAGACGATCCAATCCAAGAAACACCCTACGATCAACCACTCCCCCACCTCCCCCACTTCCCCCACCAACACTGCTACCTTCACAATCCAATGAACAAACAATAACAAATACCGATCGTGCTTCACAAGCCATACTAGATCTCGTTCAAAAGAAGCAGCGGGAAGTAGAAGAAACGATGAAAATAAGACAGTTGAGTGTCGATATGGTTCATAAACTACGCCAATTATCGCAAGGCATGCAAGCACTAACAGAAAATTCAGCTAGTGTGAGGAAGACGTTAGAGAACTGGGAAGTTGTGTTTAACACCATGGGTGAAATGAACACACAAGAACAGAATGCTACTTGGGTTCGGTTTCAAAAATAATAATAAAGACAGTGACAGTTGTTTTTTCTCTTTTTTTCTTTATTTTTTCTTTTTTTTTTTTTTTTTTTGCCTGTCATGAGGCCACATTCACCAAGACACGGTCGTTCTTATTCACCGCGTAGTTCAAGGTCTCGCTCACCTTCTTACTCTCGTTCTCGCTCGCCTTCTTATTCTCGTAGAAGACGTCGATCTCCTTCTAATTCGCCTCCTCCTTATAGAAGTAATAATGGAGGATACCGTCGTCGTTATTATTCTCGGTCACCTCCTCCTCTTCCTCGACCTTTACGTCGATACAGGTCGCGCTCTCCTCCTATGCGACGTGGAAGACCGAATAAAGATTGTCGAGTGTATGTGAGTAATTTGTCGTTTGATGTCACTTGGCCTCAATTAAAGGATTTTATGAGAGAAGGTAAATTCTATTTATTTGCTGTCATAAACTCATGTTGCATCATTAGCGGGACAAGTGGTTCATGTAGACGTGTTGAAAATGGCCAATGGTCGATCGAAAGGATGCGGGTAAATCAGAGACGTGGAGGGAGTGTATATACTGAAATATTCCCATAGTGTGGTTGAATATCGATTTCCAGAAGACGCAAGACGCGCTATTCATACGATGAATAAAACTGAGTTTATGGGCAGACCTGTATTTATCAGAGAGGATCGCGAGTATGAACATTTGAGTCTGCCTAAAGACCCTCGCGATGCTCCCGATGATTGTCGACTTCATGTTAGCAACGTTGGTATAGAATAAGTGGTTGCTATCATAGCATTCGATTGACATATCTCATAGTTACCATTGAATGCTAGTTGGCAAGACATGAAGGATTTGTTTAGAAAGGCAGGACGCGTGTTGCATACAGATATTCATACGGACGCTGGTTCAAGAAGATCTAATGGACATGGTACAGTCATTTTCGATGATGCTCGGTATGCTAAAATAGCCATTGGTAAGCTACAGCATAAGAGGTGGTCTATCTACTCACCGTCTAGAAATGTTCCATGGTTATGAGTGGCAAGGACATCAACTTCAAGTAGAAGAAGGAAGATATATAGAGAAAAGTGCTCCAGCACCCATGAGCAATCGACCTCCTCTTCCTTCTCATGTCCCAAGACATTCGATGGATGCTCCTCGTATAAACCCTACAACGAGTACTCCTGTTCCTGTTGCCTTGCCTCCAGTACCCACACCAATAACCCATATAGAGCCTATCCATGAGATAACGCCTACTTTAAGTTATCCTTCTCATCCCCCACCTCCGCCTCCTTCTTCATCTTCTTTAGAGTCCATACCAACCTATCAACAACATGTCTATCGATATGGTGAAACACAGGCACCCATGCATTTGCCTCCACCTCCTCCTGTCTATTCTTTTGTGGGTGGACCTGCTGCTAATTTACCTACGCATGGACATAATCAGATCTTTGTGAATAACGTATGTCTTATCTGATCGACAATCAAACTCATCTTTTTATTATTATTAGTTGCCCTTTTCAACTACATGGCAGGATTTGATTGATTTGTTTAGACATGTTGGACCTGTGATTCGATCCGAAATACTGACAGTCAATGGTCATCCTAAAGGCTCTGGTTTTGTGCGGTTTGAAGACGCAACTACGTGTGAAAAAGCGATTGGTAAGTTAAAAGAAAAGTAATGCCTTTTTATTCATGTCTGTACACAGAGAAATTTCATGGTTATATGTATGGTGGACGTTATTTGGATATTCGACTTGATAAGTATTCCACTACGATTTAGGAAGTGGAATAGGCGTATGAATCTATCATGACTAAATTTAGTCTACATAAACTCGCTTCTATTATACCTTACTGCTTGAGAGATAGGAATCCATTGTTTTAATGCGTTTATACGTGGATCTTGTGTATCAGGGGCTGTATCTTTTTTCCATAAAATAAAGTCTTGTATGGTTATGTTTGATTTATGCCATACTTTATTTTCTTCTTCATCTTCTTCTTCATCTTCTTCTTGTTTAGTCCATACTTGACCTATTTCTTTTGAATAAACACCACTCGAGTTTGTTTTGTTTACCTTGTGTTGGTGTGTTTAAATACACTTGATGGCCAATGAGTCTTCTACCATGTATTACTGTCTCATAATGATCTTGTTGTTTCTCAATATGAAGATACGTTTTTGTATTGATGGATCCTTCTTTATCCACTGAAAAAGGAAGTAAATGAACTTGACTCTCTGACATGATAACGAAAAAATAAAAAGACGTGTTTTGATTTTTTTTTTTTTCATTTATCGCGTTCTGTGACTTGTATTTATGCAAAGAGGCTTTATTGTATATGCGCATAGCGTACAACAAGTCGTTTGATACTAGAATAAATATGAGATATCACTGTAGGAGAAGGATTGTTTCTTGCCAGCAATAGATCGTCCAAATAAAATACAGCGGTATGTACTGCTTCTTGTGTATAACTCGATAAACAGTACCGTAATCGAATAAAGTGAGTAAACACAATCAATGCCAATACAGACGTATGCCATCTAAACACAAAGTCAATACAAGCATGTTTCTGTGTTGCCTTACATTATCACACCCAACGCAATTCTGGTCATAATCACGACCACTTCAATATAAGCAACATAATACATGGCATGCTTATGTTGATGGTCAATAAAGTACTTGATGTTCGAATCCAATTGAGACACTAGAGAACAAGTGGGTATATAAGTGTGGAATAAATGTGTTCTGATAAATGCCAGTGTATGAAATAGCGAGAAAATAAAAAAGGGAATCAATGTCACTAAGCACATAGGTTATAAGATGCTTCTTTTTTTTTTTTTTTTTTTTTTTACCTGTCATAGGAGGACATGAAAACCAATAAAAGGCAATCACAAAGTAATGTACGTTTTCATCAGATAAAAAGGTTCTATTGAGTGAAGTATGCGTCACCTAATTCAGAGTTGAGATGGTTGTGTATAAGATGTTTGTTACTTACACCTATTGAATTATAAATCACAATAGCATACGATACTAAAGCACCAAGATAAGCGCGTTTATAGCATGCTGTATTAGGATGAAATGACAAGACAGAACTGAAATAGACAAGTCCATTGAAAAAGACACAGACATGACCCAACCACCAATAAAACTGTCTTTGCTACTCTTTTTCGTGAATACTTTTGAACCATAGCTTCTATTTTACCTGTATTAAAGTATAGAATGGAGTCATAATAGAAAGAGAAAAGAAAAGGGAAACTAAATATAAATAGATTAATTGAGATGTAACCTTTTATCTTGTTGCACAATAGAGGTGTCAAAAAAAAATATTTTTCTTTCTTTCTTTCTTTCTTTGTTTCCTTCTTTTTCTTTTTCAATGCCTATTCTCGAAGTGACTGAAGACCAAAATCCGTTTTTAATAGAAAAGCCTAAAAAAGACTTTGAGCAACTTACACAAGAAGAAAAGACAGCTTTGTTAGATCAGCTTTCTTCTCAAGCTGATCCTGAAGCCTTTGAACGTTTAGCAGCTCACTTTTTAAACCAAGCAACCAAGCAAGACTTTAATACAGTCAATGTACAACCTCAACCTGGCTTTGTGTGCAAGACACGTGTCATTCAATCCAAGCAGTATGCAGTCAACACAGTTGTTTATATCAATATCTGTTACGCGTCTGCTATTCCTGCACCACCTTTAACTGACGAAAAGGAAATTCAGAAAGCATTAAATGCAGATCCCAATTCAAACTATAAAGTACCCCTGAGTATGGGACAATTACGCTATGATGAAAAAAGTAAGAGTATTCTCTTCCTATGTTCTCTATTCACTTTATGCCTTGTTTAGATGCCCTTGTCATGGATGCTTGTGTTCATACACAACCTTACTTAAGAAGTGAAAAAGATCTGGATTTTAGACTGTATATTTTGGAATTAGCGATGGAATACGTGGAGGATCTCTTGTCTGTCTCACTCAGTCGAGAATTCACTATGCCAAACACAAAATGCATTGGAAAGATACCAACACGTGTATTGCGTTTGCCAAAGCCTTCTTTGTTATCGTCTGTGATGTCTAAACCCAAGCAGCCATACACTATGTTCGTAGAATCAGAATTCCTCACAATTGTAATTCCAATGCCTGATACAGTAAACATCCCAAACAAACATGCATAAATGAAACACTAATGTTACGCTTAGAACGCACGCCACTGGACAGTCGATATTGAACCACATCAAATCACACTCAACCAACTTATGATTCCTTTATCTCATCCTATTCTAGTCAGTGATAGCCAAAATAAGGTTGATTTTTATAAAAAGACACAAGATTTAGTGATTCAATTAAAATTACAAAAGAGAAAGCAATACCTATGATGCCACGGCAACTTCTTATTGGTTCCTAAGGAAATGTTAATTATTTCAAGTCACACAAAGCATTAAAAAAGTATATGTCAACTGAATTTCTCTTTCTTGCTTTTTTTTTTTTTTTTATATATATATATATTTTATTACCATGACTGAAGTTGTTGCCAATCCCCCTGCTACTGAACAAGTACCTGAAAACACTGAATACCAAGATCGCTTCTTGGAAGGTTCTCAACGTATTGTGCCTTATGACTTATTAGAAGCTCGCGGTAATGCTGACAAGTCAACTGACCCTGACGCAAAGAACTACAGAGACGCCAAAGAACTCTTCCGTAAAGGTTATGAACTCTGTATGACTGTTCCTCGCTCTCTTGAAGATGATGTGTTGGAGAAGCATGAGGAAGATATCAAGACAGCCTCTGAAACCATGGTGCAGGCCTGGTTGATGGACGACAGAGCTGCCCCTATGTCTGAACGTATCCTTATTTTGGGTCAACAATACGAAAAAGTCTTATTGAAGAACATTCCTGAAGAACAAAAAGAAGGTTTCTTTGTCAAGGACAGTCTCTTGTTCTCTGCTTGGATTTTGTTGGTGGGTAAACAATTTAAGCACTGGTAAGTCATACAATGATGGCAATAGAGAGGGTTTATTGATGATCAATAGTATTACTACATTAACATTGGCTATTGATACATACCCTGATCTCCCTGCACGCGTCTTTTTCCTTCGTGCATCTTGTTATCTCTCTATGAATAAGCTTAGGTAAGAAAAAGAAAAAAAAAAAAAAGAAGAAAGGATGTTAATTTTTTCTATAGACTTGGTATCAAGGATTTAGAAAAGGCTTTAGAAAGAGACCCCAAGTTCGCTGTAGCTTATTTTGTGCTTGGTTCTGTTTACTTGAGCATGGAAAACGAACGTGAAAATGCCATCAAGAACTACAAACTCTATCTTCAAAACGGCCATGCTGAATCCAATGAAACTGTACATGCTCTCTATGCTCTTTCTGTGCTTGTCAACTTCAAAAAGAGAAAGCCTGAAGCCCGTGAATATTACCAAAAGGCCAAGAAGGCTGAAGAAAACTTTAAGGAACTGTATGGTGCCAACACAGGTTTAAGTGAGACAAAACGTAATGCCATTTTGGCCCATGAATCACCAGAAGAAGCTGAACGCTTAATCAGTCTCTATGCTCCCAAGAGACAAATGGATCAAAAAATGCAACAATTGATTCAATCGGGTATTTTAAATCAATCTTTCCCTCCTAACCCTCAACGTTGTTCTCACTGTGCTGCTACTCATCTCAAAGACAACGATGCTCCTCTTTTGGCCTGTGGTGCTTGTAGAAGCATTTGGTATTGTTCTCGTGAATGTCAAGTAGCTGACTATAGAGCTTCTCACAAGTCTCAATGCAAAGAATTACAGGCTTTGAAAGCTGAAGAAAAATAATCTTTTTTTTTTTTTTCCTTCTCAATAAAAAAAAAAAAAAAAACATGTTAAAAAGAGATTGGATTAAAATACGTACTTATTCAACACAACGTATTAAAGAATGGGAAAAACAAACAAAGGCAACTGTCCTAACGACATTTGATACGATCAGTCCTTCTCGTTATAACCTTTTAGCCAACACATTAGGTCATGATGCGCATGATCAGATGCCACCATCAGGTACTGTCATCCCACCTTGTTGGCATCATGTGTACTTTCCACCCCGTACACAAGAACATGATCTTGCTCATGATGGATATGAGACCGAGTTTTTTCCTCCTCCTCCATTCTCTCAACGCATGTGGGTAGGTGCTCGTATGACATGGAACCCTTCCAATCCATTAAAAATAGACGATCAAGTCAAGATGGTCACTCAACTCGATCATGCTCAAGTCAGAGAAGGGCGTCTGGGTGAGTCTGTGATGGTCTGGATCAACAAAGATATTGAGAATCAAAAGGGCTGGTCTATGCAAGAACAACGTTGCTTAGTCTATCATCCTCCACAAGAAGAAGCGAATACAACCCGAGGTATTCAAGGCAAGTTCATCACTTTCCTATTGACTCTCTTTCAATAACCATTATGTGGTAGTAAGGAAATCACCTGGGTTTTATAGAACAATGACACCTAGTTCCATCTTATTATTTCGGTATTCTGCACTGACATTCAATTCGCATAAAATACACTTTGATCATCTGTATGCAACCCAAGTCGAAAAGCATCCTGCCTGTCTTGTCCATGGTCCTCTCAGTGGTACATTATTGATGCATTTACTAGGCACACAAACAAATAGGCCCTTAAGCACATTTGAATATAAATGCTTAATGCCTCTGTATGTCCATCAACCCTTGACATTAGCAGGCAGGCAATCAAAAGACAAGACATATGAACTCTGGATCACAAACAGTGCAGGTCATTTAGCAGTCAAAGGTACTGCTACTGTTGCTTAATGCTTTATTATTATTATTATTATTATTATTATTATTATAGTTTCATCATCATATCCACCATATTCTCTATATAAAAACCCATCAGCTTATGCTATTTTCAAAAAAGGATACATACCTAGTGTAGGTGGGTCTACGTAGCCTCTTTTTTCAGGTGGTAATCGCATCACAATATCATAAATCGTTTTTAGCTTAGTGGCTTCATCCATACTTTCCATATCTCGCGTGATTCGGTCCACTACTTCACTTGAAGTCTGCTGAACATCGACAGACAAGTCAGGCAATCCTTTCAGTCTCCTCCATTTGTTTGTCTTGCTAACATCATAATTGATGGTCAAATACCAGAATTCGCTAAACAGTTCATCAGGTAATTCCCAATTTGCAGCCAAGGTAGGATCTCCACCATGATAAACAGATCCATTCAATAAGATGGAAAAGCAACGATCGTTATCCATCAGATTACGAAAGAGAATCATACGGTCTCTTAGGTGAGGTACAGGAATCAAAGCAATACGAGGATCATGTGGAATAGCCAGTTGTAAGATAGTGGGCCGTAGTACTTCTACAGATGCGTCTTGTTCAGGATCTATGTTTAGCTTGGACCGAATGTATTGAATAGCGTCCATGCTACTGTTGATATTAGTGTTGGGAGGGGTATCTTGTGTTTCCAAGGGCGATGGCTTAGGTTGTTCTTTAAGGGGTGTTTCTTCTTCTTCTTGTTCTTGGTATATTCTTTGTAACACGGTAGTCTTGATATCCTTATTGTTCTTTGCATACGCACTTACATAGGCCTCAACAGCATCAGGAGCTGTTTGAGCAAACTCTTTTAATGCTTCTTCAGATAAATAAGGTGCATGTGGAGGCACATGCACTCGACTAATGCAACACAAAAATTGAAATGTCAAGACAAGTCCTTTCAAGTACCAATTCTCTGTCTTGTAACCTTCCATCTGACGTTTTATGCTTTCGAGTTCACGTGTGGCTGCATTGCGTTCTTCACGCAAGTTACGAATAGTCGCTTCCAGATCTCTTAAATGACGTTCTTTGCGTTCTCGAAAAGCACGTTGCGCAGCTCTGTTTTGTGCTTTGCGTAAAGCGGGTGAATCTGGGTTGGGTTTTCTACCTGGTTTCTTACGAGCAGGTCTATCCACTTCAGGTGAAAGGGTAGATAAGGGTGGTGGTAAAGGGGTTGCGTAATGTATACTGGGGAAATGCGTAGGGTCTGTTAAATAAATAGTGTTAAAGTCATGTTGAATGATTGGATTAAGAGGAAGTTCAGGAAACAAGTTCTCAAAGGATTCTGGAAGTATGTCCGACGGAGGTGTTTGTTCTGTTGAACTTCTTTTCTTTTCCTCTTGTTGTTGTTCTTGCATGTATGTATCAATATTGGCTAAATAGGACTCCATCGTGTAATGAGAAAGAAAAATAAATAAATAATAGAAAGCCTTCAAAGCCACAGGTATGTATAAATAGTTTATTGGAATACTTGGTCCAAGAGCTCTTTATCGTTAAAGGGCTCATCTTCTTCCACTGGTTCCATGACAATAACTGTAATCTGCGCTTGATCTGTTTCTATAGTGCCATCCATGTGTTGATAAGTGACACTGATTTTGATGCGATCACGTCCACCATTCGCCAACATCAGTTTGGTAGGACTAAACTCAAGTGAACCAAGAACACTGTTGACTTGCTTCATATTGACCTGCATCATTGTGATCTGCTTATGCTTTTCAAACATCCCATGGCGCATACGTGTTCGACCAATCGCTGTCTCTAGATCGATGGTCACTTGGGCCATACGATCAGGACCACCGCGCACATACAGAATATTCAGGCCTTGGAAATGACCCGGTGCAGGTTGTAAACGTAGCAGGTTGTCTGATTGCTGATCGTCATGTCGCATCCGATCAGAAACAGCACGATAGACATAATCTCGAGGCGCCACAAGACGCATAGGGACCTGAGTCGATTGTGTCGAGGAAACAATCGCATGGGTCTGTGTATCGAGATGAGGTAAATCGAGATCAAACTTTTGAAAGACAAGGTCAATCACACTATGAGGCTGCACAGGTAAATGGTTGGTCATTTTACCAAACATGTGAATGTTCCAACTGAAAGGTTCAATCTTGGTCTTGAGTTCTTGTTCTGCTAATGCACTTGGCTGTAACAGCTTATGAATCTCGAGGTAGTTGTAAGGATAGAGTACTTGACGAGGCAAGATGGTGAGCCCTCCCTCTTCAAGCACTGTGCGTCGTTCACGCACATAGGAAGTAATTGCCTTGGGTCCACCACAATTAAAGCATTCAGGATCATAATTGTAGGCTGAAAATGCACCTTCTGCCATCTCTCGAAACAGTTTCCAACCCCGTTTAAAGCGCATTAGTCCTTGAGGCAGATAAAGTCCTTCTTGATCCAATGTCCATGCACGGTCTGAATGGACTTGAGAGTAATCTGAGCCAATGAATTCAAGCTGCTGATCAGGTGGTGCACGTATCCAGAGTGCATCCATGTCCATATACGTGCCACCGTAATTATAGAGTAAGAGGCATCGAATATAGTCTGTCAAGTGCCAGTAAAAGAATTTACCCTTCTCCCATCGGTCCCAACTCTGAAGCCAATCATGGGTGCCTGGACCAAAATACCACTGCCAGTTCAGTAAGTTTTGTTTGTTGAACTCAACCACTTCAATCTGATAGCCTCTGCGTGTATAATCTCTAAAGAAACTTTGTGGAAGTGTGTTGGATATCATGAAAATCACTGCTTCTGGTTCATGGATCCATACAAGCTCAAGAGCACGCCAATGACGGTCTGTAAAAGTAGAAGGATCACTGGTCCAACAGACCCAATAGAGTAAATGCCAACTGGACTCATTGGAGTAAATAGAAGAATGTGTGCTCAATACGTCTTGAATGATCCATTGTTCATGATCACCTAAAGAAGCCAGTTCGTCTTTGACTTGTGAATTGGGTATCGTTTGAAAGTCTGATACAGCAGGAGACACACCGCGTTGTGGATCGCAGACGATGCCCTTGGATCGCCAATCATCTTGCTTGCCATGGCATGGGTAGCACACAGCACAGTGTTGCTGAGCATCCAATGCATGACATACAGAACGCTTTTGAAGTACATAGGTGTACATCGCTTGTATCTCTTGTTCAAATTGAGCATAAGGCACTCTTTTCGCAATCATGTCTTTCTCACAGGTATGTTCATCATCTTGTATGCGTCTATCATGCATTGGCTGTACATCAAACCCAAATAGCCAGAGTGCAAGATCAATACTGTCGATGCCAACCATGCGGCGAGGATGCTGTGTATGTGCCACCCTATCCACCAGATGACGAGACAAAATCGTAAGCGTGCCACTTGTAAATGCAGGCAATAAAGGCATACCATAATCCGTCTGTACTTGTTTGTCTTTACTGACATGATCCACAGGCATATTTCGATACACAAATCCCTTCCAATAGTTATCTTTTTTGCCAGTCTCCGTCAATTCTTGCTTGAGTTTATCCCAGCGAACAAACACATCATCCTCTGTCTTGACCAGATAATCGTACTGAATACCTGTAGACCATTGGCATGCTGACAATAATTTCTGGCTGTGGTGTAGATCAGGTGCAGGTACAAACAAGATGTCATGGTATGTCTCTGACTCTGCTATCCATGCTGGATCAAGATGGTCAGGCTGTCCCATCACAAATCGATAATGATCTACCCATTTCAGTGTGGATTGACGCAATACCTGTCGCTTATGAGCACCTTCGGGTGTCCATGTACTGAGGATCAAGACAATCATAGCACCACTGGCCATATGCTGATCAAGGCCAAATTGATCTGAATAGAAAAGTAAATTGGATGTGTACTGATAGGTGTGGATAAGTTGAGATAGCATCAGGCTAGATAACACCATCACGATAACCAAAGGACACAAGAGATGCAACAATTTGGCTTGTGGATCGAGGCGTGCCTTGGTCTCTATTTTTTGACTCAATGAAGACTGAGAGCTCATAGTCCACATGTTGATCACAAGCAAGACAGAGCAAAGAGAGAGTTGAACACCAATAGGGTTTGTCCATAGTGTATGGAACAAATAAGAGATACAGCTCATCATGATCACTAGCGCGACCAGACGCATCATGGCTTGTTTGATCTCATGATGATAAAGCCAACGTACCATCATACTTGTGACGAGAATCCAACTCCAATAACCAGCTAATAGACACTAGAATACAAGACTCAGATTAGACTCGTCCATACATGTGTCGATTTACCCAAAGAATAGCGATGTAGTAATCAAGTTGTGTTGTTTGCAATACAATAGCACCACCCGCATCTCGATAGGCTATTTGCCATGCTTGTTTTAGGTTATAGATGACATTAACTAAGGCTGGAAGACAACTCGATGCTCGCAAGACAGTTGTTGGTATTTGATAACGACGAGGTACATTCAGACTCGAAGTAATCTTTTTCTGTCTAAAAAAGGGCAGCGTTGTTTGCTATCAATCGTGTTATTGTATTTTACTTGTACTATAGAAAGTACCTGTGCCATCTATGTATGTAGATATATGCTTCTTTAAAGAAGCTTTATAGAGTATAAATAAAAGTTTTTTTTTTTTTTATTGTATGCGGATATTTAAATTATTCTGTATTAAGGAACTCACTCACAGAAGGATCATCATCTGTATTCACCATTTCATTAAAGAAACTATCGTTATTCTCTTCTCCATCTTTCTCGAAATACATGTCCATATTATTCTGTGTTGATTTTGGTTCAGACTTTGTTTCTTCCATGATATGATCTTGTGTCTGAGATTGTTCTTGTAGTGGTTGATGTTCTTCTATACCAGGTATAGGCACTACTTTGAGATTATGTGTCGAATGTTCAATTTGAACACCCATTTCTTGGGCTAATTGAGCTACTACATGATTGATACTGTCTAACGTAGATGCTTGATTGAGTTGATTCATCTTACTCCAAAACTGTTCTTGTTCTTTCTCTAGTGAAGCCAATCTCTTTTGGTATGCATCTTGTTGTTGTTGTGTCTTTTCCTTATATTCTTTCTAGTGTGATGTGAGCCTTACTATTACTGTGTATATCATATGGCTTACAATTTGCTTTTCGAGTTCTTCTTTTGTCTGTGACAATTCCAAGGATGGAGGTACAATGGAAGCTATACACAAGTCAGCGTTTTTCATGGATCTCTTGTATGGTTTACCAGCATTATAAGGTGTAAATATTTCAGATAAATAGTCATGATTGCGTTTATATCTTGCCATGGCAATATCGCGTGCTGAAATATCATCTAATTCATCGCCTGAAGGTTCATCAGTATCGTCTGTCATGGGCGCATTAGGTCTTGTAGTCTATTGTTGTATTAAAAGAAATAACAGATGATATGATGGTATGTTACCTTATTTTGAGCTCGTTTTCTATGTACATCGTTTAATTGAGCCTGATTTCTGTATTGTTGTTGTTGTTGTTGTTGCTGTTGAATGAATTGACCTTGAGCAGGATTAATACCAATTTGACCTGGTATGCCTCGTTGCTGAGCCAAAGGGACACCTGCTCCTTGTTGATTATAGAAATAAGCTGAAGCCATAATGATTGAAAACGCGTTTTTTACAAAAAAAAAAAAAAAAAAAAAGGTAGGATAGAGCTACAGACACTGCGAGTCGTGATTATACGTCATCGTTCTTTTTCGACGGAGTTGGACGAACGCGCGGCCCTTATTGCGTGTCAAAGCAATCCTAAACGCTTTTCTCTTTCTTTACTTCTTTATAATATGACTTCTATTGGTACAGGCGTAAGACTAAGGGATATTAGACACATATAGATACGAGATTGACTAAACGAATTCAAAACTAGTACGATTTATCTGTTGCAACCTATTCCCCTGATGGACGCGTATTTCAAGTGGAATATGCAAACAAAGCTGTTGACAATAGTGGGTAAGTAAACCAATCAACACATCTAGCTATGATACTCAATGAACTAGTACTGCCATTGGTCTTCGTGTGAAGGACGGTATTGTCTTGGCTGTTGAAAAACTAATTCAATCTAAATTATTGGTGTCTGGTGCTAATCGTCGTATTCAAAGTGCTGATCTTCACATTGGTGTCGTAAGTACTTTTCATCCATAAACAAAAGCTAAAGTGTCATAGGCTACTGCTGGTTTATTAGCTGATGGTAGACATATCGTCAACAGAGCTCGTGATGAAGCTCAAGCTTGGAAAGATATTTACAGACAACCTATTCCTGGCAAGACCATGGCTGATCGTATTGGTCAATACGTGTCTGCTTACACTTTATATTCGAGCGTTCGTCCTTTTGGTACAAGTACTATTATTGGTACTATGACTGAAAAAGAAGAAGCCACTTTATATATGATTGAACCTTCTGGTGTCTATTGGGTATATTCATATTGTATATTATTCATGTATGTTGACCTGTCATACTTTAGGGATACAGAGGTTGTGCTATTGGTAAAGGCAAATCAGTTGCCAAAACAGAGATTGAGAAACTTGATCTAGAGAACATGACTGTACGTGAAGCAGTTAACCATATCACTCGCATGTAAGTCAAGCTTATCACATCTATTTGGGAATGAATACTGATTTTCTACAGTATTTATACATGCCATGATGATGCCAAAGACAAAGATTTTGAATTAGAATTGAGTTGGATTTGTGCAGAATCACATTATAAGCATCAATTTGTACCCAAGGATATCCAAGCCGAAGCAGAAGCATTAGCAAAAGAATCTTCAGACGATGAAATGGAAGACTAATAAAAAACATGTTTATTCTTTTGGTTTTTGTTCTCTTTTTTTACGTTTCTTTCGTTTACAGACACAGTTCTTGAGTGCAGATCTCATTTCTTGCATGGTGAATGGTTTACTAATGAAATCATTCATGCCTGCATCAATGCAAATCTGACGGTCTTGTTTTGAGGCAGAGGCAGTAAGGGCAATAATGTAGACATCATCCACGTTTAATAGGGGACATGTTTTGGGCTCAGTGGTAGGCGGTGGTGGTGGGCCATTGTGTTTACGCTCAGAAATAATGAGTCTTGTTGCCTCTAAACCGTCCATTTCAGGCATATAGAGATCCATCTAAATTTTGATCTTTAAGCTGTAAAGAAAGAATATAGCATGACTTACAAAAATAACATCAAATACATGTTCTCGCATCAATTCAAGTACTTCTCGACCATTGCTGGCAATCATGACATCTTGATATCCAAGTCGTTTAAGGATACTAATCGCAATCTTTTGATTTACTAAGTTATCATGAGTCTCTCTTTTTTTTTTAATGGACAAAAAAAAAAAAAGTGAAGGAAACTTACAGACATTATCTTCTGCTAACAAGATCTTGGTGGGGTAATTAAGAGCAAAGTTTTCTTCATGAGAATGACTTAATTTTCTGTGATGTTTAGCCAAAGAAATACGCGGTGGTTTTTTAGCTTCTTTTGGTGGGCTCTTGGTTTCTTGTGATTTTGTGAGTATATCTTGAAGGTTTTGAGAATGGCATGTAGATGGATCATTGGGTATATGGGTTGTATCCCAAGAAGGCCTTTTGTTGCTATTGTTAGTCTGAAGGGGGAAATAACCAATGGAAGTTGAAGGTGATGTTGTCTCCAAAGAAGCATGATGGGATCTTTCACCAACACTTGAGCCACCATCAGAAAGAGAAGAACCAGGAGAAGGAGGAGAGGCTATCATACTACCGCTGTTATAAGTACCACTACTTTCAGACCTCCGTGTCGTAATCGAAGAAGGTCTCTTTTGTGTTGTTGCTGCAATTAAGGGCACAGTTAAAGCAAAGCGAGAGCCTATGCCTTCTTCTGATTCTACCCAAAGACCACCGTCCATTCGATTGACCAACATACTCGAGATAGCTAAACCAAGGCCAGTACCACCATATCTTCTTGCCGTGGAGATATCGATTTGAGAGAATGATTTAAATAGACGGGGCAATCGATCAGCAGGCATACCGATACCTGTGTCTGTGACAGAGATCTCAAGCATTACTTTCTCTTGTTCTTCTTCTTCTTCTTCTTCTTCTTCGGAATGCATATTAGAATTAATAGTGTTGTTGTTATTATTATAAGCGCCAGCGCTTGTTTCATTTACATGTTTCTTTTTACTAGAGGTGGTTTCGAGTTTAGCGTCATAACGATCCTTAAATCTTTGATAGACTTGTTCTTGAGAAGAAGAAAGAGCAACCTTGACTCGAATACCACCCGACTTTGTGAACTAGGCTATATTAGTGCTTGCCATTGTCACTCTCAGTATTACCTTGACAGCATTAGAGCAAAGGTTAAGTAAGATTTGAGTCAAACGCATACTGTCTCCCATGACATAGTCAGGAACATGGGCATCAATTTTCCATAAAAGAGGTAACACTGTCTTTTTTGTATACTTTTGTGGTACAATCATAGGATCGAGTTTTTCGAGTTGATGAATAAGCTGGTGTAGAGGAACATTGTCATCGATGTCGGGTGGACATTCGACTACATAGACAAGTTTATTGTGCTGTGTCATGGATGCTTGATGGCGCGCCATGTTTAAAGCATCTGACAATAGTAAGTATTGAGTCATACACGTTGTTGTCTTTTACCTTTCACACATTTCCTTAGACTAAACCGTCTGTTTTCAAGCTTAAATTTAGGGTCATGGTTGATTTTTGAAATATCAAGAATGTCATTAATGACAGTCAAGAGATGATTGCCACTTGTTTGAATCACTTCTAAATGTTCTATTTGTTCTTCATTCAATAGACTTTTTTCTTGTAGTAATAAGTCTGTTAATGCAATCACGGCATTCATAGGTGTTCTATCATCATAAGTTCATTGCCTTTTATATATGTATTTCATTACCTAATCTCATGGCTCATGTCAGCCAAGAATTTGATTTTACTTTGAGCGTCTCTTAGAGCAGCATTTTTAACTGCAATCAATTGATCTCTTTGTTTTGTTCTTTCTGTTTCGTTCTTTACTCTTGTCTTTACTGCATTCAAAATACTCTTTACAAAATCAATCTTGTGGGTATCCATTGGTTTATCGTCCATGACACTGATTAAACCCACAGGCTCATTGTCTTCATCATCAACACGAATACCTACGAAACTCTGGAAAGGTGGGTAAATCCAATTGGTATTATGCTGATGAATCAAATGATATTCGCTCAACTCTATGGTCTGGATAAGAGGTGAGTCTGAAGGAAGTAAAGACAATGGCATGGCTGAATGTTTGTTCCTATATAGAATCATAAGCGATCTATGTGGAATGGCTTAAAGATTACTTGCAGACTATGATGTGATATTTTAGAATAACAAGCTTTGATGAATGCATATGCTGTTGAGTGATCATGATGTATATCATTCACCGTGTGCGCAGAAGGATAGATTTCATCATTGTCTTTTAAATCTTGATATTCTTGTTTGGACAAGAGTCGTTGAATCATGACTGTTTGTGCTCCTGTCCAAGAAGCGATTTCTTGAACAAGTGTATCACAAAAAGGTCCGCTTACAAAAGGAAAGCATGTTTCGTAAATAGCTGCTATGGCTTGTTTTTTATCGAGTGTTGCTAGGTTGAGTGACTTGTCTTGAGTGGGGCATCTGCTCGATTTCATTCTCTTTACAACACAAGCCCCTTTTTCTTAATACAAAAAAAAAAAAAAAAAGAAGAAGAAAAAAAAAAGATGAGCAAAGAGGCGATGGTGAGTTCAACAATAAAAAAAAAAAAAAAAAAAAAAAAAGGAAAAGAGAGCAAGAAAGAGAAAGAGAGAGAGAGAGAGAGAGAGAGAAAATTATCTCTCTTTTTTTTTTTATTTCGTACTAAAATATACATGCACAAAAAAACTTTTTTCATAACATGTATTCTCCCTCTTTCATCATTGTTCACACCTGTTGTTCTTCCCTAAGCCACTGTTTGGCAGAGAGAGAGAGAGAGCAAGAAAAAGAAAAGTTTCTTTAAGCTTCAGAATCAAAAACAACATTGGCTCAAAATAGAAATTAAGAAAGAATGACAATGTCAAGTCTTGTAGTTTTAAACTTGTTTGAATCTTTCTTACAAATACAAGGCTACACCAAATTTAAGGTTTACAGAAATCCCTTGTTTTTAAAGAAAAAGATATATATATTTCTCTTGTATTGAATTGGTTGAAATGCAGAATAAGAGAATTAGACATTTTGCCTATTCTGGCCATTTCAAGAAAATCAAGCTGATTTCATAGAACTTGTTTAATGAAAAAGATACAAAAAAAAATTTTCTAAAAGTAAAAACGAGGTTTTGATTGGCCGATTTGTGTAACGAATGCTCCATTACATCATATTGGTATTTACTGGATAACAGTTGCACACATACACTTGTTTTGTTCCAAAGGATTCTATTGCTTCTATTAAGAGAAAAATTATTTTAAAATGAGAATATGTTGTGAGATGTCTAAAAGCATAAAGAATGAACACAAACGCTTGTTATAGGCTAAATAAGTTGTGCTTGGACCATCCATAAGAAAAAAGAATCGTCATTTTACTAAAAAGAGGCATTAGTGATCACTTGTTTTTTTTTGGGTTCAAAAAAGAAAAAATAGCTTTAGAAAAAAGTCCATGTTAGACATTAATTCAAAAAGAAAAAAGGAAAGAGAACATGTCTTTAATCTATATACAAATTGAATGATTAATAAGAGACCATAAGAAAGTCATCAGCACATTCAAAATAGGTGTAACGATAAATAATTTGTGTGAATAATAATAATAATGATAAAATATTTTTCTACTGAAATGTGCTATCAATATGATTAAAAAAAAAAAGTCTTTTTATTATTATTAAAAGAACAAGTGCCTTGTTCTAGAAAGAATCTCCGTCAAGTCAGAATTTGTGACACACTTGCACATTTTATTTGGCGCATCCTCTCCTCAATTTAATGACGTGTTTGTACATCTGTAGGCATTTTTTTGGTGTTCTTGTTTGCACTGGCAACAGTAGGAGCTGTTAAGCGAGAGATAAAGGCCTTGGTTGGCATGGTTTTCTTCTTGGCCTGTCCATCTTTGGTTGGTGACGGATACGATAGCTTTTGATTTGATAAGGCGGCAACACGTGGAAGGACTCGAGTTACTGCTACTTTCTCCATTGGTTTCGTGGGTTCCTTGACTGGCATGCTGAGTCTAGCAATACGCGAACTTTTGGTTGTCTTGTTAACAAGAGGCTGAGCTGTTACGGTTGGCTGCTTAGGGACATTCACTTGATTTCGTTTGATTCTAACAGGTATTCGAGGTCGAGAACTTGAAGGATGTACTTGTACATTCTTTTTTATAAAAGCATCTTGCTTTCCCTTCTCTTTCTCTACGTCATTTTGTTGCTCATTGGTTGTATCGTGCACTTGGCCCTTGTTGTGGTTGCTTTCTGTTGTGTTGATTACTTGTTCATGGTCTTTTATGAGTTTGTCTGTATCTTCACTCAACTCAGACTGGCCTTTAGTTTCTTTTGTTTCTGCAATATTAGAACTCTTTTGTTGTTTATCGTTACCGTTAGATGAAACTTGATGAAATACAGATTCAATATCTCTTTCTGCGCTAACATTTGAGTCACTTGCATACACAACATGTTGTTTAAACAAAGCAGGTATGCTATAGACGTTTGAGTCTCTCCTTTTTGCTTTGTCTCTGCAACTTACAGATGAGGAGCTTCTTTTTGATCCATAGGATCAGTCCATTGTTTCCATTCTTGAATGGCATTTTCTTTTTCAAGGATCAATGCACATAAATTTGAACTTTAAAAAAAATGAGACCAATAATCCATTTCTCTTGCTACTTACTCTTCCAAACAAGGTTGACAAAAGAGTGCTGCTTGTTCTTTTGAGAATTGAATGTGTTTCGAATCAATGATCGTAAATCCGTTTGTTTTGATATGAACCAGGACACTTTCCAGCTGATCATTGATAGTTATTAACGCCAAAATACGCTTTGAGTTATTTTCCGATAGCTCTGTTCAATAGTAAGTGGGTATGTCACTTTGGCTATAGTTATGTACCTTGCTGAGTGTCTGTATCTGTGATCTATGGCATGGTTTTAAAGTAAATTAATGTAGTTTTTATACTGTTCACGTACTTACATTTTCAACAATAGTCATGATGTATGTATCTTTTTGAACGAAAAGAAGCGAGAGAGAGAGAGAGATAGAAAGGCAAAAATGGCATTTGATATGTACATATATCAAACATTCAGGAGATATCTGCATCATTGCTATTCCGGATCGAAACGGTAAATCTTATTTTTTGATACAAGTCTAAGGGTTTGTTGAGGATTCCTTTGTCGACTCTAAAAAAAAAGAGATTAGTTTAGGCTTAAATTCATTCGATATTCATATATAGACGCACAACACATTGCACTTCTTGAAGCAAAGGTATTAGCTTTATGTAAATTCACTTGATTGGACTAATTTGATTAATAATGGGATTACATTTATGAAAAGAGCAGACGAATGCACAAGTTTACATAGTCACACACAGGTAGTATGGAGCCTATTTGTACATGCCTAAGTGCTCTAAATGCCTACAAACAGTATTTACTATCGTATGTGGTATCTTTGGAATTGGTTTGGGCGAGAAAAAGCGACTTGTGAAAAATGGCCATTTTTGGCCTCGTATCCAAAGGGTACTAGTCGTGAAAATATTCAACCTGACAACTCTTTTAGCCTCTTTGGAATGCTACAAGACGAAAAATGGAGCTACCGACAAGACTGAATACTCAAAATGCGTGCCAGAGACTGTAGTTTTTGGTGAATGTGTTTTCCTGCTGATTGTACTATGAAGATGATGAGGTATGAGTGAAAAACCTGGAAAACATTTCTGTCTATTTGCTCAACATTTTAGCAGCAAAGTTGTTGCGTTTTTTACAGCAATAAGCTCAGAAAGCAAGTATCTATAACTTCTGTCACTGTATCAAAGCCAGACAACTGCGGCTTTATGCGGGATGAAGAACTGGAATTTCCCTATTTCAATCTCCACATGCTGCCATCCTGTATGCTCCATGTCTATTTACTCCCACATTTACATCATAAAGTGTCTATATTTCTATCTTCCTGTGTTCTTTAGCATCCACAATAGCACATCTACTTTATATAACTCTATGGCCTATATATTTTATATGACATCTAGAGCAAAAACGTTCAAGATACTGCTTAAATGCACCAATCTTTGATGGGCCATTGCTCGACAACCAGATTATCAAGCAGTCCATTTTTTCGTTTGGAACATATTCTTTCGAGCCAAGGAATCGAATGGTACCATTGGCTTGGCTGTTGTGTGAGATTTATGATTTTGACCCATGAAGGATCACGAGAGGTCCGTGAAGATATATATATATATATATATATAAAAACTGATCCAACCGAAATCAGACAAGACCATCTCTAGGTACTTCTAATAAAAATAGAGCGAGTTCGCTAAGATGAAAACATTGAATTGATTTGAATATTGATCTCAAATCTACATTCAAAGTTTGTTATACACTGTAATCAGTACAAAAGAGGTCATTTTGAATATGTTTTAGATAATAAAAGGGTGCTTATTTATACATTGTTTGGTATTGGACATATTCAATAGTAATATATAACATAATGAATGACCCTTTTGAGGCTAAGGAGAGCAACTTTGAGGATAACCAACGATGGTTCTTGCTTGAATATTATTTCCTTTTTACTGTCATTTAAAACTACAATCGCATTCTGATCCAATTTTTAAAAAGGCTAGATACCAGATGTGCAAAAGCAGAACGTAGTGTCATAGTGTATTGAAGAAAACATCATTGTATTTTGGTAACTGAATCGTACTCTACAAACGCGTTTAATTTTTGAATTCGCGAATTTCATTACGCGACTCTTTTTTTCTGTACAATACAATCCATGGAGTCTGATTCGTTTGGATTCCCATTCCAGCCTTACTCTATTCAAAAGGACTTTATGAAAGCGCTATACAGCACACTTTCAGAAGGGAAGATTGGCATATTCGAAAGTCCTACTGGTACGGTAAGCATACAAATCACAATCATTTTTACAGTTCCTCATTGCCAACTTATTTCGGCTATATTAGGGTAAATCGCTGAGCCTTATATGTGGATCGTTAACATGGCTAAAGGATCAAGACGAAAAAGAAACTGAAACCAAAGAGCCCACTTTCAAACCGAAAGGTACGTCATAAAGATCAGTATTAACACATGCCCAACAATATAATAGCAAATCAACCAGATTGGGTCACTGCCCTACAGACTACTTCAAGTAACAACAAGCAAAAAGTCGAATTGGAGAGAAAAAGACAAGAATTAAAGGAACGTATCCAGCGTGTGCGTCAATTGGAAGATGACAATGGTATCATTAAATTAGCGGCAAGAAAGAATAAAAAGCAATTCAAGAGCAATAAAGCAGTAGAAGAAGAAGATGAAGAGTTTCTAGTGAATGACTATGAAAGTGGCGATGAAAATGATCCCACTGCAAGCCCTAAAATAAAGCAAAATATAGATCAAAACTCAAACCTTTCTAAAGAAGTACAAGAATTGCTGGCCAAGTAAGTTAAACAATATTTATTCTTTCTTATCAGTCTCTGCAGATTTGAAGCAAAGAAGGCACCTACTATATCGTATAATGATAAAGAAGAAGACTTAGAATTGGAGCAAGAAACCAAGATATATTATGCTTCCAGAACACATTCACAATTGTCTCAATTTGTTCATGAAATCAACAAAACAATGCACGCTAAAGATGTATATGAAGTGTCGCTTGCATCTAGAAAGAACTTGTGTATTCATTCGGATATCAAAAAGCTCAATAATCTCCACAAAATCAATGAAGCATGCCTTGATCTACAAAAGAAAGGCTCCAAAAAGAAATCTTGTCAGTATTTGCCATCATGGGATAATACAGCCAAATGGAACGAATTTCGGGATCATGCACTGGTAATAAAAGCTGCTTTTAATCATGTATTTACTTGCTATATAGGCTCGTGTAAGAGACATTGAAGACTTGGTAGAAGTAGGTGAGAAGCTCTCTATTTGTCCATATTATGGATCAAGGAATGCAGCAAAATCAGCAAGACTTGTTGTATTGCCTTATCAACATCTATTACACACTAGCACAAGAGAGTCTTTGAATATATCATTGAAGAACAGTGTAGTCATTATCGATGAAGCACACAATTTGATGGAAACAATAACATCCCTCTATACTGTCTCACTCTCTTTATATCAAATTCAACTTGCTTGGAATCAACTAAACCTGTATATTCAAAAATACAAGACACGATTAAAGGGCAAGAATATCGTCTATATCAAACAAATCTTGAGTATTATCAAAATTCTGATTCGACATTTAACGCCTAAAGAAGAAAGTCAAAGAAAAGACAATGTGATGCATGTCAATGAATTTGTACATGCTTGTGGGATTGACCATATCAACATGTACAAAATCAAAAACTATTTAGAAGCAAGTGGACTTGCACGAAAATTGAACGGATTTATAGATAAAGCAAGAGAAAAGGAGCAAGAAGAAAGGTTAAAAAATCCTAATACTCAACCCTCGCCTTCATTAAATTCTTCAACATTGACCTTGACACAGATTGAATCATTCCTAATGGCACTTACAAATCCCGACAAGGATGGTCGTATTGTTACCGGTTTTGAGAGTGCAGACAATACAGGTGCATCTATCAAATACATGCTCCTTAATCCAGCGGATGCTTTTAAGCCAGTAGTGGAAGAATCAAGAAGTGTCATTCTAGCTGGTGGTACAATGGAACCTGTAAGTCATCCCATTATCATGGGGGGGTTTTTTTGTGTACTAACTTGCCTTAGATATCCGATTTTTTACATCACTTGTTTCCTTTTATCCCTAATGAAAAGATTAGACACTTTTCTTGTGGTCACATTATACCACCATTCAATCTTTCTACTACCACACTCGAGCAAGGTCCTTCAGGGAAGCAATTTGTGTTTAATTATGAAAATAGACAAGACTTGAAGTTGGTAAGCTTATTTTCTCCTTTTTTTTTTTCGATATCTGATAGTTTGTAAGATGGATGAAGTAGGACAATCGATTGTCAACCTGGTCAATGTCATTCCAGATGGAATTGTTGTATTCTTTCCTAGTTTTACTTATCTTGAACAAGTCTACAAGAGGTGGTCTACAGTTGAAAGTGGATCTATTCTGGAGCGTATACAAAAACGAAAAAAGATATTCAAAGAGCCTAGAGAGAGCAATATGGTTGAAGCAACACTTCGAGACTATACACTACAAATTGATTCTCCTGACAAGAATATGGGAGCCATGTTATTATGTGTAGTGAACGGCAAAATGTCTGAAGGTATCAATTTCTCTGACAGGCTTGGAAGGTAAGAGCATATAAATCAAAAGCGCTTGCTGATTGTTTACGCAGAGGTGTGATTATGATTGGATTACCTTTTGCAAACAGAGGATCAGTAGAATTGATTGAAAAGATGAAATATGCTGAACAACAACTGGTAATTTACTTCATACTTTAGTCAACACACTCATATTGTGATAGAACACAGCCAATGCAGGTACAGAATACTACGAGAATTTGTGTATGCGTGGTGTAAATCAGTCAATTGGTCGTGCTATTCGTCATCGAGGTGATTATGCGACTATCATCTTAATTGACAAAAGATATGCTACACCTCGAATTTGTAACAAACTGCCAAAATGGATTGGCGATCATGTAGAGCACATTGACACATTTGGTAAAATAATGGGAAAGGCTTCAAAATTCTTTAGAGAAAAGCAAATTTTATAAACAAACTGTATTATACCCTATTTATTTTTTATATTACGCATCCACAGATGCATATGAGGCGTGCCTGCTTCATCAAAAATATTGCCATCGTCTTTTTCAAGCACAAACCCCACTTTCTGATAAAATTCATGTTGAGGATACTGTGAATGCAAAACTATAGTGTGATAGCTGAGCTCTTTGCAGTGCTCAACAAACACTTGTACTAGTCTTTGACTTACTTGAAGACCACGCGCATCTCCAAGTACAGTGCCTCCATCCTTAAACCTTATAAACCTTGATTTCATTTCAAATCTTTTGTAATTTTAAAGGCCTGTTCTGTGCCGAGTTCAATTTGCTCAAATCTATTTTTGTGTGATCATCTTCATGTCACAAACAAGATATAAAAAACACAATTAGCCACTCATTCCCTTTTCTTTCTTTTATACATATATTTTATCTTTAAACAACTTTATCTCTTTTCCAATTATCACTATAACTATCACTGAATACCAACGTTTTGGTTAGTATTTCTTACTCAATTATATGAATAATCCTTTATTTTAACACTCTATAAAAATTTACAATTTCATGAAACAAGGATCATAGAAAATCAAATGCTAAAAATGCTTTTACAAAAAGGAGTACGACCTCTTCTTCATGCTTTATGATAGTGTTGACCAAGGCATTTTAATTCATGAAAAAAAAATGGGAGTGTGCATAAAAAAACCAGCAGTAAATTAGCTAGCTGGAAGCCCCTTAAATGCAGGTTGAGGGTTCTTTTCTGAAGCATGGGTAAGTCCAATTCTCTTTTGAACCAACAGCTAAGGTTTGCTTCATCCTGAAAAAGGTTCTTTTGTTGTAATAAATTGGGCAAATGTGTTACTAACTTCTTTTGTTAACCTTAATGTCAAAAGTTCTCAAAATATAACATCAAATTTTTAGTCGTCCGTGTAAATGGTCCGTGTGAATAGTCCGTGTATCAGGTATTCGCCTAGATTTTTATCTGTGCAGAATGAGCCCGGTAAAGATTTTTTTTTTTTTTTTTTTGTATTTGTGCAGTCTGCTTCGGGAATGGGGTATCTGTCCATACCATATACCAGTTATATCTGTCTTAAAGGTTCTTCTGAGATTTTCTATCGGTAGATTCAAAAACTGGCTTCTTTATGACCATGCATAGTTCGCTTTTTAAATAATTGTTCAGATGAGATTTGGAACTACTGATGTTGTCGAATTACTTTGCAAATTATTTGAGAATCACTATCAACAGGATACCGAGTGAATTGATGGTACTCAGGGATTATCTTTTTTTTTTACGTCCCTGATTGTCAACTGAGTTTTTATGAGGGACTCCACCAGCTTTTCTGTAATGCTTCCATCATTTTAGACCTTCACACATATCAATACCAAGTGATCTAGCTACTTTTGCTACCATATCTGTTTTAGTAGCTAATTCGATTATGTTGGCAGTAAAAAAAGGGGGTCTCTTTGATAATTTCTGTACTGATCATACACCTTGCTACTCGTTTTTATGATTGAACTGATCCTTGGTTATAAGGTAAGTTTATTTCGCTTCATTTCTGGTTACAGCTGCAGTAAGAATAGCTTTTTGGATTACGTTCAAGTGCAAACTGCATTTTTTTTTTTCAAAAATACCAACCTCTATAAAAGTACGTCCAGCATTTGATTTGCTACGATGTTTGTTTTATAAAAAATTACAACTTTTTGGTTTCATAAAAGAAAAAAGCGGTCTTTATTTTTTTTTCTTGCGTGTACATAAAACTAAAGAAGATGTCCTAATTGAACACCAGCTTCACAAGCATTTGAATATTCATGTGTAAAGTCAATGTGTTTTCCGCTGAAATTGCCTTGGATCGTTACTGTAACAGGGTCAACGACAGCGAGACAAGCAATGCCTTCTTCAGGAGGGATATTTTCAATTAAGCCTTTGACAGAAGTCAATTGTTTACAGGCTAGTTGGGGATTGGGGTGTGAGCCACCCAAAGGATTACAAGTCAAGCTAGTGACCGTACTGCTACCGTTCTGAGGTTCGACTTGAATCAGCAGGAGAGAGCGAGAAGGAGACGAAGGATAAGCCAATACCATAGAAGCAAACATAAGGAAACCAAACTTAATTGCAGAGACCATCTTCAAAATAAAACTATGAGGAATTGAGTTTGTCTATAAATCTTGAGTCAATGCATATTTATATATACTTTTTTTTATGCCCTTCAATACTTGCATGGGCAGTTTTTTTTTTACCATTGACATGCCGTTTAATCTGCTTTATGTTGTACACAATGGAAGCATGTGATACTAACAAAATATTTCTTCAACAAACAACGATTGCTTTTAAATTACTGCTCTATCGGCATGTAGTAAAGAAAAGGACAATGTATTTAATCAGATTTTATATATTAAATAGAAAAAAAATTAGTTTTGATTGCTTTGCTACGAAAAAAGATGCTATACGAGGCATATCTACACAGAAACCTGTTCGAATGTGTCACGCTTATTGGTCATCAGAACTTTGTCTCTTAAATGAAGATACTTTTTGCTCAGAACAAGGCTCAAGACAAATGCATTAATGTCCATCTCCTTTATTTTTTAAATTCTTCTCAATACCCCTTTGGTAGATATGGTTAAAATTAGACGAGTTGGTTATACTTTGGTTAGTCTTAAGACCGTGCGCCTTAGTTGTTTTTTTTTTTTTTTTTTTTTTTTTTTTTACAAAAGGGATTGTAGGCCTTGAACAAAATGAACGTGCGAAAAAACAGTAATAGCTGGACATGTAACCTCGATTCAATCCAGAACATGCTTTAGCTTCACAGAACACATTTTGAAGAACATACGATATTGAATCCAAAACATGTCATGAGAAAGCATATGTCAATGCTCTCATTCAGTGATACAGAAAAAGTCGAGATCTTCAGAGTTGTACAATTAGAAAGATTTCTGTGTTTTATTTTGCAAATAAGATAATAATTATATACAGTGAGTTTGATTGATGTATGGCTTTAGTCTCGAATAGCATGAACCACATTTTGAACTACTTCATAAGCTTGCTGGAATTGGTTCTTAAATAAAAAATTGGCTGCTTGTTGAACATGAGAGACTTTTTTTAAAGAATTTGAAACCATATCTTCAGCAGTAGAAGCTGCTTGCTTAACAGCAGAGACAGAAATAGGGTTATAAAGAGCCTAGATAGAGATGAATTAATAACAAACAAAAAGAAATATATGCATATATATACGTACCACAGGATCAACAGGTAAACGAGACCAGAATCGTTGGATCTTTAATGCTTCTTCAAAAGGCTTTTGGATTTGACTTTCAGAATCACCCAGAATAATACCATCCTTTTCACGCAAACCACTATCGCCTTCTGGAAGTGTAATACCTGCATATCTCAACAATTCAATACCTTCAGTAGTAGCAGCAATAGGCTTTGCATGGCGGAAAGCATCCATCACAAACACCTTGGGTTCATCCACAGGGAAGAATGGAGTAGGTGTTTTTAGCATCATCATAGAAATATCGCCACCAGGGACATAGACAGCATCGTACAACACAGAGTTACCCGTCAAATAAGTAGCTGTGATATTCAAACCGTTTTGATCACCTAAATGAATACCAATGTATTCGGGATAAGCGCCCTTGGATTGAAGATACTTAAACATGGCCTTGGCTTCGCGTGTCTTTGTACCAGGTGCTGTGAGAATAGCAACAGTCCGGGTTCTGATATTGTCTGGCTTGGGGTACTTGTCAATCGAAAGGCCGACGGAGGTATGACCATGGTTTTCATACTTCTTTGAAGGAAGGCTGATACCAAGACCCAAAGCAACACGACGAGCAAGATTATTATCGACATGGTTTAATACGTCGACCATTCTTTGACGAACATCTAGATCCTTGGACTTACCCAGTTCGAAACGAGCAGCATCTACCACTTGTTGCTTTTCAGGTTCAGTTAAGGAGTTGTAGAACAATTGGGCTTGAGAATAATAATCATAGAACTTGGAAGAACGTCCACGAATCTTGTGTGCATTATCAATCTTTTCAGGGTGTTCAATAAAACCTCCTTGATCAGGAGGGACCATGGAAGGTGTGTCGCCTTGGATCTTGTTGGGAGAATAAGCTACTTTACCCTTATGAATTTGAGTCTGCATGTAGCCATCACGTTGGTTGTTGTGTACAGGAACAAGAGGACGATTGATAGGCAACTGCATGTAATTCACACTGTTCATACGGTTCAGTTGAGTATCAAGGTAAGAGAACAAACGGCTGTGCAAGAGGGGATCATTGGTAAAGCCGATACCACGTACGATGTGTCCAAGGTGGAAAGTCACTTGTTCAGTTTCAGCGAAATAGTTGTCAGGGTTACGGTTCAAGACAAGTTTGCCCAAAGGAAAGAAAGGGACTTCAGATTCAGGAATGATCTTGGTAGCATCCAAAAGAGAATAATTAAACTTGTCAAAATCAGCTTCTTCGACAATTTGAACACCCCAGTCCCATTCAGGATAATCACCTCGCTCAATAGCTTGGTAGAGATCGTTGCGGTGGAAATCAGTATCTTTACCAGCCAGTTTTTGAGCTTCGTCCCAAGCAAGATTGGCCAAGCCTTGTTTAGGCTTCCAGAGGAACTTAACGTAGCGAGAGACACCATCTTCAGTAATCAGTCTGAAAGTGTTAACACCAAAACCTTCGACCTGTCTTAAAGAGCGAGGAATGCCACGACCGGAAAGAACCCAAAGAAGTGTATGTGTTGACTCGGGGAACTCGGCAAAAAAATCATATGCGGTTTCATGAGCAGTAGCAGCTTGAGGCACTTCTTTATCAGGTTGAGGTTTGGCAGCATGAATGAGATCTAAGAACTTAATACCATCATTGACAAAGAAGGGAGCAATAGCATTAGCAACCATATCAAAGTTGCCTTCGTCTGTATAGAAGCGGACAGCAAAACCACGAACATCACGGGCAGTATCAGGAGAGCCACGAGAACCAAGCACAGTAGAGAAACGAACAAAGATGGGGGTTTGCTTACCCTTCTTGTTCAAAAAGCTAGCAGCTGTGATGTTTGAGTAGTCGCCATAAGACTCAAAGTAGCCATGAACACCGACACCTCTGGCATGAACAACACGTTCAGGGATTCTTTCATGATCTATGGTTGATGTAATTATGAATATACACTGTGCTACTTAGACCCAGAAAATAGCTTACCAAACTTCATTGTTTTTTCACGCAGCATAAAATCTTCCAATAAAGTAGGACCGTCGATGCCAGCCTTTAAGCTGTCCGAGTTATTGACCTTTTGACCAAACATGGTTGTTTCTTGAGTGCCCGCATCATTGACCACAAATTGTTCAAGTTGTTCTTTCTTAGCCTTGGCTGTATTTAGCTCGGGAGAACCAGAGAGAGCACATTCACCGTCACCAGCCACTAGCTGGGCAGCCATAAAAAGGCTGAGAAAGGAAGCCAACAGGTTAATTTTCATAATAATGCAGCAAAAAGAAAAAGATAAAGACAAACTTTAGGGAATAGTCAACTTGAGCAGGTTTTTATACCCTTTGGTTTCTTTTTAACAGAAAAAGGTTTAATGCATGTCGTCAGAATGTTGTTTGTGAACTGTCATTTATCTTGTAAACACACTATTATTTTATTTTACGTTTTAAAGTCGTCTATCGAATACACTACACACATATCCTATCATAGACACATTTTTATTTATGACGATCATGGCTGATTACTTATGCTTCATGGTTATCCTTAAACTCAATAAAACACTAGAAAAGACGACAAATTGACATCAAAATGACAATTATTCATCTATACATGGGTAAATAAACAAAAAAAAACTTTATTGACTGTAACACACAGCCATTTAATAACGATTGCTTTTAAATTTGCGTCTTTGGTTTTGATTGCGAGATGAATTACGCGGACTATTGGCTCTTGAAGAAGTGCTCGAGTCATTGTCTTTACGTGAGGCAAATGACTGCCATTTCTTGTCTGCTTCTGCTTGCTGTTCTGTATCTCTCCAACGATGTTGGGTTTCTTCCCGTTTATTTTGAGGCTCTTCATTCCATTTCTTCTGAGTTTCTTCTCCCCATCCATTCTGAGTTACTTCTTTTGTATCTATAGCACCCCATCCTTCGCTTGTTTGTTCTTGTTGATTCTTGGCATTGATTTCTTGTGTAAATCGTTGATGTTCTTCTTCTTGCTTCTCTGTATCGTCCTCTTCTTCTTCGTCATCCTCTTCTTCATCCTCATCTTGATCGCGTGCTTCTTCATCGCTTGTCTCGGGATCAGCAAATCTTTCATCTTCACCATCGTCTTCAAACTGCTCATGATGGATTTGATCTTGAGTTTCTTTTATGTCTTGCACTGAAGGTTCATTTTCACTGACTTGTTCTTCCTTATTGACTTGCTCTTCCTCTTCCTCAACTTCTTTTTGCTTTTTACTCTTTCGCTTTGTATGACCAAGTCGCTTTTTGTTTTCTTCTAATGATGACATGAATGGGAATGCATTAGCACCTAATGCACCTGCAGGCAGAAGAGTACTAGGATAAGGTAAAGTAGGTATAGCACCTGGCATAGCAAATGTAGCCCCATCCATCATACTCGAATAAGGCATGACTACCCACACAGGAGGAATAGTAGGCCCCACAGGTTTCTGGGGTTGTTTTTCTTTGCCTTCTTTTTCCTTACTGTCTTGTTCTCCTAAGCTTTGATCTACTAAACCATGAATCAGTCGCATGATCTGTTGATAAGTGGTTCTAAATCCTTCTGCTATAGGCTCATCTAGCTCAGCATGTAAATCACGCACAATACGTCTGACTTGAGCCTTGTGTGATTTTCTAGATTGTTCATGAGGTGATCGACTGGCATACAATGAAGAGCCCACCATTTTGTCTGCCAGGAAAGTCAATGCTTGAGGCTCAATGGATGGACACATGTTGGAAATCAAATAAAAAAAGCCTTGTTGAGCCAGTCGAACGAGATAAAAGAAATGCATTAATGTCCAGATTTCTTCTTCTTGTAAACCTCTGTTTCTTTCAACAGACTTAGATGAAGTGTAAGAAAGCCATGCATAGTAGTCACACTTACAGGTGAAGACTGGGTCATATACATGTCATGCAATGCTTCATTGAGTTTGATATTGACAGGACGTTCTTCAATAATCTTACGTTCTTCTTGAGTCAATTCTTGGCCTTCTTCTCTTTTTGTCTCGAGAATATATGCAGCGCGCTATACTGTGTGTTAATAGACGACGCGTCCTAGTGTGACTTACTACTTGCCACTTTCTCTTTGACACTTTCAATCTCGGTTCTTAAGGCTCTTCTCACAATAGATCTATGTTTTTGTTCTCTTGATTTTGTAGGCATCGTGTTTCAAAGTAGAAAAAAGAAAAGAAACATTGATGTTCTTTTCTTTCCTTCAACACCGTCACAAACTTAACGTCATCATGAAAACGGAGATTGAATAGACCAAAGATGTATAAAAAAAAAAAAAGTCATTTGACAAATTCTCTTTCTTCTACGTTCATAATAATTACACACGCTTATCCTTATAATTTCTATCTTACACAATTCGATATCTGTTATGGTAAACACAAATTGCAGGCTAAACTTATTCGTCTTAACTTTACAAACCCATATAGTATCAACAGATGTACAACTATGGGCCATCCTCCCAATCTTCCACATCCTTAAAAGAAGAGTGTCATGAAGTCAATAAAAATGACACAAATAGAAATGCAGACAATTTGTTCTATAACAACTCAACTCAATCTCACCACTATCACTCCCCTATCAACACTTCGTTTAGCCTGAGATACCCTTCTTTTGATTCAAACAGCTTTGATCACACACCATCACAAGAAATATATGCTAGTCGAAACCAAGATCATGCTTCTATTGCTACTTTTAATGATTTTCATGCAGTAAGTAAACAAGACACATTCAACACATTAACAATAATGCATAGATAAGCTCTTCTCAAGATATTGTAGCCAGTCTAACCAATGCACCTATGTTTGACCATGTAGAAACATCCCATACATCTACCATCACCACTACAGCCACTGTATTACCACCCTTAAATACAACACCTATTGTGATGGCTCCTCTTCAACACCACCCAGCTGCATCTCATCAAACGTATCTATTGGCCCATAAGAAACCATTAAAGGGCTCACCACGTCCTTCACGTGAAAGAGCACCATGGACACCTGAAGAAGATAACCTGTTAAAACTAGCAGTCCAACTCTACGGCGATAAGACAGAGAAATGGGCCAAGATTGCAGCCTGCGTTCCTGGGCGAACCAATAAGAATTGCCGAAAACGATGGTTTCACTCATTGGATCCTTCACTTCGCAAAGGTGCATGGACAGAGGAAGAAGACCAGTTATTGAGAGAAGGTGTTTCTAAATTTCCTAACCAATGGAGTAAGATTGCAGACATGTTACCTGGTCGAACAGACGATCAATGCGCCAAACGATGGCGAGAAAGTCTTGATCCCAGTATTGATCGATCTGATTGGACAGCCATGGAAGACAGTCTATTGATGGAGAAGTACGAAGAATATGGTTCTCAATGGCAAAAGATTGCCTTCTTTTTTGATGGAAGACCTGGTTTGCATTGTAGAAATCGCTGGCGAAAACTTCAGAGAATGGTCCAAGTCAAGAAAGATAAAGAAGGGACGGATGCTCCATTTTATAATACATTGGCCGAAGGAGGAAGAACACTTCGGTTTCAACATACCAATTCAGCTTCATTGGCTTCAAATCCAAAATTGACAATAGCAGAGCCACCTAAAGAAACCGCCTTGATTCACCTCGATCATCATGATACAACAACACATACTACTCATCATACTACACATAATAATACCTCATCTTCTTATTCTCAACTCACATCCCTGTTATCTCATCCTCAACAACAACAACAACAACAACAACAACATGATCCTTCTGTGCTTGTTCAATTCACAAATACAAATACATCTGTTGTGCCTGATGATTTTGATGAATATGGTCATGGCATCAAACCTTATGGCTGTGATGTGCCTGGTTGCTATGCTGTGTTTGCTGCTTCAGCAGGACTCTTTTATCATATGAAGAACAGTCACCCTAATTTAGAAGGCATTGATAAACCTTATCGTTGTGCCATGGTGAACTGTCAAAAAAAGTATAAGAATATCAATGGACTTCAGTACCATATTAAAGATGCCAAAGGTACAACAGGGCATGGTGGTAATGGACTCACAGGGGAAGACGATCGCCCTTATCGGTGTATGATTGGTACTTGTAAAAAGGCTTACAGAACAGCAAGTGGGTTTCGATATCATCAACGCAATGGACATAATATACAACCCACTCTGAATGAACATGTAAATATGAACCCTACTATTTCGCCTCTGCAACAGACACAGCCCTTATCAACACAACCACAAGCACAATTTCGAATTAAACGAGAGAAATGGGTGCTAGAAAGTGTATGAATGTGTATTTTATTTATTTATTAAATTGAATTTAAAACTATGTCAAGTAATCTTAATGCCATGTCAAATAACTCTAATACGTATGGTATGTTGGTCTTGTTTAAAATCAACTATATATATATATATATACTTGAAAAAAATGCCCCCTTTTTTTTTCTCTATAGGATAACCATGGTTTCTTATTCTTTTGTTGCTTTGCTATTAGTTGGTGTTCATCAAGTTACTTGTGTAGCTATTCATAATGCATGGCAAGTACCTTCTGGTTTGACCAACATCACAGAAATGATATCTTCTGTCAAAGTCCCTGCAGGATCAGATCCTACAAATACTTATTGGATGGCCAATGGTTTCTCAAATGGTTATATGGGTATGCAGCATAACTCAGGTGATGAACGTCGTATCTTGTTCTCTATTTGGGATAATGGAAAAGGGAGCAAAGTGAACCTGGTTGAAGCAGGAAAGGATGCTATTGCTGAAGGATTTGGCGGTGAAGGTACTGGTGCTCATGCCTTTATTCGCTATGGGTGGGTACCAGAACAACCTGTGTTCTTTAAGGTGACTGCAGACGTGGATCATGCTAAACAAGGTGCTATTTATTCAGGCTATTACAGTGTTGGTAATCCCGACAATTGGACTTTGGTAGCCAGTTTCTTTGCTGAAGAACAACCCAAGTATTTGACAGGTCTCTATGGATTCTTGGAAAACTTTGGAAGTGATAGAACACAGTTGCGTGAAGGATTCTATGGCAATTTTACAGTTAAGAATGAAGCTGGAACAACAGCCATCATCACTGAATTTGACTTCACACACACAGAACCTTATCCAGATGATGTTTGGATGCAAGTACAAGACAAGGAAGTGTATCAGCGAATTGATGGCCCCAAGACAGTGGGTATTTACTCTCCTACTAACCCTTGAAAATAACGATGCCATGCTTGCGTCATATCAATAAAGACATTCTTTAAATGACGTCGATGTTGTATCATGTATGCAGACATGGTATAAAAGATAAGCACTTTCTTCTTTGTTGTATTAGCAAACAAAAATGAGCACTACAGAAATGATGTCAAAAGCAGCCTCTGTCTTACAGAGTTTTAAACCCCTCAGCAATGTCTGCGAAAGCTTTTGTGGTATTCACCCTTACTGTGATGATTTAAAGCGTCAGATTGTTTCCTATCATTATTGTGCCATGATTGACGATGAACGTCGCCAGTGCTTGATTTATGATGATGATGGACCCAATGCCAAATTGATTGCTGTAGAATACATTATTTCTGAGAACTTGTTTAAGTCACTGCCTGAAGAAGAAAAGAAGTATTGGCATTCTCATAAATATGAAGTTGAAAGTGGCATGTAAAGTAGTATGTCTTTTATCATATGAACTCATATGATCCTATAGGTTGGTCATGACAGCCAAACCCATGGTGCCAGACGTCTTGGTGAGTGCAGCAGAAAAGGAACAACTTCAAATCGTTGCTAATTGTTATGGTAAGCTATTTAAAATGAATTCTTTGATCTAATGGATTTAGGTAAAACATGGCAACTTTGGCCTGTGGATAAGGACAACAAATGTTCTTCCAAGATACCTTATGGTCCTCCTCAGTTATTGATGGCATTCACAAAAGACAATCAAGTCGATCCTAAACTTATCAAGGAAAGAGATGAGCATTTAGGCATCAGTACAGAACAAAAGCGTAAAGAGCGTGAAGGTGTGATTGTTGGTAATCCACCTTTACCTGGTGCAGATCATTGGGAACACACAAAGCCATTTCAAATTAAGGAATAAAAGATGTGTTATTCATGCAAGCTATGTTAATTTAAAAATAGATATCGCCTTACGTAGGCAGTAAGCATTTATTAAGATTAAACAGATATATATATAAAAACAAATTGACTTAATGGTTTGGTTGTTGAACATTAATCCAACCACAAGTTTGACATTCGTATAGTTTCTTTGTACTTCCGCAGGGTATTAAAGGCACAAAACAGAATGTAAAGCATTCATTGCTCTTTATCAAATAAACATCGTTTGCTTGACAATTTGGACAGTGCCAAACAGAGTGACTTGACTTGCGTTTGAAACGATCAATACCAACTAATGAAAAGTAAATATCTTTTTCTTTTATTCTTGTATTGACTTACAAGTAAAACAAAAAAACATAGTGAAATAAATTTAAAAAAGAAAAAAAAAAAAAAGAGAGAAACAAATAAAACTGATATGCAAGCTAAAAATACGTCATGATTGTCGTGCCTGATTAAAGCTTGGCAAGCTACACTTGGAATAACGTTACACATTAGAGTGGAAATAAAATGACTTTTTTTCTTTTCTTTATGTAAAATGATTAGTATAAGGACAATGATAGGATGAAAGAAAAAAAGTATATGTTTAGTTAGTAGGGATACCAGCATATTCATCAAAGCCTAAAGCCAAGTTCAAGTTCTATTGTTCAAAAAAAAAAAAAAGAGTTGAGTATGGATAAGTTGAAATAGACATCATGTTACCTGAACAGCTTGAGTGGCAGCACCCTTTAATAAGTTATCCAAAGTAGTAGTAATGACAGCACGACGGCCTTCAGGATGGACATTAAATCCACCAATACGGACGCAGTGCTTACCAGCATTATCACGAACAAGAGGTTCACCTGATTCTAAGACTTGAACAAGTCGTTCACCTTGATAAAATTCCTTAAAGACAGACTTGATATCTTCACTCGACATGGACTTGGCCAAAGGAACATTCACAGTCAATGCAATACCCTGGAACCAAGAAGCAACATGAGGAATAAAGTTAACAGAGGTTCCAAGTTGGTATGAGACTTCACGTTCATGAATATGGTTTGTCAAAGAATAAGGAACAATATTGTCCTTCAAGAAAGCGGGATCGTTTTTAGGAGAAGGCTTAGTACCAGCACCAGAGTAGCCAGAGACACCGAAAACGGTAGGCGCAGATTGCTTATCTAAGAAAGGAACAAGGGGACGAAGAGACATTTGTGCACCCGTAGCATAACAACCAGGATTGGCTACACGGGTAGCACCCTTGAGATTGTCACGGTTGAATTCAGGAAGACCGTAAGTCCAGGTAGTATCGAAACGATAATCAGCACTCAAGTCAACCAACACCTTTTCTGAAGATTGACCAGACTTGACATCTTCATTCACTTGCTATACATTACATGTTTGAATTCGATATACACACCCTTGTCTTTGCTTACCTTCACAAATGGAGTACAAACGCCATTGGGCAAAGCTAAAACCCATGCATCCACTTCTTCTTGAGCTTTAAGATCTTGAGGCTTTAAGTTGACATAGGTTAAATTGGATTTGGTATAACCTTCAAGAGGCTTTCCTTCTAATTCGCGAGAACTGACATGAGTCAAGTTCAAGTTGGGGTGAGCATTGATCAAGTTGATCAATTCACGACCTGTGTAACCACGAGCACCAATCAAACCAACATTTTTGGGACCTGTAGCACTGGCGAAACCGCGACGAGACATGTAATGAAAGTTGTTGCGACGGTAGGTAGAGAAAGAGCGAGTGCCAGAAGGAACAGAAGCTTTCTTGCTGCTGATGTCATTGAGAGTTTGCTTGATCTTTTCAGTGTCATCAATACCATAGAAGAAAGTAGTAGATCCATCTTGAGCGTTCTTGAGAGAACCATCAGCACGTTCAAAGTACCAAGAGCGATCGAGACTACCTTCCTTGTTAGAAGCATCAACGCTCCAAGTCAAACTATCGTAGTCCTTACGGATAGAAGTCCACAGGTTTTCAGGAACGTCGTTCAAGACAGCAGTCTTGGTGGCCAAGAGCTTTTCGAGGACAGCAGGCTTAGAAGGATCTTGAGGGTCCTTGGTGACAATAGCCAAGATTTGTCCAGGTTCATCAGTGTAAATGCTGACATTCTTGTTTTGAAGAGAACGAAGGTAACTAGCAACGGAGTTCTTGCCGGATTGAATAGCGGAATCTTCAGCTTCCATAATACGACGAATCTTGTCAGTATCAACTTGTTCGAGTTGATCATACTTGAAGAGCTTGTGACCACGGCGGATTAAAGTTCCAGCACCAGAATCAGTGAACAATTCCTTGTGAAGATGGCCAGCAGAAATAATGGCAACGGATGAGGATCTTGGGAGACCATCCAAAAGTTCTTTACATTGCTTGATCTTGAGCTTAGTACCATATTTGACCCAAGATTCCTTGAGAAGATCTTCATATTCCTATAGATAAACTAAGTATATCCCTCTTCCTTTATCGACCTTACCTCATCCAAATTGATAGTTTGAATCTTCTTACCAGTAACACCATGGTAAAGACCATTCTTTTCATTCAAAAAGATAATCTTCAAGGGTTCCAAAACAGTAGCTAATTCAGCAGCAGCAACATCAGCATTGACATTCAAGATTTGACCCGTAGGAGTTTCAGCAAGCGAGGTCAAGATAGGAAGAGCACCAGCACGAATAGAGGATTCGATCACTTCCTTATTGACGCCAGTGATCTTACCAACATAGCCATATTTATCCTTATCAAGATAATCAGCAATAAAAACGCCTCCAGGAAGAGGTCTAGCTCTAGTACCGTGGCGCTCAAGAGCATCCACAAGCTTCAAATTCTCGGCCATAAACACTTTACGAGCAATTTCCAATGTTTGAGGATCAGTAATACGAATACCCTCTTCATATTGAGGCTCGATTTGTGCGTCTTCCAATAAACGGTTCAATTGAGGACCAGCGCCGTGAAGCACAATAGGGTAGAGACCAACTCTGTTCAAAAAGGTCAAGGCAGAAGCAAGTGTTTCAAGTTCATCTGTCAAGACAGCACCACCCACCTTGATGACAGCAAATTTTTGAGACTCGACAGACGAGAAATGGCGAAGATATTGTTCGACTTCTTTGCGAGAACCAATATTGTACAAGAGTTTGGTAATGGTTTCCTGTTACAAAAAAAAAAAAAAAAGTTTAATGCTTCTATTCTATTTGACACTGGCTTTAAAAAGAATAGATTATCTTATTCTTATCTGTTTTTTTAACTAACCTTTTCAGCAGAAGCATTTGTGTTGGTGTATTGACGTCTTTGCTTTAATTGTTGTTGTGTGGGAGCAAGAACAACAGGTCTACTGATAGCTGATCTCAAAGCAACACGGGAAACTGTTCCTGACAAGGCTGATTTTCGAGCAATGGAAAGCATTTTCTTTTTACAATAAACTTTCTAGACAAGAAAAAAAAAAGATAAAGAGTCTAGTTCGGGAATGTACACAAAGAAGTGGAAAAGAAGAGGAAAAGAAAACTCAATCTGGTCAAGTTAAATGCAAACAGATGAAATCAAACTCATCCGCCTGTCATAACACTGTGACTTGTCTATGTCGGACTTATGAAATACACACTGAATATGACTCACAATAGCTAACTCTTTTGACAACCTTGATGCCTTATGAAAGGAGAAAAAAATTTTTTTTTCTTATCGCCTCGTCAAGAGCATGTATTAACGTATTTGACACATCATTATGTAAACAGTTTAAATCTATGTGAATTTGCTTCTAATTGTATTTGAGAACTATTTGAGAATGTCAATTTTTACCTGGATCAGAAAGGATAATACCCCCTTTTTTAATGCATTGAATTATATTTTGTTTATTGCGATTGGTTTGTTAATCACTCATTGCTCTAAAGATAACCAAGCTGGCTGACAAAAAAAACACACTGTGAAATTTACAAAACCATCGAATTAAAGCTTGAGAGCAAACAAACAAAATAAGCAAGGAAAATTAATAGCTCGCACAATGCGTACTTGATGCTGATTCTCGTTGAGTCATGAATCGAATATAAGCCATCTTCTTCCACACCTTTTCTCAGCACGATTCAGGAATGACTACAAATAGGTGTTTGTCTCCAAACTAGATGAAGGTTAGACAACCTCTTTGTGTCTTTTTATTTATATATATTCTCTCTAGCAATAAAGCCATCCTATTTGAATGCTGTTGATTAGTTTCTTCTTTGCTTTGCACTTCACTTTATTTATGCATTTGAAAAAACAATCATTACATACATAAAGAAGTGTATAGAGTACTTTCTTTAATATGACAAAACAGCCCCGTTCAAGAAAAAAAACTATACAAAGGGGTTGTTTCTGAAGAGTATTCAAATTAACTTCTTCCGGGCCTATTGATATTATACTAGTTAGATGTGAATGTAAGCTCGGATCTGATCCTTTTGCCTAGAAAGGAGAGAGTAGGGATGATGGAGACTGTTCGCAGTCGTTGACATAGACAAAGGGCCAACGTGTCCCTTTCCAGATAACTAGGGATGATGATAACAATTGACTTTGTTATGCATGAAATAAAATGTTGGACTGCTTTCTTATGTAACATCAACTTGTACATGACTTTCCAATTGATTATATTCTCGCCTCAGGCACTAAGAGTCACATCAATAACTATATCATCTTTTGCTGACTTGATCAACGAAACAGTAGAAAATAACACACAAAGACTGCTTTGGTTAAACAGTGGAAAAGACTTGACCATATTGACATTTGATATGTTTTTTATATATTTTGTTTTGCAGAGTCAACCTGTCACAAATGTATTTTTATATGTTGTACTCAAAAAAATAAGCTTATATTTGGTAAAAAAACTTGATTGGTTGCCTATTCTCCTGATCAGGGCAAAATAATTAAGATACATGTAGAACATTTAATACAAAACACCTTTCAGTTTTTTCTTTTGCAATAAAAAACTGTTCGTAGATGAAGCAATATCAAGAACAAGTAGATATCATGTGGTTATTTACTGAATCTCAAGTCAGTTTCTTTAAGATTAATAAATGTGAGAGAAAAGGCTCATTAAAAGAGCCTAGTCTTGATAGACAGTGCTTTGAACACAAGCACCAAAACAGTGCCTAAAAGTCAACAGACCTCTTGACTTTGTGATACCTCGCTTTGATAAAAACAATAGTGTCATTCATTCGCAACCTTCAAAGAAAAAAAACTGCTGTCTTATTGGTACCAATGAAATTAAAATTTGGGTAACACACAAAGACCTTTTATGGTATTCAACAAACAAAAGAAAAAAACATCAGGCCATCGAATTGCTTTATGGTTCGATGAGTCTTCCCATTGTTTTGTAAAGCAAACAGACATTTTATCAGGCACCGTATGAATTTTGTGGTGTGATTTTTTTCAACTGTGTATGTATAAAAAGAATTAATGTTCTGATTGTTTCTATTTTATCATTATCATTAAACAATCACAATACAAATGACTGCTCTCTCTAGTTTCCTCAAAGCCTCCAAGAAGCCTGAAGTTTATCCCATTATTGGTATTCTAAGCATTGCTCTCTCTGGTGCTGCTTTCTTTGGTATCCATGCTATCAGAGCTCCTGATGTTGTCTGGAACCACCAAAAGAATCCTCATCCATGGCAAGAAATCAAAGATGGTGAACAAGTCAAGCTGATCACTTTAAATCAAAAATACAACAACCGTTGGGAACGCTCAAAGTGGTAAACTTCTCATGGCCATAATCTCGTATAAAAAACAACAATATTTCATATTCCAAACACCCACTTTACTTGTATAATTATAATCTATCTTATGTATTTTTACTAGAAATAAAGCAGTTTCTGCCTATTTTGTACCAATTTCTTTAATACTTGTGACACCTGAAATTCTAATTGTTTCCCGCAACTTATTTCTGCGGTCTGAAAGTAATTCATCAAGTTTATTATAGCATAACACAACAATGGAAAAAACTATATAAAGACACAAGTGTCTGCATTGGGATATTCTTGTAATGAAAACGGGGTCACAAACATTTTATCTCACCATACTTTTTTTTTCTTTCTTTCTTTTTCTCTTATATATACTTTGAGAACAAGCACCATGCTGCGCATTGCAGGGCTCTTTAACACAACAGTAAAGACTTTACCTTCTGTTCACCCAAGTAACTATTGCTTAAAACACGCACTTTTTTAATTATTATTATTTGCTGATAACAAACGACTAGTTCGCCATAAACACATTTTCATCAATACAAGCAGTTATTTATGGCGCGCTTTTAGTACAACAGCGAATGGAAATGATGAAAAAGTAATTCGCTCGAGAAGAGCATTATTTTATGGTACAGTATACTTATTCTCTTTATGATATATACTAAATCATGCATTCTTGAAAAAAAAAAAAGTTCCCGGGAGTGATGAGAGAAAAATTCATAAATCAATCAGTGTTGGAGCAGACTGTATTGTATATGACCTTGAGGATAGTGTAACAGCAAGCAAGAAGGGTACAGCAAGACATATGGTGATTGATGCTTTGGAAGTAAGTACAATGGCAATACAAACTTGAGCTTATATGCATCGTAGGCTTCAGAGCACGGTAAAGCTGAGAAGGCTGTCAGAATTAATGCTGTTGGCTCAGGCAAGTAACGTAATAAGGGAAAAACAAAGAATTACTCACACTCTTTATAGGACACGAGTTGGATGATCTTAATGTGATTGTAAGCACCATTTCAACAGAATGATGTCATTTAAAATTTTATACAGCTCCATTCAAACAGGCTGCAAGCAATTGTAATTCCCAAAGTACAGAGTGCAAAAGATATTCAATTTGTTAGTAGAATGATTGACTCTGTTGCTGTTGAAACACAGTAAGTAAGAGCAAAACAGAAATGACATGAACTTATGCGGATTAGACGAGAGCGTATTCGATTGATTGCATCTATTGAAAGCGCTCTTGGTTTGATGAACATTAAGGAAATTGTTACAGCTGATCCTCGCTTAGATGCTTTGATAGTAAATACACACAATAAGAAGAGAACTACATGGACTAATTACAAGCCTAGTTCGCTGCTGAGGATTATTGTGCTGATTTAGGACTTATTCGTACTAAAACAAGAGAAGAGATGTTGTTTGCTCGTCAATGGATTGTAAACGCTGCTGCTGCTTATGGATTGCAAGCTATTGATTTGGCAAGTAAATTAGACAAGTAAATGCTTACTAATACAAAAATCTAGGTTTGTGTGGACTATCAGGATCAAGGTATTCTTGCTGAAGAATGCAGAGAAGGCAGAGAATTTGGATTTGCAGGAAAGCAGGCAATTCACCCAGATCAAATCGAGACTATTCAGAGAATGTTCTTGCCTGATCCCTCAGGTAACACGTAATAACATAATGCTCGGTATTCACGATTCAATAGAACTTGACAGGGCAGTTCGTATTTTACAAGGACATGAAGCCAACACACAAAAAGGAATTGGTGCATTTAATCTAGATGGAAAAATGCAAGTAAACCATAAACGTATTTTTTCTAAAGTGTTTTATAGGATTGATATGCCTGTTGTTAAATGGGCAGAAAAAGTCATTGCTAGGGCCAATGCTGGTGGGATGCCAATACCTGAACACAATACAAGCACAAACACCTCCACACCTTCAACAAAAACTGAGAAAAAGAAATAAATCCCGACATATTTTCTCACGATGTGTACATATAAATTGTCTCTGTCTTTCTCTTTGTTTTTCTCACACTATGTTCACTCGACGTGTTCTTCAATACGCTGCTCGTCGTTCTATTTCTACTTCTCCTACTAAAGAAGCATTTCTTGAACATGTAGAAGGCGGTATTTCTGTTCTGAATTTAAATCGTCCATCATCCCGAAATGCATTGTCTGTGAATTTGGTTAATGAATTTAGAGAAGCCTTGACGAGTGTTCGATTTTCAAAGTAGGTGTCCTGTGATACAAAGTATAGGCTAAAATAACTGGATATAGTGAGTCTCGTGTATTGATTATCAAAAGTGCTGTTCCTGGCGCTTTTTGTTCTGGTGCAGATTTGAAGGTAAAGAATACTCTGAGTTTTCGGGATGCTGATTTAATTTTGTACTCAGGAACGCGCTACCATGACTCCTTTACAAGTGACTCAATTTTTATATAACTTGAGGCAGGCTTATAGAGAACTAGAGGTAAGCATATTGCACTATTCTACCTGTGTGTAACTTTTATAAAAAGACACTCCCAATTCCAACAATTGCAGCTATTGATGGTCCTGCTTTTGGTGGTGGATTAGAAATGACATTGTCTTGCGATCTCCGTATAGCAGGTAAGTAAATTATAGTAAATCAATTGTATATTCATGCTTAATAGGTCCTAATGCTAAGATGGGGTTGACCGAAACAAAGTTGGCCATCATTCCAGGGTAAGATATACCTGCAGAAAATAAGATGATTGACATGAATTTTATGGCTAGTGCAGGAGGAACTCAAAGACTGCCTCGACTTATTGGCATTCCTAAAGCCAAGGAATTGATCTTTACAGGTGAAATCATGGATGCTAACAAAGCAAAAGAATATGGCGTGGTCAATCATTCTGCAGAAGATAGCGCATTTGAAAAATCAATGGAGATTGCCAAATCTATTTTGCCTCAAGGCCCTATTGCTATTAAGATGGCCAAATTAGCTATTGATCGTGGTGCGCACTTGGACATGTAAGTATATATATAAAAAAAGGAAGAATCAATCACTAACAAATCAATAATAGGGATTCTGGATTAGAAGTAGAGCAGTCTTATTATGCTCAGGTGATCCCAACCGAAGACAGGTTAGAAGGTCTCAAAGCCTTCAAAGAAAAAAGAAACCCCGTATATAAGGGGCGTTAACGAATAGGGAAAATGTTGTTCCCGGAAAAAAGAAATATGCATATCATGTCCTATTTTAAAACAAGATATGGTTTTGCAATACTCATGAATTCAATACTTTATATGAATTAAAAAGTCAAAGCAAATAAAAGGCATTTAATATTATGCTGACGAAAGAATTGTTTATGCGCTTATTTGATATTGATTCTTAGACCCTATGATGACAAATTGGTTATTATTAAGTCCGCTTATTTAAGCATGACAAATACTAAGAGACAAAAAAAAAAAGGATCTATAAATGTTAACTGATCAAACATAAACATATAAAAGAAACAACATCCTTTTTTTTTGTCGTTATTCTTCATTTAACTCATTATGACTCAATTCATCTTTAATCCTATCAAGATCGGTAAACTTCAACTTAAACACCGTGTTGTGCTTGCTCCCTTGACTCGTTTTAGAGCTACTCTTGAAGCTGTTCCCACTGATCTTCAAGTCGAATATTACAAACAAAGAGCATCTGAGGGAGGTCTTTTGATCACAGAAGCTACGTTCATTACACGCCTTGCTGGTAGTTACAAGCATGCTCCTGGTATCTACACCAAAGAACAAATCGAAGGTTGGAGAAAGGTAACAAATGCTGTTCATAAAAAAAAGGGCTATATTTATTTGCAACTCTGGCATATCGGTCGTGCTGGTTCCAAGCATCTGAATCCTAATGGCGAGCAAATTGTATCTGCTTCTGATATTCCTATCTCAGGTCTGAATGAAGAAGGCAATGCCTATGAGGTCCCGCGTCCTCTTAGTGTTGAAGAGATCAAGTCTATTGTTCAAGATTATCGTCAAGCTGCTCTTAATGCCATGGAGGCTGGTTTTGATGGCGTTGAAGTTCATAGTGCTAATGGTTATCTTCTTGATCAGTTCATCAATTCAAACTCTAATAAGCGTACAGACGAGTATGGTGGTTCTGTTGGAAATAGAGCTCGATTCCCTCTTGAAGTTCTTGATGCTGTTGTTGACGCTGTCGGTGCTGAAAGAGCTGCTATCCGTTTCTCTCCTGGCAACGCCTACCAAGACATGTTTGATGAAGATCCTGTCACCACATGGGGCTATATCGCAAATCAAGTTCAAAAGAAACACCCCAATCTGTCTTATATGCACTTTATTGAAGCAAGATCTAAGGTTCACGGAACAAACATGGTCAATACAGTGGATAGTCTTCAGTCTTATCGTGATATTTGGAAAGGTCCTTTTATTTCTGCAAGTGGTTTTTCTACTGCCACAAGTCATGCTATTGAACTTGCTGAAAAGACGGGTAATTTGGTTGCATTTGGTCGTGCTTTTATCGCAAACCCTGATCTTCCAGAACGTCTTCGTCATGGATGGGAGCTAAACAAGTATAATAGGGCCACTTTCTATAGACACGATGCTATTGGATATACAGACTATCCTTTCTATCATGACATTAAATAAACTTCTTAGACGACATTTACACCAATTGATTAAAAAATCATACTTTCTTTTTTTAAACTAGTTATATATATATATTGGTTTAGAACTTGTTATGTGATTCTTTTTAAACCTAAGCAACTCATTTGCTGTCAATTGGATTTGTTTTTAGCATAAGCAATGCATCAATATGAGCCATTGCACCTATCAGCTATCTAGTGAGTCTTTTACATTGTATTTTTTTTTTTTTTTTTTTTTTTTTTTGTAAGGGAGACTTGCTCCAATTTTATTTAAAGTCCTTTAGACGTCAAAAGAGTGGAAGAAAAGACTGTGGTATTATAAGAACTAGACTAAGGAAAGGGAAATGAGCCTGTGGTAGAAGAAATTGAGAAAAGAATAAGAGTTTAGGAGAGCTTGATAGATACTTGAAATGGAGAGAACATCATGAGTAGTGAGAGAGGAACTGGAAAGGAAAGCGGAGGAGAGAATTTACGGTTCATAATCAAGACGGGATTGATCATGCAGCTTATTTGCTAAGCGGGAAACCGTCTTGGTTATAGTTTTGGAGAGGAATGGGTTTTCAGAAAAAACAGATTGCCAGTGAGCTTGCCAGAGGGCTAGAGCAGTGCATGCAAAGATTTGGAAGGTACTTAAGACTTGTCAAAACAGCTTCGAATCCAAAGGGTATCATTCATGAAAATATTAAACCTGACAACTCTTTGAGCTTCTTTTTGGCAACGCAAGACTAAAAATAGAGCTATTGACAAGCTAAAATACTCAAAATGAGCGAAAGACGCTCTAGTTTATGATCAACGTGTTTGTTTGCTAATTGTACTATAGAGATAATGCGATATGACCTAAAAACCTCACAAGCATTTTTGCGTATTTGCTTCATTTTTAACTATTAAATATGCTATGTTATCTACATCAATAGACTTATAAAGCAAAACACTACAACTTTTATCACTACTCAAAAGCTATAAAGCTGAGTTTTTAGGTTGTTCTAAGCAAAAGCTCGATTTGGATGCGGCGGAAGACAGAAGTGATTTGCTTTCACTTTTAATATCCGCTATTTGCCATCAAGTATGTCCTAGGTTCATTTACTCCACATTCACATTACAGATAGACCGTATCCTAGTTTCCTTGTGTCCTATATCACTCCAAATATTACATGATGTTCTAAAAAATCTCATAGATAGCAAGTTCTATAGGGTGTCTGGAACAAAAATGGTCAAAACACAGCTTAAATGCACCAACCTTAATGTGCCATTACTTGACAACCAGATTACCAAAACGGCTTCTTTTAATTTAAAACATGTTCTTTATATCCAAGGAGTCGAATGATACCATTGATTTGACTTCTAAATGAAATTCATTTTTTGACCCATGGGGGATCTACGGAGGTTCGTGAAGATGAAAAAAAAAGTTCGAGAATTTTTAGAATGACCAATGTAGACCTGATCCAACCGAAATGAGGTGGGTCCATGTCTAGGTACTTCTATCAAAAAGAAAGCGAGTCTAATAAGACGAAATCATTGAGTCAATTGAGCATCGCGTTTAAATTTGCTGAAAACGGCATAAAGACGCAGTTTTATGGCTTTGATGTAGTGACAAAAATTGTAGGTCGTTGCTTTATGAGTCTACTAGTCTAAATGAAGCATTAGATTTACTGGTAAAATGCTGAGGGACTAAGCAAAAAAGAAAATGAGGCTTTTTGCTTCTATCATATCATTTTCAGAGTACAATTAGCAAACAAACACATTTGTCAAAAACTGGAGTATTTGGCACTCATTTTAAGTATTTGAGTTCGTCAATAGCTCTATTTCTTGTTCTTTAGTGTTGAAAAGAAGCTCAAAGAGTTGCTAACTTGACAATTTTAATGAATAGTACTCTCAGGTTTTGGCCATTTTTTACAAATCGCTTTTTTTTCCATGTCAACTCCAAAAGTGCCATATATGATATTGAGCATTGTTTGTAGATATTCAGAGTGACTCTTGGGGGCATAAACCGGCTAAAAACTCGTTTTGGATGGTTCTGGAGTCCCTCACATTTGCTTGTTCTTTGATGAGTTTAATTTTATAAGTCAATTTCAATCACAAAGTCTCAGGGTCAAGAAGCACGCGAGACATATTATGCATTATTAAGGAGGCATTACCAGACCAATTATATCGAGAAATACAATGTATTTTGTTTTTGATTCGTCTAGTGAATGCCTTCGGTTTCGCTCTCGGCAAGAAGTTCCTCGTTTTGAATCGGCCACCTACCGCGCTTTACTACACTTTCGTCAAAAAAAGCTCTTCCTCAATCCCTTTGTTCTGTCACTCTTTTCTCCTGCTCCTCGTATTTCTTCCTTTTCTATTCTTCCTTCAATCTCTCACATTAGTCCCACTGATTTACAGACATTCATTTCAACCCTTACATACTCTCAATTCCCCATTACATCTTCCACTCATTCTTATCGTAAATTAGACCATAGCTCCTTCCCTCCTATACCGCCTGATCCCCGCCTATCGCCTAACTGGAAACGCTTTTGGTCTCTCAAGATCCCTCTCCCTGCTCGCAATGTCCTCTACAGGATGCTTCACAACAAAGTCAACAACCGTTTTCACCTACATCGTCTTATGCTCCATACAGTTCCTAATAACTTTTGTATCCACTGTCCTTCAAATCTCATTGCTTCCATTGATACCCTTGATCACTTTTATTTCCTCTGCCCTACCAAGTATGGTGTTTGGTCTCATGTCTTCTCCAAGTACATTAATTCCAACATCCGTGCACCTTCGGTCAATCTCCTACGTCAAGTCCTCCTCCTTCGGGTTGTTATCCCTCGTGTTTCTCTCCTCCATTTTCCTTCCTTAAGTACCTTCCAAATCTTTGCATGCACTGCTCTAGCCCTCTGGCAAGCTCACTGGCAATCTGTTTTTTCTGAAAACCCATTCCTCTCCAAAACTATAACCAAGACGGTTTCCCGCTTAGCAAATAAGCTGCATGATCAATCCCGTCTTGATTATGAACCGTAAATTCTCTCCTCCGCTTTCCTTTCCAGTTCCTCTCTCACTACTCATGATGTTCTCTCCATTTCAAGTATCTATCAAGCTCTCCTAAACTCTTATTCTTTTCTCAATTTCTTCTACCACAGGCTCATTTCCCTTTCCTTAGTCTAGTTCTTATAATACCACAGTCTTTTCTTCCACTCTTTTGACGTCTAAAGGACTTTAAATAAAATTGGAGCAAGTCTCCCTTACAAGAAAAATGTTTTGACAAGTCGCTTTTTTTTTGTCTAAATCAACTCAAAAGACACTGTGAATGTTTGTGAACATTGTTTGGAAAAACTATGCTATAAAAGTTATTCCTTGCTCCTTTTTCATTCTCTCTATTCATTAAATAAAGACAAAACATATACTAAAGTGCTGAAATAATGAATAATGAATCCATTAGGATAATTACATGCATGTCATTTTGTTATTCATTGTCTTTCATAGCTTAAACATCTTGGTAATCTTCATCTGCTAAAATCTCAATACGTCCATCTTCTTCGTCGTCATCACTTGAAACATCTCTGTGCTGTGTCTTTTGTTCTATCACATCTTCATCCTCTAAAAAGTCACTTAGATCTTGATGATCTTCTAATTTAAGTTGTTCCAGTGTAGTTGTAGGCACAGTGGTTGATGTTTGATAGTCTATGAAATCCCTATAAGAAGCTGCTTATGTTCATCATGACCTTACTTGAATACAAAGAAGACACTTTGGTCTCTCTTCTTTGCCTATAGTCTTCTAATTCAGCATTGAAATTAGCTTCATACAATTCGAGCCTCTTTTTTTGCTGAATATGATCGTATTCTTCATACTGTTGTCTAAGTGTATTTTCTTTCTCACGCAATGCTTGTCTTTTAAGAGCGATTTCGGCTTCAAGTTGTTGTTCTTGTTCTTGTTTCCACAATTCAAATTGTTGCATTTCATGTTCTATTGACATGGCATCTATCTTTTCTTCCAGTTGTGATAGTGTATGCATCAGAGTGACTACATACAGAAATTGAGCAACTAGCTTTCTTGCATCTGGTTGAATTACCTGCAGAACTCTGTAATGCATCCAAATGATGGTGCATCTCTTGAATATCGCTGGATACATGGCTTATCTGATCACAGGCATGATGATGTAATTCACTTATGCCTAATAACTGCCTTGATAAACGATCTGCTTTCTATTATGTATCAGTCGATATCCATACAAAAGTACATTACTTGAGCCTTTTTAAAGTTTTCTTGGTTAGTGTTGTGTATAGTGTCCCAGCCTTGTTGAATGTGATGGATTAATTGACCTGTTGCTTCAAGTTCCAAAAGAGAAGGTGTCTTTGGTTTCGGTGAAATGTGACCAGATACTGGATCACTTTGTACAAAGCAGTAAGCAACCTCATGTGTGTATGTATATACTTCTTACTTTGCATCTGGACGATTCAATAGGATTTGATTCAAGTTTTGAAATTCGTTTCGAATAGCTTCTAATCTGGATCAAGTCAGATACCATCGGTTATTCTATCCTACCTCTCTGTGCCTATTCTGTTCCATTCTGTATCATTTAGTCTAAACTAAATATCAGTTTATCGAACTCGAGTCAAGTTGTTTACCCAACAGATTCTGTTATGGAACGTATATTCAATGACGCATTAGGAAAAATATTCTTCAATTGTTGAAACATAAAGAGAAATTAAAAAAAAAAAACGCGTCAGATTTATTATTAACATGTCATGCTATGCAAAGAATATACACAATGGAGAGGGGGGGGTATTTGAACATATACATATAGAGTTAAAGTGTTAGCTACTCTTTGTTCTTGGTAGGAAAGCGAGGAGGAGAAAGACTTCGCATAAGGCGTATTTTGCGTGGTTTGTTATTTTTGATGACAATCACTTTCTTTTTAGCTGGATAGTCTTCAACATCTGATAAATCATGAGCAAGATAAATTTCAGCTAAGGGTTGTCTTTCTTCAATTTCATTGTTTTCATTAAGAGGATAAATACGTTTTGATGATAATTGACGAGCCATGTGCATAGGTGTGGGTTGATTTTCTTCGTCAGGTTGATTTGTTACTTGTTGTATGTTGCTAGGTACACAAGAAGGATCTTGGTTGTCATGGTAAATGCATGACAACCAATCATCTGTCGCATCATAGACATCATCTTCCATAGTATCTTCTTGCTGGTCAAAGATAGATTGGGTTGTCATCATACAATCAGATGCGTTTATGCTGTATAAATCAGACGAGAATAAATCATCGTTATCAGATTCATCATCATCATTGTCTTCAGCACAAGAAATAGGGCTTGATTGCTAATAAGGAGAACAATGAATATTATTTTCTTTGTGATTTTTTCTTACCTTTGTTTTATACATACTAATCTTTTCAGGGCCAATCATCATAGTAAGATTAGGATGACCTGAATTCAACTCTTCTTCATACATTTTACGCATCAATCTCTCTTGAAAAGAAGTAGTGCTTAATTCAAATCGTTGTGAAGGACGAATACGAGAAAGACCATTGGATTGAGAATTAATCGTCATCCTGGATAGAAACGAAGAAGGTGTATAAGGTATTTTATCTTCAGTGTGATTTGACATGATTCAAGAAGAAATAAGAAAGAAAAAAAAAGACCAAAAAAAAATATTCATGGGAAAGTCATGACATCAAATCGAATTCAAAGACCGCTTATGCCATTGTTTTTCTGTGCTGTGACAATGAAGAGAGAATTCTATTGCTGACACAAACAACTGAGAATTAAAATCCTGAATACAGTGAAGCAGATTTACTTCCTTACGTGAAAAGTGAATACCACCTAAATACGACCTAGCTTAATCACGAGAAATACCACTTCTTTATTTGACTAACAGAAAAGAAATATTTTATTTGGTTGCTGTAACACTTCTCGTCTTCATTCTGATGATACTCATGAGGTGTTTTCCTTTTACTAAGTCTTGTTGGTATGAAGAAAGGTGTTATTATAGGTCTTGGTGATCATGCTGGGCTATCGACAATTTTACAATGGGAAGTAGAGCAATGCGCTTAAGTTTATTAAGTGGAGATCACATGATATCACGAGTAGTGAGATAGAGGGAAAGAGGACAGTGCAAAATGCCCTTCTTAACGAAGGATTCAGACGTAGCTGAAGTATACAAGCAGCAACGTAGGAGTCTTTCAAGGAAACCACTGATTCTTGAGAGTAGAAGACCTCGGCTTCGTCCATAATGAAAATTAATTGGCTCATAGATCGCTACTATCTGCCTCAGACTACAAGAGTATCACAAATATTGAATGGGGGTTACCACTGGACTACTGCAAAGTTTTCTACACATTCACAATCATGTAATATGTAACTGCTTCAACTGTACATAGTAATATATCAATAATATATGTCACTTGCTATAGGATTTTGGATAAAACGATATTTGGCAGAAAGTTTTTAACCTTTTAGTCCTACAAAAAAAAACTATATAAATATCGTGTAGAAATGAATTGAAATTAAAAAAATAAATAAGGAATTATGGCAGAAACAAAGGTCCAAGCTCTTTGCTAATCTTACCATGTAAATAGTCTAAGCTGGTCAATTGGTTATGCAACGATAAATTTAGTATTTGATAATGCATTATTCCTTTCTTTGCCAATCACAGTACAACTACTCTTTAGGTTTTTATTCACAACTGAATACGAGACATATACTCAAAGGCTACTTGATAAGGGTCTTCAGCTTTATTCTGAAGATAGTATCAGTGATCTTTTAGGAAGGTGACATTTTTTTTGTTACGGACATTCAATTTGCTCAAAGTAGCAATAGTTACTGTGTTTCGTGTTGCTCTTATTTTTTATTTTCATCTGATGAATCCCTACCACACACAACCAGGACTGCCTCGTATGGCATCTCCTATGGGAGCGCCTTATTCTCCTCCTCAAACCAGCCATAAGAAATCAAAACGCCATTATCCCACTTTAGGACAAGAGACAGTGTCTGGAAACCAAGGATATCCTTCTCCAGTTCAACACACTCCGCCTCCCGTTTATAATCAAGTGCTGAATGGTATGTCTCAGATGAATGTAGGATCTGCTCAGCAACAAGATGTACCTTTGGTTGGTCAACCACCTCTTATTCAAGACCTTATTGAAAAGACACCATCACCTTCTATTCCCTCGAATGTAAGTGGTTTATTGTTTTGGACATGTCTTGATTCCCTTTATAGTTAACAGCTACTGGATCCACCATGGCACAAGTGGATCGTCGATTGAAACATGCTACCGTGCATGCTTTTCCTTCTTCGCATGCCTTGGCCAAGAAGTCCAAAATACCACTTGCTTTGATTTTGCAACCCTATCTAGAGGTAAGATTAAGCTTAAAAGAGTAATGTATTGAACCCATGCTAGTCTCAAGTCCCTGTTGTGCCTGATACAACAGTGTCCCGTTGTTCTCGTTGTAAGACCTACATCAATCCTTTTGTTCAATTCTCAGGAGGTGCATTACAATGGACATGTAATATGTGTGGCATGAATAACGATGGTAAGTAAAAGAACGATACTACCACTACTAAACCTGGTAAAAGTACCTCAATCGTTTGACTGGGATATCTTGACACAACAACAGACAGATCGATACAGTCGCCCTGAACTCAACTATGGCTGTGTGGATTTCATGGCATCAACAGACTATATTGTACGTCCTCCTCAACCACCTGTGTATGTGTTTGTGATTGATACTTCATTTCAAGCTGTTCAGTCAGGCATGATTCGTGTGGTAGCCGATGCGATTCTTGCTTCGCTCGACAAGATACCAAATGAAGATGGACGTACAAAAGTAGGGTTTATTACTGTGGATAATGCAGTTGGATTTCATAAACTGTCAGGGGATGAGCCCGAGATTCTGGTTGTAGGGGATTTGAATGATATCTATCTACCTCGGTCCTTATCTGATTTGATGGTCCATTTGGCAGAGAGTCGAAAAGTAGTTGAGGATTTGTTGGCTAAGATGAAGACCATGTATACACATACACATACTCCCTCCAATTGTTTAGGGTCTGCATTACAAGCAGCACGAAAACTATTGGTAAAGTGTTGATAGAATCGATCCAGATGGAACTCATAAGATATAGGCTCCTACAGGTGGTAAAATAGTGTGCTTTCAAGCAAGTGTGCCTACCGTTGGTGAAGGTATTATGCAGCCCAAACAAGGCATGATTTCTGTAGATGCACCCATCATGACTGCCTCGAGTTCATTCTACAAGACATTGGCAGCTGAATGTACTAAACTCCAGATCTGTGCAGACATGTTTGTGTTTGGCAACACGAATGCCAATGCGGATCTCACCACCCTGAATGTGATGCCTCGTTTTACAGGTGGTCAAACCCACTTTTATCCTGGATTTACTGCTGCCAATCAAACAGCCTGCTTAAGACTGAAGCAAGAGGTGATCCGTCTATTGGCTCAACAGATGGGATTGGAAGCTGTGATGCGTACCCGTTGTTCAGAAGGGATTGTGTGTCATGCCTTCTTTGGTAATTGCACAACGCGCGTGCCTGATATCATGGCATTACCCAATGTTCCATGTGATCAGTCCTATTGTGTTGAGCTCCTGATGGAACAGGACATCCCATCTAGCCATGTCTATTTCCAGACAGCCTTGTTGCACACCACCAGTACAGGTGAGCGTCGTATTCGTGTCATGAATCTATGTTTGCCTGTCACTCAGAGTGCATCTGAACTCTTTAGCTCTGTGGATCAAGTAGCTGTCGCACGTACGCTCTGTCATCAAGCGATCGATAAGGCGGCTCAAGGGAAATTAAAAGACGGCAGAGATTATCTCGCGAATCGCACCATCGAGGTCTGTCAAGCCTATCGTCAACAGGTGCTTGGGTCTACCACCACTACTCAGTTATCTATTTGTCGTTCTCTGAGCGTGTTTCCTCTGTTGATCCTTGGTATTCTCAAGACACCTGCATTTCATGATGCCCCAGTGCCTGCTGATCTACGTGCTCAATCAGCGATTTTGTTACGTACATTGCCGATGGATCCTTGGGAACGTCTTGTTCATCCCATGTTGCATTCCGTCCATCAAATGCCACCTATGGCAGGCACATTGGATGCCACAGGTCAATGTGTATATCCTCCTCGTCTTCATTTATCCAGCGAGAAACTAGAAGCACACGGCTGTTATTTGTTGCAAGATGGACAAGACGTGTATATCTGGGTGGGTAAACAAGCCATACCTCCCTTATGTAAAGATCTATTTGATGTACCCTCACTTGATCAAATTTTCTCTGGACAGGTAAGATATAGCATCTATAGGTCACTTTGACTGATGATGATTGTTGTTGTTAGATACCTTTACTGCCTCAAGTACGCTCTTCTATCTCTTCAAGACTCAATACACTCATTCAACATATCCAAACAGACCGTCAAGTCACTTATTATCCTACTATTTCGATTGTCAAAGAAGACGGCGATCCTATGCTTCGTAGTCGTTTCTTGTCTCATTTGATAGAAGATCGTCAGCCGACTGGACCTACAAATGCAGGTGCTCATCAAGACCAGGTGAATTCCGGTATGAGTTATTTCCAATGGCTAGGTTACATTAGAGCCAAGTGTTAATAAAATATACATATATATATATATGTGTGTATGTGTGTGTATGTATGTGTGTGTGTGTGTGTGTGTTTTTATTCAGTAGCCATCATCAATTTAATCTTGGCAATAGCAGCACCGGGTTGAAGACCCTTAGGACATGTCTTGGAACAGTTCATGATGGTATGACAACGATACAAAGACATCTTGTTTTGAAGCTTTTCGCGACGTTGAGGACCGAATTGATCACGGGAATCAATCATCCAACGATAAGCTTGCATCAAGACAGCAGGACCCAAGTATTCTTCTTGGTTCCACCAGTAAGAAGGACAGGAGGTGGAACAACAGGCACAGAGAATACATTCATAAAGACCATCCAACTTCTTTCTGTCTTCAACAGATTGCAAGTTTTCCTTACCGTCAGCAGGACCTGTTCTTTGCTTCAAGAAAGGTTCAATGGACTTGTACTGCTTGTAGAAATGAGTCAAGTCAGGAACCAAGTCCTTGACGATGTTCATGTGAGGCAAAGGATAGATCTTGACAGGCTTGCTTGTATCCTTGTTGATTTTGGAGATACAGGCTAATGTGTTGCCACCTTCAATATTCATGGCACACGAGCCACAGATACCTTCACGGCAGGAACGACGGAAAGTGAGTGTAGCGTCTTGTTCGTTCTTGATTTTGATCAAGGCATCCAAGATCATAGGACCACAGTTGTTCAAGTCCACCTTGTAGGTTTGAAGAACTGGTTTTTCAGCAGGTTTATCAGGGTTCTAATAAGATGAGTCAAAAGTGATTGTGAAGTGTCTTACTTTACCCAACGGTAGATTTCAAAGGTCTTGAAATTAGGTTCCTTGGTTTCAACAGATGCCATCATGGGGACACTGCTTGTGTTGAATGAACGAGCCAAAGGCTATCAACATATCAGTAAAGACGTGTTTTTTGCTTTTATGACTTACAACAACAGCAGCAGATACCCAACGCTTGTTGAGTGTCATTTTGACGCTTTGTAATGCAATAGACATGTTGAACTTATTACAAGAAAAAAAAAATAGAGTGGGGAGGTTATTTAAAGAGAAAGAAAGAGTGTCTCTTTTTTCTTTACCAAATGCGGGGAAAATACGCTTCCCATAATATCACTCACACACATACATATATACATGTGAATCAACCAACCAAAAACCAGGGGTGCCCAGGGCTTTTAATTTTTTTTTTTTTTTTTTTTTTTTGTCAAAAGGTTTATCCATATTTTTTTTTTATTGAGGTATAAAGACAGGTGCTTTAGGTCCCTCACAAACTACATGAAACTTTTCTCGAGTATCTGCTTTTCTATTGGCAAAGACGATACGCATCGTTTTAAACAGATAGATACGCTTTTTGTCTGTCCTGCAAAACTGTAAATGAATAGCATATCTCAATAATTGTTTGTTGCCTTCTGTCACATAAGATTTTTGACGTAAAAATGTCTTTGTATTCCTTGGCATGTCTGTAAAATCGTAAGGAATCAAGAATAATTTGACAGCCGTTTTGTTGGGGTTCTTGACAACCACTTGGATTTGTCCTTTGGGTGGAATACGGTAGCCTGGTTGATTGAATTGAGAAGCATACTCTTCTAGATCCACGATACCCACATAAGGTGTAGTGGTGGTAGTATCCTCATCATGGTCAGGCAAATGATAAAATGTGGCTGGAAACACAATCGACCAATGAGGAGGGCACTTGAGGGATGGTTTACAGTTCCCATAGCCCAAGACACCCATCTGACAATGGAATGTAATGGGTTTAGAAGGCATGGAAGACATACGACCTGATAAAAGGGATTCTTCAAAACTGCCGACTAAACTACCATGATGGTGCAGGATATCTGTGGTGAGTGAATGTCGGCGTTCATTTGCTTCATGGAAATGACGAGGTGTGGGTGAAGTAGAATAAGCAAGGGTGGTAGAACGATGATGATGGGTATATTGCATGCGAGGTGTAGGGATGGGTATAGCATAACCAGAAGTCAAATGATCATCTTCTTTTTCTTCTTCTTCTTCCAGGGCAGATAAAGATAGCCTTGATAACCGTCGAATGGCAATGACAGGCGTGTTAGATGCTAAAGGATCCAAGGATAAAGATTGCCAAGGTACCAATGATGGCTTATGTTGATCAAATATGACTTCAATACATACACCAGCCAGTTGAAATCGTTTTGCTTTTAACTGTGCATCTGATTGGAATTCAATTGTTGTCTGAATGGATTGAGCAGAATAGCATTGATAAGAGGGTGTATCATGATCGAATAAGATGGCATATACTTGGTCTTTTCTTAATGGATATTCACCTATAAAATCAGCAATCTCTTGTTCAAAAGAGAGTTGAGGACCATGCCAAACAGACAACATCCATCTTTCAAGTAAAATATCGGATTCCATCTGCAGAATATTGATGACTAAACCTGCTTCATTCAACACAGATTGATCAAAATAACAAGCGTGATGATGATGTTGTTGTTGTGTAGCAAGACAGTGTTGATGTCCAAGTCTTGAAGCAAGAATGGTTTGAACAAGTCTATGTGGATCCAACATAACAGGAATAGGCATTTTTCAATCATAAAAAAGAAAAAAAAGAAAGAAAAAAAAATTTTTTTTTTTTTACTATTATTATGCAAAAAAAAATAATTTTTTTTGATTGGTCTATAAAACTTGGTAATCAATCCTAAGTCCACTTCCCTTTAAAGCAAGTGAAGAGGGTTTGAATGCATTTGGCAAAGGCTTTTTATCAGGTGGCAAGAATACTTTAGCTGCTTTTTCTGAATAAAATAATCGCTGGGTATAATAATGCTTCCAACAATCTTGTTCTAATTGACATCGCTTTGAAAATGACTCGAAATCATTCTCTTCTCCCTCTAATAAAGGTGATTTTAACAGGGCAAAAGACACCATTTGAATCCAAAATAAGATTTGTGTTTCTGAGTACATAATCGATCGATTCTCTTGGTCAATATGAGTAATCACATGATGCAATTGTTGAAATAAAGACGACATTTTGTGTTCAGACAGTGTCAAGAAAATGATACGTACAAGACAGCCATGATCAAAAAACAAGAATGCTTTCTGACTACTAAAGAATCCCGATTTAAATTCTTGGTCTGATAGATGGTATGGATTCAAAAGGGATTCCCAAGGAGTGATTGTACTGGGCTGTTGAGATACTGAATTGGACATCAAACCATGTCTACTGTGATAAGCCAATGTTTGATGCATGTATTGAAAGATAGCATCTAGTCCATCCCCTGTTAAAGCATCACATCCAAATATCCTCCAATCATGTCCTTTCAATAATCCCATCAAGGGTTTGTCATGAGCCCACGCATTGCCAATCTCTTGTAGATGGTTGATATCAGGTTGTTTGTTGACAACAGTAATAATGATTGTATGTTCAAGTGCTTGTCCAAAGTTCTCTAGTAGCCAAATCATATTCTCCCGAGATTTAAAAGCAACAGCTTCTTTTTGATTCTCAATCGCATCTACCATGTACACAAGTACTCTTGTATGTTCATTCAAATGGTTTAGACACGAACTTATTTCTATAAACACATCAGTCTGTTGATTTGACACAAGACATGGGTTACCTGCAAAATCCCATAATTCAAATAGACGTGATTGATAAGGTATCATTTCAACATTGTGTGTGGGTGTGGGTATCACTGTAAAATGGGTATCGGGTTGACCTGTACCATACTTGAAATAGGACTTATAGAGAAATGTTGTCTTTCCTGATCCTCTTGCACCAAGAATACGAACTGGAATAACGTCTTGATAAAAGTAAGCCTTTGTTGTATCTATATGTCTATCTACCTTCTGGTTCCTTAGTCATCATCTCAAATTATAAGTGAAAGAAATAAAAAAAAAAAAAAAAAGGATGGATAAAGGATTAGCCTCCATTTTATTTAAATGCCTTTTGTTACTTGCATTAAAAATCGAATTCGCCCACAGATTTCACCTAGAACTGTATAAGTCTGTTGTTTGGATAATATCATTACTTACTTGCTTCTTTTGTGCTTTCTGCTTCAAGATCATAGGTCTTGAAATCACGCTCTTTAAGGATAATCACCTTAAAATTAGTAGGCACTTTTTTACTCTGTTTACATGATCTCACTGCACTTGCATGAAACGATGTCTAATGCATAGTCAATTAATACACACTTATATATATATAGGATGACATGTGTCTCACTTACTGTCTTGACTGAATCAAACATGCCCTTGTGTTCTGGTGGCATCAAATGAATATAATCACCATCAATAGCCATGATATAGACACGTTTAGAGACAAACATAGGCATCTTTCGACTGACTGTGTATTTCTTGTATTGAGACAACAAGGTATCATTGGCATTCGTAGTCGAGGGTCCTGCTGTAGGACTACTCTCTGTTGTTGAAAAGTACATGGGATGATTACCTTCTTCCTTTTTTCGCTTGATAGGGGATCGCCATGAATGAGATGTGGTAGGTATACTTAAGGTAGTTCCTTTCTTGGTCAAGGTCAGATCAGTAATACCCTTCATGCTCTCAACAGTAGTATCATTAGACACAATCACATTACTGTCTGCGATAGTCAACATGTATTCATTTGGATCCAATTTACGTTTTCGAGAGACAAGTTCAAGTACATCGCCAATAAACATTTCAGCATAGACAGGAATGGCTGTTGTAGCAGATACTTCTTCATTCGTCATCAGTTTGATACGGAAATACTTGAGTGGTGTCATAGGCATGGTGGCCTTGGTCAAGGTGGCTTTTGAAGAAGGTACCGGGACAGCCACAGTGGATGCATCAGGCTCAGGTTGTTGTTGAGTGGGTAAAAGATGCGTCAAGGTGGGTTCTGAGGATGGCTGAGAGGCTGGATCTTCTTCACCTGGCATATGCAATATCGGTGATCCTTCAACATAGGGGGGTATATGATCGTTCATGTTGGTATGCGTGGAGGATCCCAGATGCGTATGGTGTTGTGCTGGTAATGTTTGTTGTGCAGCCACCCTTTTTTTATGGAGTGTCTCTAGATCAGGTTTACTTCGACCCATTTTGGCTCGATCCAAATCATTCTGTTTCGCTTGAGAAGGTGTGGCTCGACACAAGGCAAACTGGTCAAACGAGACACGGCCAATATTGCGTGTTCGATCCACAGCAGGCAAATCGTCTTCAATCTCACCATCGTCTTCTGCAATCAACAAGACCCATTCCGCTAAATCATAAGCAGATTCATCTAATTCAGGCTCACGCTTTTGTTCCACATAATCATACAAGATATAACCAATCACATCATCTGTAATTGCATCAGGTCGTACTATCAAAGAAACAGGTGTATAGGGTTGATTGGAGTGAGGTAAATAGACGCATAAAGTGATCGATTTGGGCTCGCCTTTGCCCGAGACAAAGGCGTATTCGGCAAATGGGTTTTCTGCAGCCGTTGCCTTTTCTGCAATGAGGGCTGATAGTGCAGAACCGGCAGGGTGCTTTGTCGCATCGAGTTTTTTGAAAAGAGGTTCATCCAGAGTGGCAACAGAGGTAGGTATGGATGCTTCTATAGTATCAGTATCATGAGGTGTGACAGGAAATCCATTGAATGTAGGGTTGGTTGTCTCCTCAAATGAAGGTGAAGGATCAATAGCTGAATCTACTGAGGGATGTAGCGAAGTAAATGGGAAAGAACGATGGGATACCACTTGCATTTGTGGCTGTGCTGATATAGGTGAAGTCAGTGCTTCTTCAGGTTTTCTAAAGAAATACAACATCAGCTCTCATCAGATCGTTTTGAAGGATAACTTACCCAGAACCTGAAAATAACGCTTGTTTGTCTTCTATCTCAATATCGTCATCTTCACTATCTGTCTCTTGTGCTTTTGTGGTCGTGCTCATCATGGTGGGCGTCATAACTGGATTGGGTAATCGTTGTTGAGGAATCGTAGGTAATGGTTTATTTAACAAGGCAGGAGGCCTTGCTCGATAGGTGCGTTTGGTGGTACGTGGACTACTGGTCAAATTCACTGTGTTTTCATTCAACAGACTATCATAGACAGGTGAATAGCAGTATTGCATTTCAGGGTAGATGGGTGCTGCTAGACGAACATAGTCATCAGACATGACAGTCGGTGGGAAAGTAATAATACGTTCACCACGTTCGTCCATGCGTAAAAACTTGATGCGACTAATATGAATTAAATAAAGTGGGTCTGTGATGAGTGACATGAAGCATAGAAAAAAAAGAGGGTTTCATGCGTGTAAAGAAATTCATATTAAACCAATAAATGATGTTGTTCGGACCGAACAAAATATGACCTTAATGAAAAAGGTGTCTGCATTAGAACCACCATTGCCTGAATTTATTGAAGCCTCACAGCATATACAAGTGTATGGACTATGAATATGAGAAATATTGTAAATAACTCATCTTATTCTATAGACATACTTTTACGAAACTAGTCTTTGATGTCAATCTTAGTAATTACTGACGTTTGTCTAACTTCTCATATTTTTGCGGAAGTGAAAAATGTTTGAATCATAAATGTCTTCTTTGAGCCCGTCAGATCAATCCAAATCTTTAAGCTCAATTGAGTCTTATTATGTGTAATTCAAAACTTTCGGTATGTAATTCAGAAGGAAAAAATACCTCTCTGTACTCTATACTTTTCGGTTCAAGACTGAGAGGAAAGGCTGGTGTTTAAGAAAATTAAACTATGACTTTTTTGATATTGAGAAGGTTATTAAGGTGAAGACAAATGGCGACCATGCTGATCTTTAATTTAAATAGCAACTACTTCAACATAGAATCTGGTATCGTCTTTCAGGTATTTAGGATCACTTGCTAATTGATCATGGATCCATTGGATAGCATCCTTATAGTTTTGAATGTCTTGAGTATAAGGGTTGTTGAGACCAGATTCACCATTTCTGTGTCCACCAAACCATTTGTCAGCACCATAGAATGCCTGAGATTCTTGTCTGGCTTTAATGTCTTGAGCAAGCTTCTTGTTCAAGACAGCTCCCTTGTTATAGTCCTTGGTCTGATATTTCTTGAATTGAGAGGTAGAGGTGCGAAGCATAAACCAGTTTTGTTTAAAGATACCAAAATTAGCAGAATCAAAAGATTTGTTATCACCATAGGCATAATCAGCCTTCATATGGTCACTTTCTAACATGGCAATAGCGAGATCATAGATGCCACCACCATTTTTGAGAACCTGTTGCTTACGAGCTCCGAGACCAGGCACAGTATAACTGCCTCTTTTACCGTTCGTAGGAGCAGCAGAGACAACGAGAAGAAGGAAGGAAATGAAAAGCAAATAGAACCCTTTGGTTTGTATCATTGTGGTATTGATGATTTCGAAAACTAATGTTTTTTTTTCTTTTGCTTGTATTTATACAGTTTTGATTTGGGTTTTCGAGAATGGATGACAATTACAATTCAAGTCACAAAGACACATGAAAGGAAGGTGTTACCATGCTTATCATTCTAAAGATCAATGCATACTTCAATTGTATTGTATTTTTCAGCAATTAAGAGACAGTCTCAGAGAAAATAAGAGAAAATTATTGGATAAAATAAGAGAAAATTTTAGATCAATTAAGAGAAAACTGACCAATAAAATAAGAGAAAAACACAGGAAAAATTAAGAGAGAAAAAAAGGGGCAATTAGTAGAAAGCTTATTTATACTTTAATCTCATTATAAGTTTTTCTCCAGGGCTAAGCACTTTTCAAAAAATCCGAGGGAATGGTGGATCCAGCCTTGGCAGTCTTTCTTGGTTACCTTGGAGCAGGCATCCATGATTCTGGGTGTGAGTGTCTCACCAGTTTCGAAAGGTTTTCTTTTGACACCATACTTCACCTTCGACCAGAATAGCTCAATTGGGTTTAGGAATGGTGAGTATGGTGGAAGATATACACACCTATAGCCTCTGCTTTCTATCAAATTTCTTACTGTAGCTGGCTTATGTATGGGAGCATTGTCCATTACCAAGTAAAAACCCCTCATGTTGTTTCGGTCAAGAACATCCATCACATTACTCAAGTAATTTAGATAATGCTCGGCCCTTGTTCCAACTTTGGCTGTTGTTGTAACAACCTTACCATCTACTCTTCTCTTCTTAGCTCTCGAAACCATTATTGGCTTTCTCAAAGAAATGTCAATAACGCCGGCACTTGAGATGGCACCAAGGATGGTTATTGTAGTGCCTTTTGAAGCAGGGACAGTTGTCTTAGCAGGTGCTCCCTTCTTAGACCAGCCACGAGTGCGTGTCATGTGAAGATTGAATCCTGCTTCATCCAAAAATACGCAATTGTTCTCAAAGTCAATTTCTCTATCAGCTAGCCATTGAAGGATGGTCTCCTTTCTCTTCTTCAAAGTTTCTTCTGAATTTCTAGCAACTGAAATCTTCTCCAACTTCTTCATAGATAGTGCACAGCTGGTCCTAAGATGTCTGTATACTGCGGATGGGCTTGCAGAGAGACTTGGAAACTCTATGATCAATGACTCGTGTATTCCAGCTACAGTTGTAGTTGAACGCTCATCAACAAGGTCGATAATAAACTTCGAGTGCTTCTCAGTAAGCTCAGAGACAGTTCCCATTCTGCGTCCTCTTTTCTTCTGTTGAGGTACCTCCCCAGTTTTCTGCCACTGCGATTTGAAACGGTAGGCTGATTTTTCATTTATTCCTGTCTTTAAAGCTGCATCCTTTATAGGTACCTGTTCAACTAACAGAGCAATAAGCTTGTTGATATCCTGCTGAGTGTATATACGTCTAGCATTGCTAGCGTCGTCTTTTTTTTCAGTCAGGTCTCTGAGAGGCTTCTCTTCTTTCAAATCGCTCTCACTACTCTGCACATCAGCTTCATTTTCCTCCTCGTCCGAGCTATTACTGGGCTCATCACCCTCGTGCCCTTCCTTCAGTTCCATCGTCACATCTTCATCTAACTCCATGGCTGATGCAGTGATGTTATACTCCCACTTCTTTCTCATCATCGACATTACACTGACAATAATCTCGGGTACAGCTTCAATATCTTCGTCGCGTAGAGAGATCTCGTTCATATCATAGTCAATATCCATTTTTTGTTAATAATAGTGAGAAAAGTGCTTTCTACTAATTGCCCCTTTTTCTCTCTCTTAATTTTTCCTGTGTTTTTCTCTTATTTTATTGGTCAGTTTTCTCTTAATTGATCTAAAATTTTCTCTTATTTTATCCAATAATTTTCTCTTATTTTCTCTGAGACTGTCTCTTAATTGCTGAAAAATACAATACATCTGCATGGTACAAGGAACAGTCTTCAATGTTTAATACTTGTAGTACGATATAAATTACAATCAAGTGTATTTTCAAGGCCCAATGACATCATGTAAAAGTTGTGATCGTTATGTTTTCTTTCAAGACATAGAACAATGCTCGGTTGAAAAGCAGTTTTGTTTTTAATAGAAAAAAATCATGAGCTATCTTCAAATAGTGTGTATGGTTTGAAGCCCAAGCATAGAAACAAGATCTGGGCCTCGAATCATTTCAAAAACAAAAACTCGGGGATGACAAGCCTTTAGGAGTGAAACATATTTATTTGGAATACATCTTTTCGATCCGTTTTAATCAAATTAATTAATATCAAAATCTGTGACCAGACTAAATGTTGCTCAAGACATTGAAGCACAAGTTTAACGTTTTTGAAAACAGTCTCCCTTTTTAAAATTAACATTGCAAAGAGACATCAAGGTTGGATGAAAGCATAACATATTGGGAGTCATTGACTTTATAAAAATGCTATTGTGTTAGCAACAAAGTAAAAAGCAATGCATTTATAATATATACCAAAAAAAATAAAATGGAGCTTGTGAAAGGTCTCTAGTGCATATAAAGTAATCAATCAACAGTGTTCCCTTCCTTTTCTCGGAAACTTCCTTGCAATACACTATTTTCTTTTTTTCTTTTTAAATTATTTTATTTGCCACACGTATTTTGTAGCGCGGTAGGGCTACAAAAAAGGGGTGCTCGACAATGAGTTACAAGATTAAAAGAGATAAAATGAAATTAAAAATGAGACAAGGACTATATAAAAGTTAAAGTTAAGCGAAACAGTGATGAAAAGAAGAAGGAGAGATGAAGGAATCAGTCTAGACAGTTCGTCTCTTCAGCAGCGCGGCGGCCAACTGCCCGGAGGGTTTGACTGAATGCTATGCTTGCTAGGAAGGGCTCTCTTCGATGGATATGAGCCCAATGGGCTTTCCATAATACTAATTATTGGGACAGAAAAAAAATCAAAATTGAAGCACAGATCGAAAAAGATTTGAAGCAAGAAATAAATACAGATTGATACAAAATATTAGGCATACTTTCTTCGAATATATAAGCTACTTGCCTTATTGGAAATGGACTCTACTATTCACAAAGACGGGAAAGGCAACATGCTTAATGATGAAGGCGAAGAAATTGTTGAGATGAAGATGGAGGTTAACAAAATCAATTATCCCCTGAATAATGTTACAAACTTCGATCAGTATACAGATTTGAAACCTCCCGAAAAGATGCAGTAGGAACCTAAAGAAAACCTTGAGAAGCAGCCTAGTTCTTCATCTGAAACACTCAAAAGTAAAAAAAACATATTGCAAATACAAGGAAGAGGACATAGAGTACTTTTTCTTTTTGGTCAACGAGAAGCAAATGTTTGTTCGTGGTACTGCTGCTAAAATAAACATGCCTCATAGTACTGCATACAATTGGCACACAAAAGGCCTAAAAAGCCTTGAGATGGATGAGTTTCTCGAAGAGGAGAAGTCTGGAAGTGGTAGACTAGTGGAAGATTAGTAGTTTTGAATGATGTCCATAAGGATCACATCATCAACCTTGATGATGAAAAGCCGAGCATTGTTTTGGATGAAATGATGGAAAGCCTGACCAGCAATTTTGCTGACTTAGAGACTTCAAAGTCTGGGCTATACAAGTTTGTAACAAAGAAATGTATAATCAGTCTTAAAAGAGCACGTTTCCATTCCATCGAGCGTAACAGCCTTCAAAAAAAAAAAAATTGAGGATATCAGTGGGTCAAGCGATAGGAAGCAACTGATCAACTATGAAAGTAACTGCGTGTTCATAGAAGAAGAAGCAGCCTTTCACATCAACATGAAGCGCTCAATGGCCTGGTCAAAGAAAGGAGAGCAAACAGTTGTTGTCACGCCAAAAACAACAGTAAAGACAATTACTTTGTTGGTGCCATTTCTCCGTATGATATGGTTAATGTTAAGGTCAAGTCGGCTAAGGTAACTGCACCTTCAAAAAAGAGAAAGGCGGCCTCAGTTAGCTCAACTGTTGTTGAAAAAGGCAAAGGTGTTACAGTGACAGGCCATTACTTTAATTTCATTGCAACAATCTTGGATGTTATGGATAAGAACGGCGAATTCAAGGGCCATTATCTCATAATGGATAATGCGCCTATTCATAGGCATGTAGACATAAGAAACTACATTGAGGCTCGTGGCTATGTTTGCATTTATTTACTTCCATAATCTCCTGAATTAAATACAATTGAGCAGTTTTGGTCTGTTTGTAAGAGCAAACTTAAGAGAGAAGCACTTTTAGAAGAAGAGAACTTAACTACCAGAATTCGAGACGCCTGTAACAGTATCCTTGTCAGCAATTTGCAAGGTTTTTGTAGATATTCTGTAGCTAAGTTTAATGATTGCTTGCAGAGAAAGCCCATTTAATAGATATAATAATTTGGTGCATTTGGGATATCATTGTACCAATCTGTATTTTCTAATTTTTTTTCTGTTCCCAACAATTAGTGAAACTAGTGTAAGTCATTCAATTTGTACTTCCTCTTTAAAGCTAAAAAGTAAAAACATTCTTTGATACATTATGCTAGACATAATTGATGAAAAGAGATGATAAAGTAATAAAAACGCTCTTTAGACCAACGGTTTGTCATTTGAAAGTAGAATAAAAAGAGCCTTTTTGACCTTTTGCAAATGATTTTATGAACACTTTCTTGCTCGATTCTAACACTACTTCATTTAGTTAATCTTCTTTAACTTGAAGCAATGTCATTTTCAGTAAGAAAAAAATAAAGAAAAAACATTTGCTTATAATAAAGACAAGCTTATAACTGATAGCATTCATTTATGAAGTGGAGTAGTCTTCTTTTTTCCTTTTTTCTTTCTTTCTCTTTCTCTATAGTGTTGCTTTGCTTCTTATAACAAATAAGTGCAAGAAGCAGCTACTAATGCTTTTGGTAAGAGAAAACAAGGTACAAGTTAGTCCCTTTAATTACCCAATGAAACTTGAAGTTGAATTCTTTTTTATTTCTCATGCTCAACATATTCATCTTTTGTTGATTATATTTACATTTCCGGTTATCTCCAATTGATAAAATGGAATTGTATTAAAATTGGCGCTTGCTTCCAAAGACCATTAGTATTCCGAATTGGGTCGTCTTTGGTATCATGATAAAAAACATATCAATACTTTGGATTGAAAGAATCAATATATTTGTAAAATTTAGGTGTTATTAAACAAAATCAAAGCCGTGTATGTTCTTTTTTCAGATTTACGAAATTTAAGTTGTAATTGTTCAAATCAATTGCATGTTATATGGAAGAGGAACGTTGTTATACAATGTCTTTGATCATCAAAGTATGCTATAGCATTGAGTTGTATCGCACAAGCTAACGCTCGAGAAAATGGTATAAATTACGGCTGTCTTTGCCTTCTTCTCTGTATTCTCAATCATGCGTCTTCTTTCTCAAGTCTTGATATTGACTGCCTGTCAAACACTCTTTGCTACTGCTCAACCCATTGAAAAGCGAGCAACCAAATTTACCTCGGTTTTTGCCTTTGGTGACTCTTACACGGACAATAGATCACTGAATGACTTTTATCAATCAGGATCAACGCATGTTAGCAAAGAAAGGTGTGTGTATACCGTTGTAGCTGTATCTAACAACTATCTGTAGCGCTCAATTGGCTGGAGCTAGTTATGTAAGTTTCTTGATGTCATTTATATTCTTAATGTTTTTTTTTATTTAGTTGGGTCGTGCTGCAGATCGTGCTCTTTGGGTAGAAAATCTGGTGCTTGACAAATACACTGGTGCGGACCTTTATGATTTTGCCCGTGCAGGTGCAACAGCCAACAATGTAAGCTAGATAGTATGCCAAACAATAGCACAATATAACACATTCAACAGAAATTGATTTACAGAAACATCCCAGACATGGACACTCAAGTCAATACGTTTAAGAAATCGGATGTTGCAAGCAAGAGCAAGTCCAATGCTATTCATTTCTTGTGGATTGGTGTTAATGATATTAATCTTCTTTGGGGAAAATATCAAGATGATACCAGTGAAAGAAGACAAACACTCGATGGTATTGTCAACACGATCAAAAATGATTTGGTATGTTTATTGTCTATAGATCAAACATAGTCTCATTTTTTAATTAATAGGACATCGTTAAGAATGCTGGTGCTAAAAATATTGTTCTAATGGGCCTAATTCCCTTGCAAGAGGTCCCCATGTATTACAAGAGTTATTGCAATGATAGCTCTAGAGAAAAATTAAAGCAATTAATCTTGAGCTATAACAGCAAACTTAAGACACTCACTGAAGAGTTTGCTTCCAAGAACAAGGGCACAAAGATTTTGTTCTTTGACTCGTATGTACAATTCTACAAAATGTTTGACTCAAGTACAATTGTAAACAACCGATTCGTTAACTGCAACAAAGCAAAGAACTGCGACAAGTAAATATAGATTTCAATATTAGATTTTAATCCATCTTACATAGCTATATTTGGTGGGATGAGCTTCATCCAAGTGGGGCCACTCACAAAAAGATCTCTGAAACTGTTCACAACAAAATTACTGAAGCAGGCTGGTAATCTTTTGATTATGTATTTGAACTTTTGAGATGAAATAAAAGTCTCTTGTTTGCCGTTATAGATCTATCTTTTTTTTTTTTTAGCTTACTCTGAGTCCTCATGAATTTATGATTTATTAGAAACGACTACAAGATGTTGGTTTTTGTATTTTTAAGGCAAATTAAACCTGAAATGTATCTATTCCAAGGCAATGACTAGGAAACACTCTGTTCATCGCAAAAATTGACCATTTTGCGCATATAGAATGCTTCCGAGAAAGCTGTAGTTGAAAGTGGTTGATAAGGAGAAAGTTTATTTGCCCAAAGTATTTTATAAGTTCACTGCGTTTTATTATACATAGAGTTCCTCGTAAGGTATGCATATAAAGAATAGATCTCTCCAGAACACAATATCATTGATCTAATCATTGATAAGATTGAACCCATCAAAAGAAAGACAATTACGCAAGATTATATAACCACAGAAGCAATAGGGATTGTATCAGGAACGACATACAGCCTCCAAAATTGAACTATCAACTTAACTATAAAAGGCATGAGGAAATAAACAATTCATTATTATATAAAGGAAAGGCGTAGATCAACAAAAAAGAAACCATCATAAAAGACTGAAAACACAATTTTCTAGTGTCTCCTTTAACAAAGCATAGATGCATTGGATGAACTTGAGTCCGAGCACAAGAAAATATTAAGGTTACAACGGTTTGGATCTTTTCCTCTTGAAAATTTGTCTTCAAAAATTTGCCCAAGTATTCTGAAGTTAACGAAAACAGAGAACAAAACTAGAATGAGCGATGTTGGTCCTTTCTATATCTGAAGAACTTCTTTTTCTTTAATATATCCTATCGTTACTCGAAACAAAAAAGGCATTTTTTCATGATAAGGGCTGTATCCATATTGTTTATCGTTAAATATTATAGTGTTTTTTGCTCTTCTAGAGAAGTAGGATCAACTACCCACCGACTACTAAATATATACTAAAAAGGGCCTCCTTTGTATTGGTCACAGTGATACAACAAACTATAAACGCAGATTTAAAGACAATACTCAAGTTAACTCAACCTCTTTGTCTGAAGTACCCTGGGATGACCTTGTCTAATTTCAATTGGATCAGACCTACATCGGGTCAATCTGACATTCCATAAGCTTTTTTTTTTCATCTCCAAGAGCTCTCGTGATCCTCCATGGGTCAAAAATATAAATTTCACAAAAGTGCCAAACTAATGGTACCATTCGATTTCTGGGTTCAAAAGAACATGTTTTAAATAAAAAGAAATCATTTTAGTGGTTTGTTTGTCGAGCAATGGCCCATCAAAGATTGGTGCATTTAAGCAGTGATTTGAGCATTTTTGTCCTAGATACCATATAAAAAGTAATAGCAATCGATATTTATAAAGCATATCATATCACTTCAAGTGTCAGAGAACATAGGAGAATAGAAAGATAGACATTTTCCAATGTAAATGCGGGAGTAAGTGTACGCAAGATATACAGAATGTCTGTGTGCATCGGAAATCGAGCCTTTGCTGAGAATAGCTTGAAGATGCAGTTATTTAACTTTGTAGTTGTGACAAAAGTTACAGGTATATGCTTTCTGAGCTTATTGATACAAGAAACACAGCAAATTTACTACTAAAATATTGAGCCAATAGACAAAAATATTTATGAAGTTTCTCACACATATCTTATTATTTTCATGATACATTTACCAGGCAAACACATTCACCAAAAACTAGAGCTTTTGGCACCCATTTTGAGTATTTAAGCTCGTCAATAGCTCTATTTTTCATCCTGTAGCATCAAAGAGAAGATTCGAAATTTGCGAACGAGCCATTTTCATGAATTGCACCCTTTCGATTCGAGGCTGTTTTGACTATTTTTTTAAAGATCGGTTTTTTTTTGTCTAAATCCACTTCAAAAGCACCATATATGATAGTAAACATTGTTTGTAGTTATTTAAAGCATTTATATATGTCCAAAAAAGGTTTATGGTACCTTTATATGCCTAAGAAAAAAAAAGAAGATTTGTCGTTTTTTTTTTATGATACATGATATATAAAAGGTAGCCTTTAGTACATACATCAAATACAGTACAGACTGCTTTATATTTGCAAATTCCAATTTAATTGCTCGGGTTTCTCCTGTGAAAGATACATACAGCTTAAAAGATACAATGTCATTTGTATGATTGACTGACATTGCTTGTTTATCTTTAGTTATCGACACAAACAATCTTAAATAAAAAGATTTAGTACATCATTCAAATGTACAACAGCTTTATCTACTCAAGGTTGTTGCTTTATTCACTCTCAGTATGATTTAATCAGAGTACAATTCATTGTGGTTTGTAAGTCTCTTTAGCTTGAGTGGCATCATGCCAAACTTTACTGTTTGTTTAAAGCATCGAAATTAAAGTCTAAATCATCTACATTTGCTTCTTGGAATGCTGCTATCATGGGTGTCACTATAAGTATCGATGAGCCATAGACGATCGACTCAAGCTACCACTTACCTGAGACAAATTGATTCATTAAAGCAAATTGGTCTGTTCCAGGCACACCTTGATCCTGATGCACTTGAGCAAAATCAGGCTTAAATCGAAACTTATTCTTGTTTCTCTCAAACAGAGATCCATAACGCGTATTGTAAAACCTGGTCAACTGAACAGGTCGTCTTGTGTCTGTCATGGGAATATTGATGTTGAAAGAACCGAGTGATGGCCATGGAGTATCCAGCTTGACAAGATGCTCTATGATGTCGCTGGCTGTTTCACAACAGTTTTGAATACATTCAGGGCGCTTATTACAGAAACAAAAAGACACAGATACTGCTTTTTGATGATTGAGGACGGCTTCTGTAGCAGCACCTACTGTGCCTGAAGCTAACGTAAATAGGCTAGTAGGCATTGAATTACTGTTGTGCTTGTTTGGAGACTGCTTACTTTGAAAAGTTTCTACCGAAATTAGGCCCACTGATAACAAGATCAAACGCTTGGTCTCGGAATAGATGATTCAGAGCAATATTGACACACGTAGCAGGTGTCCCACTTAACAAGAAAAAGTCATTCTCGTTTTCTTTCTCGACAGTTATTTGTTGTGTGATTCTGTTGAAGTATCGAAGGTAGATCTCGTCCTTGATCAGAAAGGACTTGGCGATCCAGGACTTTTGACTGTCTGGTAAGCATACTCTAGAAAGAGTTTAGTTTAAGGTATTTTTTAGCGTTTCTTACTTGACTTCCCAACCGAGACTCTCCAAGTGTTGGACAAAAGGTAAAATAAAAGGAGATTCTTCCCAACTAGGTGGGCCTATTCATTTCTAGATTAGTAAATAAGCTTTTGTTTGTTTGTCTGTATACCATCGTCATTACAAATCAATACTTTCATTTGGAAAAAGTGAAGGAAAGAAGAACAAGTATCATCTATACATCTTTATCGATCGTCCATCTCCTTTTTTTTTCTTGCGGGATTTTATTTTGATTTGATGATAATAATGAATACTTAGAAAGGCAGGGTTACTTTAAGTCTAGTACTTGCAACAATCATGAATTATCATTTGGACAGACATAGTGAGTAAAAGAGACAGACAGAAGATGAACCCACCCAGAGAAATGTAGCTGTTCAATGGATTTCTTTCGATATGAAAAGATAAACAAGTGATCAATTCGTTTTAAAGAAATGCCTTGTTTCTATGTCGCTTTAAAATGAATACACTCATAAAAAAAGAAAGACGCAAAAAGAAGTTGGTCCATGGCGTCTGTTTACATACGATTTGGATTTACCTGAATCGCATAAATAAGTAACGTGACTATTCTTCCTCTACTTTTCTTTATCATGTCTCTCTCTAAAGAACTTGACAACTTGTTATATTGGTCTCAAAAGGCTTCTTCTGTTCAGTTTCATAAACAAAAAAATAAGGCAGTTGAACATGATCTCGAACACGTAAAGAAAAGAAAACTATTACGCGATGCAAAACCTACAGAATATAACTTGAAAGGGCTTTGTGAAAGTGATAAGTCTATTGCACGCAAGTAGGTACAAAAACAAAAGACATCGCCATGTATTGATGACCTCAGATTTGAGGAAGAGATAGCTAGTCTAGAAACAATAACAATAGACAAAAAAGATATTGAACATCGTCTGCAATTACTATTAGACATGAGTGACATGAGGCAAGTCTTGGACAAAAAAAAAAAAGAGAGAAAAATTAAACTCATTATTCATGATAGTGGTAATCCAGACATTCGCAACATGACTCAACATCAACTACACCAATACCAAATGATGGAGGCACGTCTAGAAGAACTACGAACTATACATGAACAAGTGAGTCTTTTATTCAATTCAATGACACACTCATCAGTTAGAATGATCGGGATATTGAAACCCTCAAGAATTCACCTGATCATCTAGACATTACCGATCAAGATATGGGAACCCATTCCCAAGAACTTCAGCAACAAACAGAAAAAAGCAAACAGCTCGAAGCACAATTAACAGAAAAGCGTGCTAAACTGGCTGAATTACGTAAAAGTAAAGCAGAACATCAGCAAATCAATCATAAACTCAGAACGATCCAATTTGACCATTACAAGCATACAGAAAAAGATCAGCATTTAGCTACACTTAAAAGAGATATCAAAGAAAAGAAACAGGCATTAGAAGAATTGTCATCAAAGCAAAAGCACAAGACATACATTGAGACGCTCATAGATCAATTGAATGTGTGTTTACACGATACAAAAGATGCAGTGGATGCAAGTCACTTGTTACAGGCATTTACTACAGTCAAGCAACAATTAGAACAACCACACACTTCCTTCAAGTCATGGTTAGTAGATACGTATTGTGAATTATACTGATGTTGACTCTAGTGATGCCTATCGTCCATTCTTGAATTATGTGGTTGATCGCACTACTGCTCATCCTTTAGATAAACAGCATTTTGCTCGACTGTTTCCTTATTATATGGATCAGGCTATTCATGTACCTGAAGAGCGTCAAGTCAAGGCACGCATTCTATTGAAGCTCATGGATGATGGTGATATGCCATTGACTGATTTAACTGATTTTATAGAGTCTTTTGCTCAAGAAAAAGAACTTGACACAAAAGAGGCTTCTCAGTGTATTCATAAGCTAGTGGGTCAACAACTCATAAGAATAGATCATACTGAGACAGATAGTATTGTAACATTGTTATTATAGACTAAAATAAATGTGATGTACAGTGGTAGATATTGTCGGCTACAAAAAAAAAGTAACTGTAGGTCATTGCTATCACAATTTATGTTTAGATAGAATTGGATGCTATTGTCAGATAGGATTTTATTCATAATGCTCTAAAGCTTGAAGTAGCTAGAGTGTCTACTAAAGATATCCTGAGTTTGAATTGGTATTCGCATGTCAAAAACTAAAATAAAAAAAAATGGACTTTAGAAATTCAAGGGAAATGATGGACTAAAAGTGTCTAAAAACGAAGAGCTATAAAAAAAAAGGGTATTAAAAAAATTGATGGGTATAAATGAGGCGCATCTAATTATGTAAAGAACGCAGCATATCTCATGAAGATAATGGGCTGTCTTTCAAAAACGTATTTTTTGTTTTTGAACTGTAGCGTGCATTCTTAAGGTATTTCTACAAATATAACACTTGGAGTGTGTTTCATAGACCTAAAGAAGCAACTAGTACTAAGACATGTTAAATCAAAAATGTCTCTATCGATCACTAATCGGAAAATAGTGAAGATTTCTTTAGGGGATCATAAGGGCAAAATGACTTTTTCAAAACTTGCTCTATTTCTGCATCAATATGTTCTTTTATGTATGCTCAAACGTAGGAAACTTAAAAAACGGGGAATCGGAAGGTGGAAATGATGGTTTAGTTTGAATAAACAATTGCGAACTGCCAACCTGCAATTGGTACTGTTATTTTTTGTCGGATAAATTCAAAGAAAGATAGTTTATGTTGAAGGTTTATTAGGATTATATAATAAGTTTGATACTCGAAGTGTGCCAAATGGAATCAAAAGTTATTTAGTAGTCACAAAGTATACATGATTTAATATATAGATGCTTAAGCAGTTGGTGTTTAAGTTTATTGTCATTGAAATGTTATTGTACAAGTCTTTTTATTCACCTTCCTCGATTGGGCTCTTGTCCTTTCTATAACCGACAATATCCACCACTCGCACTGTGAAACAACCATATCAGAAAATATCGCCAAGTCTTTTTTTCTAGTCAGACATTATTGGTCCATTTTTAGAACGAAAAAAATAAATAAAGGGTTATGATTAGTAACTTGAAAGCTTATTTAACGAAAGTCGCTTTTTACATACAGATGCGTTAGAGCTATGACAGTGAAGACATTACTACAAAAATCATGCAGTCGTCTTGATAGCTAAGAGTAATTGCCAATGGTACTTCATTGGTTTTATGATATCCCCTCCCCCCTTTCCTGTATCAGAAGCATCTTTCTTCTTTGGAGGAAATTTCATTGATCTTAAAATTGCTGGTTTTAAAAACGATCTGTGTAGAATACTTTGGAATCGTTATTGTTCAGATAAAAAAAAAATGAGCCATTGATATATATATATATATATATGATGAGCCCAGAGCTTTTGTAATACAATGAGCGTAACAAAGAAAAAAATAAGAAAAAAAAAAGAGGTAGGAAACAAAGTAAACCATGCCTATTTGACTGGTATCAGGGTATTCTAGTTGATTATGTAAGACAAAGCAAGGCCATATCGATCTACTGTCATGCGAATCCGCCTTACACTTTTTCGGTAAAGTAAGCTAAACTTCAGTCACAAAAGAATAAACGTCATCTCCATGTGGGTGCCAATCAACATTCACCAATCAAATCTAAACTTGTTTGTTGTACACATAAAGAAATGAATATTTAAAGTCGTATTTTTTTTTCTTTCCTTCTTTTCCTTCTTTATACTTTTTTTCTTTTGTGAATACGTGTGTGCGTTTTTGTGTAAATAGAATTGATATGGATCTTCATAAATCGTTTTCAGCAATGTCAATAAAAGAAGACCAAGACAAAATAGCACCTCCAAGAGTTATGCCACCACGTATTCCAGGTCGTTCAGTGCTTCCACCCATGAGTCGAGCTCCAGGAAGTGCTCCTCCTCGTTTTCCACCACCTACAGGAGGAGGAGGCATGCGAGGAAGAGCACCACCTGGTCGTTTAGGCAACAAGCCTGGTCTAAACTTGTCTCAGTTGGGTCTTTCTCCTAAACCTGAACAAACACCTTTTGCCAACTTTTCAAAATACGTGTATGTTCTCTTTCGTTTTCCTTTATTCATTATTGATATCCCTTTTTCTCTCTCTCTCTCTCTCTTTCTTTTTTTTTTATTCTTTAGTGACCCTTCTGGTAAACTGAATTTTGCTGGCAAGGCTATTATCCATGCAGATGGTGTTGATTTCAGTAACGGAAATAGTTTTACTATCAAGATGGACGACTTGGATTTACAAGAAGAATTGGGCAAGGGACAGTATGGTACTGTACAAAAAGTCAAGCATCGTGTGACAAATGTTACGATGGCTATGAAGGTATGACACATACTATTATTTTGTTCTTCTTGACTCACTTATGATTCTTATAGGAAATTCGCTTAGAATTAGATGAAACAAAACTTCATCAAATCTTGATGGAACTTGATATTTTGCACAAAAGTTCTGGTGAATACATTGTCGAATTTTATGGTGCTTTCTTTATTGAATCATGTGTGTATTATTGTATGGAATATATGGACGCTGGTTCACTTGATAAATTGTACGGAAAAGGTGTGCCAGAAGATGTCTTGGCTAAAATTGCTACTTCTATGGTTAAAGGCCTTAAATTCCTTAAAGACGAACTATCTATCATTCACAGAGGTATATATAGTCATACTCGGTCCCTTTATATCTCACTCATCTTTTTGTTAGATGTTAAACCTACCAATGTATTGGCAAATATAGAAGGTCAAGTTAAATTATGTGATTTTGGTGTATCAGGACAATTAGAGAAATCCTTAGCAAAAACAAATATTGGTTGTCAAAGCTATATGGCTGTAAGTGGCATTACTCTGATGATCTTACCTAACTTTGTTGCATAGCCTGAACGTATTAGAGCTGCTAATACTTATTCAGTTTCTTCAGATGTATGGTCATTAGGTATCTCACTTGTTGAAATAGCAATTGGTTGTTACCCTTACAAATATGACAATATGTTTGCTCAACTAAAAGCCATTATTGATGATGAACCACCCGCTTTACCTGCTGATTCATTCTCAGAAGAAGCGAGGGACTTTGTCGCTTCTTGTCTTCAAAAAGATCCACTCAAGAGACCTGCTTATGCTGATTTGTTGGAACATCCTTTTATCAAGAAATATGAAGATGTTGAAGTTGATATGGCCAAATGGGCTCGTGAAGCATTTGAAGCAAGAACAGCCTAAGATTATATTTATATTCCCTTATGAAATGCTCTTTAGCATAAATAAAGATTCTTTCTACGTTGATTACATAATGATTTACACATCGTGTGTGTGTGTGTGTGTATATATGTGTAACTTGGTTGAGTCATAGGGCTTATTCTTATTTGAGCGGATTCTCTCTTATTATTATTTTTTTTTTTTCCTCATCTCGAAATATACGTTATGACAAGTACAGAGTTTAGTAGTCCTTTAAGAAAGTACAAGTTAGTCTTTCTCGGTGAACAAAGTGGTATGTTGAATAAACAAATAAAAACAACAAATTCTAAAATGGTATTAGTTGGTAAAACGTCACTTATTACTCGTTTTATGTATGATACGTTTGATAATACTTACCAAGTAAGTCTTGCATGAAAATAAACACACTGTACAAAACTTAGTTAGGCTACTATTGGTATTGATTTCTTGTCAAAAACCATGTATTTAGAAGACAAGACAGTTCGTTTGCAATTATGGGATACAGCTGGACAAGTAAGTCAACCCCTATGTGTATGTGTATTCATATGGTTTATTAGGAACGTTTCCGTAGTTTGATTCCTAGTTATATTCGCGATTCATCTGTTGCTGTGATTGTATATGATATTTCAAGTAAAGAGTATAGAATACGATGGTATTGTTATTAATATAGGATAGATCGTCAATCTTTTATGAATACTTCGAAATGGATTGATGATGTTCGAGCTGAAAGAGGTGATGATGTGATTATTGTCCTTGTAGGCAACAAGTCTGATTTAAGTGACAAAAGGTAAGAAGAAAAAAAGAAGAAAATAGGATGCTTATGTTTGTACAGAGAAGTCACTGTGGAAGATGCAGAAAAGAGATCCAAGGAATTAAATGTGATGTTTATAGAGACAAGTGCAAAGGCAGGACATAATGTCAAGGCTTTGTTTAGAAAGATTGCTCAATCTTTACCTGGTATGGAGGGTGGTCAACAACCAGAACAAAGAGATGCCAGTAAGTTGACTTGTTTGAAATCACCCATCATAACTCCTTATTAGTGCAAAAAATCAACTTGAATACAACTGAAACAGAATCCAGTGGATGTGCTTGTTAATATTCCCCCCCTTCTCTCTCTCCCTTCTTAGAAAAATAAATATAAATATATAGGTTTATTACAGGTAAAAGTTTTTAACATCATTTGCACCAAAGGGTTCACTACAGGTAGGGCATCTTCTCTGTCTTGTCTCTAGTCTTGCATCAATACAATGTTTACAGAATGTATGCATGCATCGTGTTAGAATATGTGTTCTGAACCTTTGACGACAAGTACTGCATTTTAATAATGCCTACATGATGTCCTATAAGTCAATGTAGCATAGCTGTCTTACTTACTCTTAATTCTTCACATTCGTCAATCAATTGTTGTTCTGCTGGATTGTCGCCTTGTGCAATCTTGTCCCATTTCTTCTTTAGTTTTTCATAGGTTTCTTCTGCCTGTGTCTGAAGTTGCTTTTCATCTTCAAATGCTTTTGTCTTTTCTTTTAGCATTTTTTGTAATTCATTCAACATGAGTTCATTATGTTCAATAGAAATACGGTAATCTTCACATAAATGATTAATGTCTTCTAAGTCTGTCTTGTCTTCTTCTATGGTTCGTTTTAATTTACAAATCTTTTCTTCTTTTTCGCTCTAAATAAACAAATATTATGAACAAGCCAATCAATAGACAACTTTTACCACTTGACGTTCAAGTGTCTTTTCTTTCTCTTCTAGTTGTTTAATCACTTCTTGACGAGCATCTTTTGTTGATCTTAGTTTAGTGACTGTCATGATGAGCTTTTCTTTATCATTCATCAATTGGTGGAATGTTTGAGCATATTTTAGTTTCTATGGATACGTTAATTTTTGAATGGCCAATGCACCCCCCACTTACCTCTGCTTGTAGTTTAGAAGCTTGTTCTCGTTTATGTGCAATATCATATAGTTTCTTTTGTTGTTGTTCTTCTAATTTGTTGTAAATACTGGCTACTCGGTCAATTTCTTCTAGTAAATGACTCTCGTTCTTTTCAAGGAATTCAATCATCAATGAAGACTGCTGTGATTCCATCCATAGTGCATCAAATGTCTCGATCAAAGGATGCGTCTTCCAACGCATAAAACCCTCTCGATTGGTAGATACATCACCACACGATTCTTTCTTTTCAATCATCTCTAGACTAGACAATAAGACACGCATATGACTATCAAATCAACAAAGAAGCGTTAAACCATAGCTGTTACTTGTTGACATTACCTCAAGTTTTCTTTTAGTTGATTAAATGTGTTGGCTTCTTTGGCAAATGGTCCAGCCACTTCTTGCTCTGCCTTCAATTTCTCAATGCGAGACAAAAGAGCGGCTACACGCATTTTACCTTGATTCGCAAACGACACGATCTTGTCTTGCATTTCTTTCTCTCTTGTCTCTTTTGATTTCTGTTCATCCACCAACAATTGAAAATGATCACGTTGGCCTCGGATACGAGTCAAATCATTCTCTAATCGGCGCATCTCTGCTTCCATGGCTATGCCTTGAGCCACTTTCTCAGACTTGACTTGTTCCACTAATTGTTGACGTGCAGACGTGATCTTGTCTGTCTCTCGTTCCATCTCCACACGACGCTGATCCAGATGAAAACAGCGATCTCGGTAATGTTCAATATTGAGTTTGAGTGTCTTGACATACTCTGTTTCAGCAAGACGATCTTCTCCCATCGTAAACAAATTCAACAGACGCTCTTCTTCTCGCAACAAAATCTGTCGTTCTCGTTTCAGTGTGTCGAATTCTTTTTCTCTGAGTGACAAGATCAGTTTTTGTTCTTCCAATGGATGTTCTGGGGGTTGATCTTGAACTGCTTGTGTCTCTTCTTCTTTTGGTGCGACTTGGTTGGCTTCTGTTAACGTGGGTTCGTGCGCCATGTCCCCTAACCCACCAAACCGTAAAGCAGCCACCACTTTACTCTTGGCCCTGTCGTGTCGTTTCCATACGGCATGGAGTTCATGAAGACCGTGTTCCAATCGTTCAACAGATGCATCTAATTCGGTTTTGACCATCTGTACATTGCCTTTGACGACATCTGTTTGATCAAGTAGGCTGTTCAAGTGTTTCTGAAGATCCATCATGACATGTTGACCTCGTTTATAAGCAACACCCAACTCTTTGATTTCATCTTTCAGCCAGTCCGATACAATCACTTGTTGAAGCATCGTGTCGTCTTGTGCACGGAAATTGTGTTCCATCAGCTCGAGTTGTTGAGTCCATGTCTGAAGACGAGTCCATACTTTTGTGCAGAGTTGTTTTATGGCCATTTGGTTGGTGTCGTTCCATTCTTTTTGTTGATCCAGTGTCATTTTACGAACAGGAATGGCTATCACTAGATCAATAACAGGGGTGTCATGCCCTATCAACTTACCTGGTGGTGGTGGTGTATCAACAGCCACCAAGAGTTTGGCCATAAAAGTAATTTCGGATTGAATCTAAAAAAAAGGGAGATCAGTCCATTGCTTCGAGTCCTAAAGCTTACCAAACTCCAGTCGATACGTAGCAAACTTTGCTGTATTTCTCGATCAATGTATCTCTCATGTGTTTTTTCTAATTGTTTCTCATCATGATGTAGTTTATCCTAAGAAGTATAAATAAAAAGTAGTAGTAGTTGGTATCATGCACTTGCCTTTTCTGTACGCATATGTTGTAACAATTCAGTTTTTGTATAATCCACATTGTCCTATAATCATAAATATCCAATGTAGAGTGGGGATAAAAGTGTCTACTTACAGAGATAATAGAAGGTACTGGTACTGGTGGTGATGGTGTTGCTGGAATGGGTTCCACATTAGGTTCAGTAGGCGTCACAGGTTGGATATGATAAGATCCTGTAAATCGTTTCTTTAAAGGAGGTCTAGAGACAGGTGGTGTAGTTACAGAAGAACTATCGCCTGATTCTTCTTTTAAATGTCTCTTTTCAGGTTGCATGGGCATAGTATATATATATATATATATCTTTAAAACGAGAGAGAGAAAAAAAGCGGAAAAAAAAATAATGGACAGTTATATATATATAAAAAAAAAAAAAAAAAACTCTTTTCAACTAGTTCATGATGAGTGATAATTACAATTATGGTAGTTCTCGAAAACGTTATGAATGGAAAGATGAATACACATCACAAGGATTTGCTCCTAGAGATAAAGCATTAGAAAAAGAATTGTTTGGTGTTGATACACACGTTCATAGTGGTCTTCATTTTGATAAATATGAACACATTCCAGTTCGTGTCAAAGGTCAAAATCCACCCCCTAGCTTTGAGTGCGTAAGTAGACGAGGTAGAGACAAGACACTGATACTGATACGGTTTAGTTTGATGATGCCAATCTGCATCCTTGTATGAAGGAAAACATCGCACTTGCTCGTTATGCGAAGCCTACACCTGTTCAAAAGTACTCGATTTCTATTGTTACTGCGGGTCGAGACTTGATGGCTAGTGCTCAAACAGGCTCTGGTAAGACAGCTGCTTTCTTGATCCCTACATGTTCGAGTTTGTTTAGTCAAGCACCTCAGTTGATCACGCGTGCTGCTCCTCATGACAAGCGATTCAAAGTGAAGCCTCTTGTGTTGATCATTGCTCCTACCAGAGAATTATGTACACAAATCTTTGATGAAGCCAGACGCTTTTGTTATCGAAGTATGCTTAGACCTTGGTAAGTTCATGGTCTGTATGGCAATCATATGTTGATCCATTTGTTTAGTTGTGTGTATGGTGGTGCTGGTCCAGTAGGTCAATTGAGAGAATTAGAAAAGGGCTGTGATGTCTTGGTGGCTGTGCCTGGTCGATTAATGGATTTCATTGATCGTGGCAAGATTGATTTATCCAACGTACGTTATTTAGTCTTGGATGAAGCAGATCGTATGTTGGATATGGGTTTTGAAGGATCCATTCGTGAAATTGTAGAAAGAAAAGGTAAGGCAGACTCGAATGAACTCCCCAAGATTGATGGCAAGTTAGGCATGAATAAGAACAGAACGACCTTGATGTACTCTGCTACTTTCCCCAAAGAAATTCGTGCTTTGGCAAGAGATTTCCTTAAGCCTGATTACTTGTTCCTAAAGGTGGGACGTGTAGGTGGTACTACCACAGACATTACTCAGCGCGTGATGTGGGTAGAAGAATCCGAAAAACGCACCAAGCTTAAAGAAGTCTTATTGTCTCAACCTCCTTGTCGTACCTTGATCTTTGTGGACACCAAAAGACAAGCAGACACGATTGACCAATTCTTGTACAATGCTAATTTGCCCAGTACTTCTATCCATGGTGACCGAAGTCAACGTGAACGTGAAGATGCCTTGCTTGCGTTTAAGCGAGGCAATTGTCCTATCTTAGTGGCTACTGCTGTTGCTTCCCGTGGTCTTGATGTTCGTAATGTGATGCATGTCATTAACTATGACATGACCAATTCGATTGATGAGTATATTCATCGTATTGGTCGTACTGCTCGTGTAGGTAATTCTGGTTTGGCTACAAGTTTCTTTAATGACAATAACCACCCTGTGGCTACTGACTTGACCAAGATCTTGATTGAATGTGAACAACAAGTACCTAGTTTCTTGGAGAAATATCGTACCAAAAATATGCGTTTTAAGGATGATGAAGATGATGATTATTAAAGTTTATTTTTCAGCATCATAAGTAAACTTTCTAGAGTCCAATTCTAATGTAACAGGGCCTATTGGATAATAAGAATACACATACACACACACACACACATGCTGTTTGTATTACCATCATTAGCAATATCCACAAGCATCATGGCACCAAATACACCATCTGTTTTTGATTAGTGCTTATGTCATAAGAGAATGAGCTTGCCTTGGATCTTGGATGGTTCATATGCTTTTCCTAGTTTTGTCAGGAATTGTTGATACATGGCTTTGGCAGGTTCTGCCTTCATGGCCCTATGAAAATCAGGCTTGTTGCCCTTGACAGCAGTACCCTGAAGTGTGAATTGGGACACTAAGATTCATGAGTCTTGCATCTGATGCTCATACATTACCACACAAGAGTTCTAGACCAGCATCTTTTACTCCCTTTTTCCACATGACACCATTGTCATCAAACACTCGTACATTAAGGATCTTATTGACCATATAATCCACATCTTTGTCTGTATCATCAGTGGCAATACCCAACAAGACACAAAGACCCTGTTGAATAGAGCCTACGACTTGGTTATCGACTAATCTTGTGTCAATAACTACATGTTGATCAGGAACCAGCGTTACCTGTGACACTGGCTTTCGTCACTCGTTGAATTACTGCTCTCATTGTCAATAAAAAAAAAAGGGGAGGAGGAATCCCAGTCATAAAGAGAAATACTATTTTATTTAAAAAATAAAAAAAAAAATAAAAAAAAAATAAAAAAAAAATAAAAAAAAAAAAAAAAATAGAAAAAATAAAAAAAATATAACTGTACTTACCCTTATATTCTATAAACAAACAGATAAACAAACAGACTCATGTTATTCTCAATATCAAATATACACACACACTCTTATAAGTAATCCACATCAATTGAAATCTCTGCTAAATCCACTCGGTTTTAAATAGTTCAAAGCATTTATATTTCGACGCGTGTTTAATTAATAAAAACATAGAGGAGCTTTATCGACGGTATGGTTCAGGTGAGTCGCGTCTGTATCCACGGCTGTCCATAGGGGGTGGAGGAGGGGGTGCGGCATCTACAAAATGATCAGTATGTTATCCAAACACGTATACCCAAACTTACAAGGATCATTCATAGAACGATCATCCAAGGGAGGAGGTGGAGGGCCACCAGGACCACGTCTAGATGCAGGACGATGTTGATCTTTTTTAGAAAGACCAATATCCCAATCAAGTCTTAAACGACGTCCTTCAACACTGAATCCATCAAACTTTTCATAAGCATCTTCAGCATCACGACGTTCTTCAAATTCGACAAAAGCAAAGCCCTTGTTTTTATTTGTCATGTTGTCCATAGGTACCGTAATTGACTTTAAGCGACCATAACGCTCAAACATGGAAGCAACCTAAACATATTAGTTTGACTTGATGCTCCTATGCCTACTTACATCACGTTCAATAAAGTCGTAAGGCAGGTTGCCGGCATAAATGGTCGTGGTTGTCTTTCTTTCTTGTTCAGTACCTCTGTCCACAGGTCTTCGCTGTCTTGATTTAGGTGGGTAACGGCTTCTTCTGTCATCATAACGATCATAGCGGTCTCTATGGTCATATCCACGGTGATGATGATGGTGGTGATGATGGTCATATCGATCATGGTAATAACGGTCATTATAACGATCTCTGCTACTGCCTTCATAATAATCATCACGGCGTGAATAAGGATCATATCGACTTCTAGAGCTATAACGATCATCATCACGGTAAGAAGAAGAACGTCTATTGTCATCATAATATCTGCTTCTGCTTGAAGAGCGGTGAGGAGATAAAGAACGATCGCGTCCACCATGAGGAGATCTGCCTGGAGAAGAAGGTATACCTGAAGATGCAGGTGGAGGGGGTGGAGGAGGATAGTCATCCTGTGTTTGTTGTGATTGATGTAAAGGTGAAGCTTGATCTGCCATGGTAAGGATGAAAAGGAAGAAGAAGAAAAAAAAATAACAAAAAAATGACCCCGACACAATCCATCCAGTGAACGCACACAAGCCACTCAACGCGTCATTCCCTATTTTGCCTAATAGGGATAAATTGCCCGATAAATCTTATTCAGGTACTGAAAAGATTGATGTCAACTTGGTATCATCTAAATGGAGTAATTGAATTAGTTTAAAAGCAACATGAAACTAAAATTATCCGGGTAGGGAATTTGTATAAACATATATATATATATAAACAAGGCGTTTCTCTTTTTTCTTTTTATTTATTCCCCCTATTAACTAACAATGCCTGAATTTCCCAATAACAATACTTCATTTGTACTTCAAAAAGTGAATGAAATCACATTTGTAAGTCCAGGATTATGTTTAGAAAGTGCATACTTAATAAGTCCAATAGGAAGATAGACCTATTCCTAAACCTGGTCATGGAGGTAAGCAATAACAACTGTGATGGCTCTAAATATTGGCTAGAGGTCATTGTGAACATTAAGGCTACTGGTATTTGTGGTTCCGATGTGCATTATTGGAAACACGGTCGTATTGGACACTTTGTCTGCCATGGTCCTATGGTCCTTGGCCATGAATCAGCAGGCATTGTTGCTTCTGTAGGAGAAGGCGTCACGCATCTCCAAGTAGGTGATCCAGTGGCCCTTGAACCCGGTGTCCCTTGTCGTAACTGTGAGATGTGCAAACATGGTAAATACAACTTGTGTCCAGACATGGTCTTTGCTGCCACACCTCCTTATGATGGCACACTCTGTCAATTCTATCGACACGCCGCTGATTTCTGTTACAAGCTACCTGATCATGTCTCGTTTGAAGAAGGTGCGTTAATTGAACCTTTATCGGTCGGTATTCATGCCACGCGACGTGGTGAAGTCAAATTGGGGATCGTGTGTTTGTGTTTGGTGCTGGTCCGGTGGGTCTCTTGACAGCTGCTGCTGCTAAAGCCGCGGGTGCCTCTCATGTGACCATAGCCGATATTTCTGAAACTCGCTTGACATTTGCTCAATCGTACGTGGCTGATGCTGTGATTCATATGACAGCCAAACCTCCTCAAGGCGATACCAATGCATTTGCACAACAAGAAGCAACCAGATTGTTAGAAAAGACTTTACCTTGTGATGTCGTGTTTGACTGTACGGGTGTTGAAGTGTGTGTTCAAATGTCTGTCTTTGTAAGTGATATGCTACCTATTCACTCTATTGATGCATCTATCTAGCTTGTGAAAAACAGTGGTCGTATTGTACTTGTAGGCATGGGTGCCTCTGTTCAATCGATTTCTGTTGCTGATGTATCTGCTAGAGAAGTCGATGTGAAGGGTGTGATGCGATATTGCAATGTAAGTAAGCATGATACACTTATAGGAATCTGAACTCCAATTAGACATATCCTACTGCCATTGAAATGTTGGCGAGTGGTAAAATTGATCTCACCTCATTAGTGACACACCGTTATTCATTCAAGGAATCTTTGGAGGCTTTCAAGCACGTAAGCGAAGGCCGTGCAGGCACAGTCAAGGTGGTTATCTTGAATGAATAAATATTTTTTGTGTGTAACAGGCATGATTCAAGCAAAATCGCTTTTTATTACACAAAAAGACACGCCATTATTATGTCATCATAAATGTTGACTATTTAATAATAAAAAAAGACTTTTCTTTTATTCTTTTCTCTTTACAAGGATGACTGATTACGATCAAAGAAAATACGATATTGGTAAATAAAATGTATATAGAATCAAAACTTATTCTGTCTTAAAAAAAAAAGTGGTGTTTGGTGCTACTGGATTTACAGGTGCATTAACTTGTGAATATTTAGCAGAAATTAAAGACAAAGTAAGTCAATTCGTGTTGAAGGCACAAACTTAAGCTGAGCAGGATCTTTCATGGGCTCTTGCAGGTCGCACTTTAAGTAAACTCGAAAAAACTCGCGACCGTCTTGTTGAACTCGACCCTTCATTGAAGGTAAAATAACTATATATATATATATAAAAAAAGGATTATTCATCCTTTACAATAAGTCTTTGAATCTTCTGATTGCAGACACAAATCAACCAGAGACATTAGACGAAGCTTTATCTCAAACACGCGTTGTCATTAGTACTGTAGGACCTTATACAAAGTATGGTACACCACTTGTCGAAGCCTGTCTTCGTCAAAAGACACATTATGTGGATTTGACAGGTGAATATGGATGGACTAAATACATTATTGAACAACACGACAAGGAAGCAAAAGAAAAGCATGTCATGATTGTACCTTCTTGTGGATTTGATTCTGTACCAAGTGATATGGGTGTCTATATGCTTTCAGAACATATGAAAAACAAGCATCATCTGGACCTTGCCTCGGTCAAGATGTCCCTTATAAAAGCAGTAGGTGGCTATTCAGGTGGCACCGTTCAATCCCTGATGGAAGCTGCTACTGACAGGTCCTTGACCTATCAAGATCATGTTGACCCTTATTTCTTGGCCACACGTCGAGGTGTCGATAAGTTCCAATTACCTCCTTTTAAGCGGGATCATGATTTTGGTAACCGATGGCAAGGATTCTTCGTGATGTCTGTGGTCAATGAAAGAGTAGTCAGACGCAGTTGGTCTATCTGGGCTGACCGTGGCAAGAGTTATGGCAATTTGTTTAGTTACAGAGAATACATGTCATTCCCTTTTGTGCCTGGATTGGTGTTCACAGCACTTTTGTATGCTGTTGTACCCTTGTTTAGTTTGATGTTTAGAGTCTTTCCTTCTTCGGTGGATAAGGTCAAGTCTCTTTTGCCTGGATCAGGTGCCGGTCCTGATGCAGAACAAAGAGCCAAAGGTGAATTTACCATTGAATTTGTGGCTACAGCTGAAAATGAGCCTTATGATGAACCTGTTCGTGCGAGAGGCACTGTCAAGGGTAAGTCATTGATTATGGTAGATGTAGGCTAATATGATACCTATAGGCTTCAGAGATCCTGGTTATGGTGATACCTGTCGTATGATTGCTGAATCTGCTTTGTGTATTGTCAAGAGCTTAAGAGAACTTCCTGGAAAAGAAGGTGGTATCTTGACACCTTCCACTGCCTTTGGTCAAGTCTTGATTGACCGTTTAACTCAACATGGAGGCATGGTTTTTGATGTCAAAGATATATAATAATAATAATAAATTTTATTGTTTCAAGTTGATATCTTTTGCAATCAATTGTGCTGCAATAGGATGGTAAAAGTTCTTGTGTTTTAAGAAGGTTTCTTGAGCTAAAGTAGCACCGTTCTTGGCATTGTAGAGATAACGGTAAAGAGGACGCACAAATTTCATACGACCTTGTTGGGTGATAAATTCAACCACACTAGGGTAAATCTTTTCGTAACTGGACATGACACAGAGTTGCTCCCAACGGAAACGAACATCAGCATTACGAATAGGACTCATGTCATACAATTCGTCCATCTTACTGAGTACATGGTGAGGTAAGGGTTCACAATCCGTCAATCGTTCTAAAAAGACAATCTTTTGAGTGGATGTAAAGTGCTTGATGTCCTCAGGCGAGAACTGAGAAAGATCCGTGGCATGGCGAGCTTGGTCCCAACGGGTAGCGAGATTATAACAAGCATCAGCAAGGCTGGTATCAAAGTTGGGATCAACAGGAGGCATGCCTGTGCTGTTAATCCAGAGATCGAAATCAATCGTCTTCAATTTATCAAGGACTTCTTTACCGTGATTGGACTCCATGTATTCGTGAAGATGAGATAACCATTCTTCAGTCGTGATGGACTTGGAGGCAAAACGTTCTACATGGGCCTTCATGTAAGGCTCAAATACAGCAGGGCCACCCACTGTCTTTTCAATATGATAAAGCAAATTGAAGCCTTTTTCTATTGAACCAACGGTTAAACATATTCAAGTGATGTGTTGCCTACCATAAGGAATCGAACTAAAGTAATCATCAGGATCAATACCACTGCTTAAATCAGGCTTCAAGACAGTAGCAGGAGAATCAGAACCAAAGAGTTCAACGCTTTCCTTCAAAGCCTTCCAACCAATAATGGAACTGAATTGTCTTTCAGGTTCACCATGAAGACGAGCTTATATTGCGTCAGTCACTGCCTCTTTCAATGAAGGAAAACACTTACCAGCAATTTTACGTTCAATAAAGACAGTCCAGCCTTCATTCAACCAAAAGTGTTCCCAATTAGCTGTAGTCACCAGATTACCCATCCAACTATGAGCAATTTCATGAGCAATGACATCGACAGCACTCTTGTCACCTAAATATGACATCTTTTAGTTATTTTGTCTAAATACGGTTATTTTTTTCTCTTTTTTACCTGCCAAGAGAGTAGGTGTGACGAAGGTCAAACAGGGATTCTATTCCATAGTTTTAAAAAAAAATTTTTTTTTCTCAACCCTACTTACTTCCATACCACCATAAGGGAAAGAAGGAGGCAAGACCAAAAGATCATAGCGACCCCATTCATAAGGTGTTAAAAGACTTTCACCAGTAGCAATGAATTTTTCAGTATCCTAATATGGTGTTGGTACCCTCCTTTTTTTTAAGCACGTTACTTACATCAAATTCCCAAGCAGCTTGTTCAATCACTTCAGGTTCACACCACACAGTAGAGCGAGGACCAATCTCACGACCGACTAAGTTACCTGCACCAATGGCAATCAAATAAGAAGGAATGGTTGTATTTTGCTTGAAATGATAGGTCTTGGTGCCATTGCCATTGTCATCCACAGACTTCAAAAGGGCAGACATGACTACTGGCAAAGGTGAAGTAACACTAGCAGAATAAGTCAATTTGATACTGGGGGAATCTTGGATAGGAGACATAGCACGGCAATGGATCTATCGCTTGATTTAAGTTGAATGTCATACACAATGCTTACTTACAGCTTGACATTGAGAGAACAAGTAAGGATGCTTTTTACCAACAGTTTGTCTATAGCCTCATGAATAACACAACCTCATTCATTATTTGACTTACTCAGGTTCCAAGTATTGAATAGCAGTACATTTGTCTGTGGTAGAGTAATCTACCTTGAGTTGGAACTTGGTACCAGCCTTTTCGATGGTTTCGGCAAGTGTGACAGTCAAGGCAGAACCAAGGCTCAAATGGCGATCAGCCACAGTATACTACTATAGTTTAATATAGTATTCATCACTTTTTTTTTTTTTACCTCAAGATCCTTTCCATTCAAGGAAACACCTTGTAAATCAAGATAACTTGTATCCAAGACAACCTTGTTCACATTGGGGGCCAAAGTCACTAAATCCAGAATAACATGACCATTGATTTTCTTTTCAGTAAAAGAAATAGTCCAGTTAAAATGGACATGTTCAGTAAAGATTTCAGAAAGATTGGAAAGACTGCTAGGGTCAATAACTTGAACCATAATATAGATAGAGCAGAAAAAAAAAAGAATTTTTCTAAAGGGAAAAAAATTTAAGTAGCCCTTTTTTTTTTTTTTTTTTTTTTATTTTTCTATCTCACGTTCAAAGATGTCGGCCAATAAAAGCGCGTTTCTGTTATCTTTTGTACTTGTCCGTGAGAATAATCTTTTGAGTCTCCTTTCTAATTTTTCCAAAGTTATACACGCATCAAGAGACAGAGAAATGACGCGTATTTGATCGAAAACAGTGACGTCCTTATGCAACTGAATTTTTCTCATTTTCTCTTCCTTTTCTTCTTCTCATAAACATGTCAAAGGTAAGAATACACGAAAGGCTACAGTAGATTGATATAGACCAATAGTCTGTTTCTCAAGACAAGTTGGATATCTCAGAAGTTTCTTTTGGTGCTGGTGCTATCTCGGGCAATTATGATACTTTTAGTCAAACAGACGTTGTAGAAGCTTGTAAAGAAGCTCTTTCTTCAGGTACGTTGCTTTAACTCCTTTCCTCCTCCTCTATACATGACTAACTTCTACATTCAGGCATTAACTTGTTTGACACTTCTCCTTATTATGGCAAAAGTGAATTTATTTTGGGTGATGCTTTACACGAAATCAAGGATGAATTCCCCCGTGAACATTACTATATTTCTACCAAGGTGGGTCGCTATGGTTACACGACTAAAGAGTGTGATTACAGTGCCAAAAGAACGTATGAAAGTGTTGCTGAAAGTATGCGACGTCTTCATACAGACTATCTCGATATCGTCTACTGTCATGATGTTGAATTTGTTCCCTTTGAACACGTCATTGGTCCCAACTATGCTTTGGAAGCTTTGTTTGATTTAAAAGCACAAGGAAAGATCAAGTACGTGGGTTGTTCAGGTAAAAGAAATGAATTCGTCCTGTAATCTTATCTGATCTATTTGACCATAGCTTATCCCCTCGATATCTTACTCAAGGTAGCAGAACATCAACATGCCAAGGGACAACCCTTGGATATTGTTCTCTCTTATTCTCATTATACACTTCAAAACACTTCATTTGCTGACTATGCTCCTAAATTCAGAGCTGCTGGTGTTCGTTACCTTATCAATGCTTCTCCTCTCTGTATGGCTCTTTTACGTGATGATAAGACACCTGATTGGCATCCTGCTCACAGTGGTATTCGTGAAGCTGCTGATAAAGCCGCTGCTATTGCTCGACAGAATGGTCTATCGATCTCTGATTTGGCTTCTCGTTTCTCATTCCAAGGCAGAGACCAATTCCAATTGGACTCTACCTTGATTGGTCTTGCAAGAAAGTCCGAAGTTCAAGATGCAGTGCGTGTCTGGAAAGATTCAAAGCGTGACAACACACCTGTTGAAGACAAAGTGCTTGAACAAATTCATGCTTTATTCAAACCACACAAGAACTACTCATGGCAAAGTCCTAGTAATAAAGAATTAGGTTTGGCATAAACTATTTTTTTTATTGTCATTAAAACTAAGCACCATAACCACGAATGTTTTCTGCAAAAGCCCATTCAGTATCCAATGAATAAGGCTCAGTGATTTCTAAACCATGTTCAGTAATCTTTGCTCTTTGAAACTAATCATATGAATCAGTATGGCTCTTTTTATTGTTAATAGTAGTAGCTTACCTTATTCATGGATCTAGCATCTCTATAGAACAAGACACGTAAACATTCATTCATTATCTCAATAGCTTCTTCCTCTGTCAATTCATCCTCTCTTCCTTCAACCTTCTTTCTCAAAATAGGTTGTGCTAAATGTGAGCCAAATCCTGTAGCAATTGTTGTTGATTGATAAGTTGTGCCTCTTAAATCAACATAACCCAGGAACTTTTCGCCCTTGTGCACTCCACCAACAACCAAAGCATTCCAAAGAGGATTGAATTTAGATCTTCTGTTGTACATAACTCTCCACAAATACTCGTAGATGTGTGGAGTACCTAAAACATGTCCATCATCAGCGCAATGTTCTTTCACCCTATGTCACATGATGAGTATGATGGATAAACATGTAATCGATTGTTTACATGACAGAGTCCAAAAGGTGTTGAATGTATTGATAGTCTGAAATATCTCCAGAGGCACCAACTACAGTATGTTCACCAGCAGGGTACAATCGTTTGATATCACGGAAACGAGCCAAGGAACCATATGAACCTATAGACACACATGAACATATGTACGAATCAACTCATTATCTATTACCGAGCATGTCTGCAGCCATCATGATGCCGTCTCTATATTTAAAAGCAAGCACTGAAGTACCTGTAACAATAGGTGCTCTATATACATATAGAAAAAAAAAAGAAAGTGAGTTTGAGTAAGTCTATTACTGACATGAATAACATACTGAGTGTGAGTGGTAGGTCCATGAGCAGATTGACTTAAGTGGTCAGGAACAGATTGATACAAAGGCACCGTGTTATAGGCATCAACGTTTTCAGAGCGAGGCTTGCCCCAGTGAGAAGGAAAATGGTCCATGATGAATAAAATAGAAAGAGAATAAAAAAGAGTAATCTACACAACGTAATTCGTATAGACGCGTCGTCGTCGTCACCTAAATTCATGCTGCAGGATGACGCAGCGTGTTCCCATCCAATCAAATGAGCGATATGAATGCATTTTGATTGGTTAAGGAAAAGGCAAAGATCAAGAAAATCAGGCTAGATATAGAGTGAACAACTTCCACCTCATTGGATCTATTGAATGTGTTAATGCCAAGCCTAATTGATTTATACATGCCAATCCTTTATTATCTTTTTCAAAGTATAAATTATGATTCGAGCTATGCTTTCTATAGCAAATTACCTCTATAAGCTTCACAACAAAGAAATAGAGTGATTGCGCAGCTCTACTATTTCTGTTGTGCATAAGGATTAGCTTTTGCTTAAAAAAAAAAGAAAAAAGAAGGTATTTAATCTTTTTTTTTTCCTTTTTCCTTTTGCTCTTTTCTTTTTACTCCTTTATTTTTCTTCGATTATGCTTCATCCTGCTATATTATTTGGAGGGTTCTTTATGATTGCAGCAGGTGTTACTGGCTATACAATATTTCAAGTATTACAAGAGCAAGAATTTTGCCAAGAAGACTACCCAGACATGTTTCGCTATAGTCATGATTTTGATTTTCATGATATGAATGAGAAGCAAGAAGTATTTACTAGTGATCGATATGATCTAGTTCAAGAAAACACAACACTACGCAACAGAAAATTACCTCAAGAAACACAAGAGGTAATGCATATATACTAAAAACCATGATTGTTGACATGTAATGATAGACTGCGGAACAAGAATTAAAGCAGCTGGAAGAAAGTCTAACTGAAAGAAAACGAAGACTATTGGCTGAACAAGCTTTCTTGGACAGAGAAGAAGAACAACTTCGTCAAAGACAAAATGAATTGATGCAAAATGAACAACAGTTGAATCATGTGACTGATTCGCAAGCCAATACACCCTCTGTTGCTGCTATTGAAAATCCCTTCTTTGATAATCATGATACTTCGAGTAGCGAAGATGATGATGATGATGATGATGATGTGAATGATAGCCATAATACTATCTTGGTTCATGAAACAACAGTAGATACGCCAAACCATGATGAGGTGGCATCAACCTACTCTACAAGTATCTTGGATTTAAGCAACCATTCCTTGTCAGATAGTATCCAATCACCTCGCCTTATTGCTTCTTCTGACTCTGAAGAAAGTTGGGATGCTATGAGTGCTGGTGAGCTGAATGAATTAAACAGCCGCCGTGAATCCACTCATTGGGATGAATAATAAAAATGTGCTATTGTGGCTTGCTTATCTTACGCAATAGTGCTCGTTACACGATGCTTATGTGCTATACATAAACACTTATGAATACAAATAAAACGACTCCGTAATTTTCTTTTATTCATCTCAATGTTTCAAAGTGATAGTCTGTAGCATAAATAAAGCCAAACAACAGAGTGTGGGATTGTAATTTGATATATTTGGAACATCTTTATGCTGTGTAACTAATCAGATGTCGTACACGAATTACATCAGGCGAGGGAATACATAATTTTATAATGCGCGCGTAATTCAATCGACTATTACGACAGCAAGCAGGGTCTTATAAATCAAGATTTGAATTTCGGTCAATCGAGATTAAGATAAATAGGCAAGCCATTTTGAAGCATTTTGCCCAACAATCTCTCTCTCTCTCTCTCTCTCTCTCTCTCTCTCTCTCTCTCTCTCTCTCTCTCTCTCTCTCTCTCTCTCTCTTTATCATGTCTGTTACAAAAATTACTCAATTCCCTTCTACTGGTGAAGCTGGTAAATTCAAGTCAAACACAATCGATGTTCCCAAGTTGGGCAGTCATGACGCTCTTATCAAGTTAGTCGCCTGTGGTGTTTGCCATACTGACTGTCTCTATATGGGTCAAGATGGTATTGTCTTAGGTCATGAACCTATTGGTAAAGTCATTGAAGTGGGTGATCTAGTCAAGAACATCAAAAAGGGTGATCTTGTTGGTACTTCTTATTTGAGACAAGCTTGTCTTGAATGTCGCCCATGCATGTCTGGTGAAGATGCTATGTGTGAAACCGTAAGATGTTTCCTGAAGGTAACATGAATGGTTTCGCAAACTATCAAGTGTGTGATTCTCGGTAAGCAAGGCAATAACAATAACAACAAAAACTGGCTTTTAACTTTTATCTAGTTTCGCTTATAAACTTCCTGAAAACATGGAACCCAAATGTAAGTCTTTTTTTTTATCTCTATGTATACTGATAGTCTATAGATGCTGCTTCTTTGATGTGTGCTGGTGTCACTGTCTTTAATGCAATCTATTCTTCCAATATTCTTCCTACAGGTCGTGTCGCAGTCATTGGTATCGGTGGTTTGGGTCACTTGGCTATTCAATTCGCAAAAGCCTGGGGCTGCCACGTTACTGCTATTTCTCACTCTGCTGATAAGAAAGACGAAGCCTTAAAGTTCGGTGCTCATGATTTCTTGAATTCCAAGGAATTCTCCAAGGAATTCGTTGAAAACGTCAAGGACAAGTATGATTTGATTTTGGACACTGTCTCTATCAGTCTTGATTGGGATATCTATCTTGGTCTTTTGAAAAAGAATGGTGCTTTCTATTTGATGAGTGTCATTGATAATCCCATTACGATCAAGGAAGTTAATGGTTTCCTTGTGAACCAAAAGACTTTTAAGGGTTCTATTGTCGGCGGTCGTTATGTTATCAGTTTAATGTTGGAATTTGCTGCTCGCCACCAAATCAAACCTCAAATTCAAGAATACCCCTTCGATTTGGATGGTTTGCAAGAAGCTATCAAGGCTTGTCATGAAGGAAAGGCTCGTTACAGAGGCATTTTGATTGCTAAGGATTAACTGTTGTAGTTGATAATAAAAATGTAGATATCAATTTAAAACGCTTATCATATGCGACTGTGCACAACATATACTGAATAATTCATACTTGTTGCATGAAAGATATACACGCGATTTATTTACCGTCTCTCTTTACGTTTCCAGTAAACTAAGCCACTAAAGAAAACAACATTAAATGCGAAGAAGGCAATGATAATGCCTAGATTTCGGTATCGATGCGAACTATCCCATTCAAAATTGGTGGTATAATATTCAGTCCCACTTTTGTAACTACAATAGCCACATAGTTCTGGTTGAACTGCATCTGGATTATCCATGTAACCTGTTGCACCAAACGAGAAGAAATCCTTTGTGTATTCGGCGCATGTTTGACCAGGTGGAGGCATGAACTTGAGCAAATCTTGATCCGTACAGCGAACATTCACATGCGATAATTCATTGGTGGCCAGTCCCTCTACAAAGTAATGCATCGGATTGACCCAATACATCCAACTACTCCAGAAAAGCGGCATAACACTCACGGGTTGCATAAATCCAGCAAACAAGACAAGCATTGATATCACAATAGGGTTAATGATAGCAGCCATGGTAGGATTTTCAGCAATAGAAGCAATCACAAATCCCAGTGTAACAGCCCAAGAGATAAAGAAGATATTGAGTATATAGAAATAGCCCACTGTTTCGGAAAGATTGACAAGACCTGTTGTCCAGTAGAAACATACCATGAAACAAGCACCCAAGAACAATATGTAGGGAATTTCAACCAGAATAATTGATAGACCAAATGGAACCCATCCATAGTAGCGACACGCATGTTCACGTCTAAAATAAATTCTTTCTGTCATAAACTTGGGTTGAGAGCATATAATAAGAATGTAGGATGACATGAAAGCAAGGAAAAGAGCAAAAAGTCGGCTCTGCATATCAGACACACTATTTCCCAATTTCCAATAGGTAAAACCAGACAATAAGGAAGTGGAAATAAGGATAATAAAACGACCAATGTTGTAATCAGGAGATCTCCAGTAGGCTATCATCATACGTTTAAAGACCAAATAAAACTGTCTACGGAAAGGTGTAGCATAAGTCAAGGCAGGACGCGTAGGAGATTTATCTGCATGTTTATGAATCTCTTCTAGTTCTTGTTCAAGTGCTTTTGCTTCCGGTGAATTTCCCCAGATCTGTGCCCAGTCTTGCTTGTTGTCTGAGGCTGCAGTACCAGCACCGACGACTTGGAGAATATACTCGGCTGGGTTAGCAGAGGATGTACAAATAGGCCCTCCAGCTGCCTCAAAATAATCAATCATTGTGCGTGCATCAGGACCAATTTCACCATAATAAGCTGTACGACCACCTCTTACTATCATTCAGAACTTAGTAGTCAAATACATGGATATCAATATACTTACCCAAAAGTAAAAGATGATCGAAATGATCAAATAGAATAGCAGAAGGTTGATGAATAGTACAAAGTACAGGCCATCCAGCATCAGCCAATTTGCGAATAAATCGAATGATATTAAATGAGCTCTGAGCATCTAAACCAGAGGTGGGTTCATCCAAAAACAGTAATTGAGGTTTGCCAACAAGTTCCATACCAATTGTTAGACGCTTGCGTTCTTCAACAGAAATACCAAATCCAGATTCAACCTCACCTACTTGAGCATCTGCAATATCTTCCATTTCAAGTAAATGAATGATTTGTTCAACATAGGCGTCTTTCTCAGCTTGTGGGGTCTTGTAAGGCTGTCTTAGATTAGCAGAAAATCGAAGCGCTTCACGCACAGTAACTGCAGGTTGATGTATATCCATTTGTTCACAATAGCCCGTGATACGTTCGAAATCATTCATGAGTACTTCACCATTGAGATAGAGACGGCCCTCGACTTTGCCAATGGTCTTTCTTCGAGCCAAGACATCCAGCAATGTGGTTTTACCTGCGCCTGAGGATCCCATTAAAGCAGTCAGATGACCAGGCTTGACGATACCGTTGATGTTTGTAAGCAATTGAATGTTGCCGCCTTTGATAGGCACGGAATAATTCACGTTTCGCCAAGAGAAAGTAGTGCCCGAAGAAACAGCTTCCATGTCATCCAATTGAGCAGCTTGCTTGCGACGAGTGACAGGATTGTTTTCCTTGGGAGCTTTACCAGGAAGATAAAGCTTGGTAAGAGAACCTACTTTGTTCAAACCACTAAACTCCATAGCCATTGCAGTCATGAAAGTAAAGAGCAAAAAAAATCCAACCACAGCAACAAAATCAGGAGCCCAGAGATGATTGGAGTCCCACCAGAGTTGGGTTATCAAGTAATTGTCGCCTAGCACATAGTCTTCACCTGGATTACCACCAGTCATCGTGCACACTTTATAGCTCCAATCAGTGTAACCAGGACCATAAGGGACAGAATTTCCAGCACCGTCACAAGAATAGGCTTGACCCTTCATTTCATTGATCAATAAGGTTTTGTAGCCATAAGCAATAGGACTAATCCAATAAACCCAGTAAAGCCAAGGGTGCATTTCAGGATAAGGAATGACATAACCACAATACATTACAATGGCTGTCATAATAACACCCGAAGTTTGCGTTGCGAAAAAGAAACTGGATGTCACGGCACCAAAGAGTCGAAAAAAACCATTCATACACATATTGGTCATAAATAAAGCAATAAAGAAAGTGAAAAAGCTTCCTGCATCTAATTTGAAGCCCATCATAAAGTAAGCACAGATTTCGAATAGCAACACTTCGAATGGAATGAGTATCAATGTATATCCTTTTTTTTTACCTTGTACTAAAGCATAAGGAATATCCATGATTACTTGAGCCACATAAAAAGCAGACGGTCTATATAAAGCAAATTGCTTATGCTTTTCCAACACTGGGCGACCCATTAGAAAGCTAACTAATTCAGATTGAGAGATAAAAGCATTAAACAAGAGACAAAAGAAGATGGCACCTCCACGAGAAAAGGCGCCAGAGCTATCATTGGAAATATTGTAAAAACAAGAAGCACTAATTAATGCTTGAATCAGGATGGTACCATATCTTGAAATCAAAGCTTGTCTATCCTTAATCAAAAGATGGTATTGACGAATCGTCAAGGCAATCACTTGCTGATAAAAGGAGGCAACATAAGGTGATTTTTTGGACGCTCGTTTTTGGTGCTCTTCGTCCATGGCTGTTTTGAATGCTTCTTTGTGATGTTCGAATTGTATCGCTCGCTCGTATGCTTCTAGTTCATTCATCATGGACTTATAAGTAGGAGATTCATAAAAACGTTCTTGAAATTGGCTTGCGAAAACAGGAACACTGTCTTCATAACCAGGTTTTATTTCGCGTTCAATTGGGTTACAAACACCCGTCAAGAAGTCAGGTGTAGACTTTCTAGGAGGGCAATAGAAACCAAGCTCTTCAAAGTAGGCTTTAGCCTGGGCAACAGGACCGAAATAAATGCAGTAACCATCATCAAGCAAAATCACTTTATCAAACAAACCAAAGATGTTATTGGAGGCTTGATATAGGGTAGCTAATGTTGTCTTTTGAAAGACGTCTGTCATGATACGAAGCGACCTCACATAGTCTAAAGCAGAAGCAGCATCTAACCCTCGCGTGGAACAATCCCAGCAATTGATTGTACTTTGCGTTGTCATTTGCTCAGCAATCGATAATCGCTTACGTTCACCGCCCGATAGACCACGAATAGAATGATTTCCTACCATGGTGTTCATTTGTTTTGAAAGACCAAGCATGTTGCCCAAAAGGTGAATGATTTTCTCGACAAACTCCTTTTTTGTCTCGTTAGGTAAACGAGTACCTGGTGTTTTGGTTCTAAGAGCAAATTGAAGCGTTTGTTTGGTAGTCAAAGTTGGATAATGTAAATCTTCTTCAGGATTGTAACATGTTTGGCCACGGAAGTGTTTAGCAAATGTTTTATGATTATAACCACCGTAGTTGACATCTCCCTTGACACTTGTAAAAGAGTCACGCATGTTGGCAATGATTTTGAGTAAGGTTGTACATCCAGCACCAGGTCTGCCTAAAAGCAAAAGCATTTCGCCTTCTTTACAGAAACCAGAGATATTTCTAAGAATGACCTTAGTACTGTTTTTTGATTGAAAACCAAGTAGTTTCCAGAACTGAAGGTATTTGATTAATCCACTAATAGCAGTTGGAATTGTATGCGCTTCAGCACCAAGACCCTATTTTTCATATTGAATAAAAGGTAGTGTCGATCTGATTTACCTCAACAGTAAGATGCTTCCAAACCACACCGAGATGTTTAAGATGAAACCCAGCTTGCTTTTGATCATTTGACATTCCATGTAAAAAATTACTCAGGCTGAATTCTTCAGTCTTGACCTCTGCTTTTTCCAATTCATCCACAGAGACAGCAGAAATCCAACTTTTTCGAGACAATTCACTTTCAAGTGCATGGTATTCAGCAACAGCAGCTAACAAGAAAAAATTAATACAGGTCTTGATTTATTTTCATGTACCTGAAATATCAACATTATCTACATTTTGCTCACCGAATTCATTGTCTCTCATATAAGTTTGCTTGGAATCAACGTGGTTTAATTTACCGCTTGCTTGCGATATTGATCCTTGCTTATCTGAATGTTTTGTTGGTTGATTTGGCATACAATCAGGTTCTAATGTACTCTTTTCTTTTAGTGATGATATCTTTATATAAACTATGATAACAATGGATAGTGAGAGAAAAAGAAAGAGATAGAAAGCGTCCTTTTCCTTTTATATAGAGGCGTTTGATTTGATTTGCTGCGGTTGATTTGAAACAAAAAAAAGCGGAATTCATGCTGCTTGATCTGCATACTGTAATTACACTAGCAGTTTTTGAAATGATCCGCAACAATAGATCAACGCATTCAATTCACAATGCTATATACTACGCATCAAATTCATTCAATTATGTGGATCCAAGAAGTTTGAAATAGAGCATACAAAAGCCAGTCTTTGCGTCAAGTTTTTTCTTCGAGAAAAATGTTGTATTTTTTTTTGGCTACCGGACACCGGGTACAATTGAGGAGCCCGGTAACGATATTATGTGACACATAATAGTATAAAGTCTTTTGTTAAGAAATTTATTGTTTTTTATAACAAAGAATTAGATTGCTTTCCTTCTTCAAAAGATATTCTTTAAAATCTTCTCGCTCGATAATGGTCTGTTGTCCGCATTCTGTGCTTTGTAATCCTTTCCACGCTGTAGACAGCATCAAGACATGCTATATAGTACACATGACCCACAACAATTCTTTTTTTTTTAAAGGGCTTTGAATTGATGATATTAAGTTGCCAACCAACACCCATATTAACATCAAGATATTTGCCTGTCTCGTCTGACTTGTAGGCATTAGACGCTTCTCTAACAACGCCATTAGGAAATTTGTTTTGGAAGTGGGTTCTTAGTATGTCATCAGCTGCTGTGTTACTAGTTTTGGAAATAGATTCTAAGTATGTCATCAGCCATTGTATCGTTAATTTCTACAGGTATTGATATGATATGAAAATGAAACAAAATTGTATTGATTTGACACATGTAAATAAGTGTTAAATAATAATGTAGCTGGACTCCTCAGTCATATTCCAGTGTCGGGTACCTAAAAAAAAAGTACAATATTTTTATTATGGCACTTTTATCCGACCTTGTGTTGGTACCAATGGCCAATGTTCAAGAAAAAACAAAAAAAAAATATAAGTGAAATTTACAAAATAGATTAGAAACGAAATCTCAAACAAAACGTTCTCTCATAGATTTCAAAATTGTGGAGTGGACCGAAAAATCAAGTAAAATAATTAGGATAGTAGAGAAGTGGACGGTGTGTTCCCCTTTTCTTTTATACATTTTCTCTGTATTACAAACAATGGTATCGTACTTGATTGCCCTCAAAATATAGTATGACTCAAAGTATATATATTTTACTCGTGAAAGAAAGGATCAACAACCATTCTTACGCATATGTATTGTCACTTACAAAGCAAGTAATCATAGGCATTTTGTGAAGAAAAAAGAAACAGGAAAAAAAGTTTATTAAAGTTTTTTTATGAGTCGACCGCATTCCATTGATATTCATAACGTTTCTCGTAAGGTATGCATATGAATTATAGGTTTTTTAAAGCAAAATGCCATTGATCTAACCAATGATAAGATTGAATTCATCGAAAGACAGACAAATACACAGGATTACATAGCCATAAGAAGGTGCATAAAGCCTGTTTATATGTGCATAAATGCTCTAAATACCTACAAACAGTATTTGTTGATATTCAGATCACGTTTGAAGTTGATTAGGACAAAAAAAAAGCGACTTGTGAAAAATGGACAAAACAGCCTCGAATCGAAATGGTACTATTCATGAAGATGGCTCATTCGCAAACTTCGAATCTTCTTTTTTCATTAAAGAGGATCAATGCCATTCAATCATGTAACTTTTTTTTCTTTCTATATATTTTATTTTATTTTAGTTTATTTTGTTTAGTATATTTCGTTTTGTTTTATTAAATTTCATTTTAATTGCACCCGCCTCTTCATTTTAACCATTACTCTTAGTGTACGCGGCTTAATCAATAAACACATTAAAAAAATCTTTTTTTTGACGCTATACAGCGAGAAATAAAGCTATTGGCAAGCTTAAATACTCAAAGCGTGCTCCAAAAGGTTTAGTTTTTGATGAATGTGTTTGCTGGCCAATTGTACTATGAAGTTGATGAGATCTGAGTGAAAAACCGCTAGATATTTCTGCCTATTCACTCAATATTTTAGCAGCAAAGTCTGTGTGTTCTTTATATCAATAAACTAAAAAAGTAAATATCTATAACTTCTGTCACTACACTAAAGCTAGAAAGCCGCGTCTTTATGTAGTTTTCAGCAAAACCTCGATTTTTTTTTAAATGATTTTATTTGCCGCACATATTTTACCTCGATTTTTCGTGCGGCTGGAGAATTGAAATTGCTCTATTTCGATCTCCGTACCAGCCATCCTGTATGCCCTATGTCCATTTACTCCCACATTGGTTTATGGGCGCAGGATATGCCGTCATTGGTATTCCTTCTGGTCCCTCAGAATCAACAGACAACCTCAAGTATCAGCCTTTGGAGCATAACATTCGTTGGTGCGAAAGCGAAAGCCAAATATTCCACGCAACCTGGAACAACATGCCCACTTGGTGCAGGTATTGCCACCAAACTGGACACACAAAATTTGAATGTGAGAAGTCGAAAGCTAGAATTATACGTTATGCGTGCCATCAATTAGGACACCGCTCGTTTGAATGTCCTAGGAAACAGTCTATGACACCCAGCAAGCGTTCAAAGAGAGAAAGATCAGTTCTTGGAAAGGCCACCCAACCAAGAAAAGAAGCATCCAAGCCTGAAGGGCAAAGCAGTATTGAAGTCAAAAGTAGCAACTTTGGCCAGACAGAGATCAATGTCGACAAAGATAATGATAACGATACTAGCGATAGTGATTACGACCCTTTAGATAAAGAGAGCATGGAAGAAGATGAATCTGAAATAGAAAGTGGAGACGAGGATATTGACAGGATGGAGATTGAAGACCTCTATAAGGATACCAAGATGTACAGCGTCAGCCAACAATTAAAAGATCACCTCGTTATGAAGAAAGGAGAAAGACGTAATGGATCAAATTTGAACCAACAATTGGACACGAAGAAATCTACGACACCCTCTTCTGCCTCTGATAATCAGAGGGTAGAGAGTCACCCTTTATAGATCCGCATCAATGAATAAGAAAAATATCCTATGCCACTATGCCTCACTAAACGCCAATAGTTTAGTGAAAACAAACTCCAAAAAAATACAAAAAGAATATATACGATACCTTCGAATGCAGAATTTCTCTATATTATGCTTTCAAGAAACTCATGCTTCCACTCCTTCAACTATAGATAACCTCAACGTCCTCTTTCAACCTACACAGTCCCATTGGACCAGTCATGTGGGCATACTCTCCTTCTCTACCGATTACAACATCTCTGTCATCGACACTTCCTCATCCTTTACTTCCGATCGATTTCAACTATGCATGGTTGAACATCCACATCATTTCTATGAACCTTTCTTTGTTCTGAACGTCTATGCACCGGCAGGCCTTGCTGAAAAACGTCGAACATTCTTTAGCAATCTAACCCAAATGCTCCATGATTTTCGATCAGTTATCTCTTTTGACAGACTGATTGTTTCAGGAGATTTTAATTACTCAGTCCTCAGCCGCCACTATAATTTGTCTTCAACATCAACGCAATGGTTAGCCCTCTTGCAAGCAAATTTTCAAAATGCTTTGGCCATCAATGGCCTTCACGAAGTTCCCACCTTTCAACACACCGTCTCAAGTGAATTAGTGATGACTGTCATAGACTATATATACTTGGGTAAAATTTTGTACCAATGCGCATCAGAATCATCTATTACCAGATTAGGAGCGAAATGGTCAGAACACTCCATATTACATACGTCCTTACTCTTGGGCCAATCCCAGTTTGGTCATGGACTATGGTGCGCCAACCCAGTGTATGCTTCCCACCCTAAGCTACAAAATACATTAGAGAGGAATATACAACATTTGGTTCAAGGATTTGATGAGAATATATCGCCCCAAGAAAAATGGGATGAAGTAAAACACAAAGCCAAGTCAATCATTAGAGGATATTCAGTGGATTACATTGATTGGCGTACTAAGAGAATTCGTGCTTTAGAGAAGAAACGCAATCGTTTACTACGCACAAAGCCTCCTCCAGACGTTCAGCGCTTGGTAATTCCACCTATTGACAATGAGCTACAGATACTACAACAAGAGCTGGCTGAAATAGCTATTCTAAAGGCTGGTCTTCGCTGGCAAGAGAATGGTGAGTGCAATGCTGGGTACTTGAAAAAAATACATCAGAGTCGAACAGTCCAACAATATATGTCTGGCTTCAAAGATAGCAATTCTGAAACACCAACAATTGTACATACCACCAAATCGACAATGCAGAATATTGTACAACGGTTTTATAAATACCTATATGCGATTGATGCAGTACCTATGAATCAAATACAAGAGTATTTAGGTAATATTCACTTTCCAAGTAAAGTTAATCAGGATGAAGCAAATCTGCTCCAAATGGAATTTGATTGGGAGGATATTGTCAGAATGACAAAGCGTAGCCCAAAACAAAGTAGCCCAGGTAGTGATGGACTAGGGTATATATACCTTCAACTCTTGTTTGGTTTTCCTTGTTTGAAGCCCCTGATACTCCAGGTATACAATGATGCCATGACAAAAGGAATTTTCCCTCAGTCATGGAAGGAAATCAGAGTGCGCTTGCTACCCAAGAAAGGTGATTTGTCAGAATTAAAAAATTGGAGACCAATTTCATTGATCAACTGTGATGGTAAAATTTCCACAAGGCTCATTACCCAACGTCTAGCTCCTATAATGAATCGAATTATCAACCCGCTTCAAAAGGGCTTCATCCAAGGACGTTTTATTGGCGAAAATGGGATGTACGTCCACTTGGTTCTACAACAA